TCTCCATTTTGGCGCCCGTAACTGGGGTCCTAAGGAACCTAGCTTGTTTTGCATGTAACACTCGGCCACGGGTTTCAGCAAGGGGATCCTCAGGTGGTTTGAGGTGTTTTCCCATTGTTACAGGTGAACACGGTCAAGAGTGTGTTGAAATCTTGGTTTTCTTGTGCGCTGTGGCCAACTCACAATGTGACGTTGGGCTAGCGGCGCTTCATTTCCTTTCTTGGTATTCCTGCTACCAAAGTCAGTGCGCCATTGAGGCGACTGCTTATAAAAGCAGTGAACAATTTTTCACTTTCGTCTCCCTCAGTTCAACAACGATTGACTGAGGTGAGACTACGCTTTTACCACATGTTTGTGTTGTCACTCATGTATCTTCATATGCCCTAGCGTTTTACGCTAGGTAATTAGTTCTAATCTATTAGTTCAACAACGATTGACTGAGCGTAAATCGCTAACATCCTAATAGAGTGTGCCATTGGGACAGGGTGATTAGCACTCATTATTTTCCTACATTGTCAATCAGCTGTTTCCAATATATTCAGAATTATATTGAATAGTATTCATCCAAATTAGGTGTGCAGTTTTTTCTGTCGCTTGCTGTACATGTTCACAAGAAGAGTCCTATTCTTGATATGTTTGATACAAAAAATCACATGGTACGGAGTTAAAGACATAGCCGATCACTTCGGAGTAGGTGATCGGCTATGTCTTTAACTCCATACCATGTGATTTTTTGTATTGAGTACAGAATGTGAGAATAACGATTTAGCGTGAGAACATTTATTTACATTGAGTAAAAAAGCTATTATTTTGCGCATCCACGGAGCTCCTCAGACTGGGTACGAGTCTGGTCGCAACCCATGATGAGCAACATTGCAAATATTTGCTGATCTGCAAGCAAGGTCATGGTTGCGAAGCAACCTTTCTAGTAGTATAGTTTTCCCCTTTAATAATAATAACACATTCTCCACTTCAGTCTGAGTGGCCAGGGACCACTGTCCCAGATCGGGCCTGCCAGTACGCACGCCCGCTCCACACCCCGCAACGGCCTCAGTGCCGGACGCGTCCCTGACAACAGTACAATGATACAAGGGAAGGTGGTCCGTGTAAATAGAAAGAATAAACAGAAAGGGAGAATGAAATAAAGGAGAAAGAGAAAAGAGGGAAAAGGGAGGAAAGGGAGGAAGGGGAAGAGGGAGGAAAGGGAGGAAGGGGAAGAGGGAGGAAGGAGGAGGGAGGAAGGATGGGTAGTGGGGAGCGGGTGAGGTGGGCCTGGGTGGGCCCGGGTGGAACCGGGTCAGACGGGTGTGCCCTGACACTGTACTACTTACCTGAAATGGAAAGTTGAGAAGAAGGCTACTTCTTCGGTTCCCACTTCAGTGTCAGGGTTCAGCACCCTGCCCTAGGGTGCCCCAGACTCCCCAACCAATCCCTTCCTTCCATTCCCTCATTGTTGCCTTGTTGTTGCCTTTCTGTGTTGTGTACACACGCGCGCACGGGATAGCGTGGGAACTTTCTGAGCGAGCAGCTCGCCCAGAATGTTCCCACGGGTCACAGCCACAGTTCTGGGCGAGCAACTCGCCCAGAACATTCCCACACTTACCGGGCACTGCCACCTGGATGTTCCCTCCGGGTCACACTACACAACTCTAGGAGCTGTATAGTTGTGGGCATGTGACCCATTCCTTTATATAGCAACCATGCGGGGAGATGAGACCTTTACCCTTCTTCTCATCTCATGCCCCGCATAGGCAAGTGTATATATTATCTTTCCTCTTACTATACATCTCATGCCCCGCATAGTGTGAGGACAGGCCAGATGGGGGTTGAGGTCAGGGAGCCTCCGAGTCCGAGGCCGGGCCCTGACATTCAGGTTTGTTTATATACATGCAGCTTGGGTCATATGACAGGTGCCATGTCACCCTTGCACACAGCCGTAACCACCTGGGTGTCTCCATGGGAGATCCCAAGGGCATCCGGTGCAAGCACGCGTGCTGGGCACAGCGGGAAGTTGCCTGAGGTGTCCGGGCTGGGTGTGTCATGGGTGTGCTGCAGATGGGTCAATGGTGTCACAAACCTCTCGGCGCTAAGAGCGTGAGAACGGAGCGGGACAGAGCGAGAGTTGTGAGATCACGAGAAACAAGGTCACAAGCAAGAAGATCACGAGCCACAAGTCACAAGATCACAAGAAGTCAATTCAGGTTGGCGACCTGTGTTGACCAGTTGAAGAATCCCTCTTCACTGGTCAACTCCTTATATACATGAAAACAGGCTAACACATGCGAGATGAAACAAGAGAGACATCCGAGTCATACAGGTAGTCACAAAGCTACATGAATTGAGATGGAACTGAAATAGGCAAGACACATGAGACAAAGACATGTGAGACGTCCGTCAAGTCCGCTCCCACTCAGGGTTATGGCTAAACCGTAACAAATGGTACATTGATACAAAGGAAGGTCATCCATGTAGAATAAAGAGAAAATAAAGAAGAAGTGAAATAGGAAGAAAGTGAGGAAGGAGGGATGAGGAGAGAAGGAGGGAAAGAGGGAGGAGGTGAGGAGGGGTGGACAGCAGGGTACCGGATGGATGGATGGATGGATGGATGTATTCATTTTAAAGTACGTAACCGTGCCTATCGGCATATGCCGTACTATAGTGACTCGGGTGAAAAAAGTTTGGAGAACATAAGGATGTGAAGAAAGGAATTTGTGTGACCTAGGAAGTATGAGACATCGAGTAATCAATGGTGTGAAGGAGAATAAAGTGAGATGAAGCAATAACACATAAAGGGGCATGCGACCCCTGCACTGAGATTGAACAACGGGTGAGGGAGAATGGAGGTGGGAAGAGGTTGTATAGAGCCAAAGAAAAGGACATGCGACCCCCAGTGTTGGGGTCGCATGTTTTGCTGCTGTGTGCCTATGGTTAAGTCAATGTTTGAGTGCGCGGTTCTTGCGGGTGGGTGAGTTGGAGGGTGCTTTCACGGGTTTATGTCACGGTAGGCTGGTGAATGTTCCAGTGGCAGCGAAAGGCGATGGGTGTTGGTGGCATCTTGCTCATGCTTGTTGAATAAAGGCATGTGGCAGATAGGCCTTTGGTAGAAAGGGTAGTGGAGAGAAATGAAAGTGTTGGGGTGACGGCAGGACTTGAACCTGCATTCCTTGCAGTCAACTTTTTGTCGGCATATGGGGCTATCGTTGGCGCTACCACTATCGCGCCTCGTCACTAAGAGGTAGTGGAGAGAAAGATGAATCGGAAGGGTGTTGGGGTGATGGCAGGACTTGAACCTGCACTCCTCCGGCCTGCCCATGGACTTATGGAGGCTACCATTGGCACTACCACTATTGCACCTCACCAACCCAAAAGGTAGTGGAGAAGAGAAAAAGAAGGAAGGGTTGGGGTGACGGTGGGACTTGAACCCACAGTCCTCTGGCCAGTCCCGTCTGGGCTTACGGAGGTCACCATTGGCGTTGCCACTATCGTGCTCGTCATCCCAAAAAGGTAGTGGTGAGAAGAAAAAGGAAGGGTTGGCTTGACGGCGGGACATGCACCCGCACTCTTGCATCTCTCCAGCCAGTGCGGCTCTGGGCTTACGGGGTTGCGGTTGATTGGCATTACCACGGTGGCCACGTCATCCTCCCTTCAGATGTTAGAGGCCTAATTAGTTTTAAACAGGGGCACCGTGTGAAGGTTTAGGCCCGTGCCGGGTGTTCGCTGTGGTAGCAGAACTCCCCCTCGACTGACATCCATCGTCGAGGCCCAGCAGGGTACCGGGTCAGGTTGGGCTGGGTGGAGCTGGGTCAGGTGGGTGTGCCCTGACACCAAGAGACTTCCCCTCTGCTAGATCCGAAATTAGGGACCCCCAGGACAACCAGCAATGGCACAGCACTCCACCTGAGTCACTGAGGCCAAGGTCCTTCCATGCTACATATAAGGATAGAAAGGAAGAAGAGAAAGGAGAGAAAGAAGGAAAGGAGGAAAGAGAAAGAGGGAGGGAGAGAGAGCAGAGTGTGGTGCAGCATAGCATGCCCTGACAGAAATGAGGTTCTGTGGCAGGAGAGAATATATGGACCCTGAGTTCAAAAAGATGCAACATACATGCTCAAAAAAGTGGGCCTCAAAAATGACCTTAAAAGTTCACGAATCTCACTTTCATGCAGTTTTTCATGTGCAGTTTATAGGTGTGTCCTGGCAAATAATGTTACTGTATATGCTCATATATAATGAAGCAAGCTTCAGTGTGTAGAACCTTTTCTCTCTGGTCCATTGGTATACCTGACTCACTTGGCATTTAGTGATGGTGCGCATATTTTCAGTGATTTCACTCTTTGCCAGGAGGATGCACCTGCTGGAGCCTGCCCATGTCATGGAAAGGTGTGGCAGGACGAAAGGGCATTGAGAAAATTTGGCCACAAAATGCTTCTACCCTGTACTCCAAGGTATGTGTCCCCCATGTTGTGTTGGAGACCCTGTATTGAGGAAACAACCTTAATGTGACAGGGCGGTGTGTGGGTCCAGATGGGAATTACTGAGAAGACCACGTAATCATGGGTGTTTTAAGATCGGCGTCAGGAGAAGACGGCCGCGGTATCTAGAAGTGCTGGAGATGAGCTCCTTTGGTACATCAGTCTGTTGCAGCGAAACCTCTTTATTACGACGATGTAAGGATAAATGCGATTCTTCAATATTCCCAAAAAGAAAATTGTCAATCCACTAATGATCTTGACAAGGGTCAACTTTCATAGAGTGTTTTTTTATCAGAGCAGATTTCAATCAGATTTATCCCCGCCGACGGAGAAGTAGATTACAACAAACACGGCACACGGACAATTTCGAAAGAAGCACATCAAGAGCGACCGCGGAAATGCATATAACGTAGAAGATGTACCGCATACCTCATACCTATCGGAAGACCCAAAGTCGGTAGTCAGGTCCGGAGTCTACCTGGTTTGGCCACAATTGTAGCGAGTTGATTGAAGTGTTAGACGTCTGGTTGTGTGTCTCAGGGTCCTGGACCATCCCCGGCGTGTCCCCCTGTACTGAGCTACCACCAAAACCGATAACCAAGTTCGTTTCGGGATAGAAAATTCTAATGAAAAGTGCATAAAATTAATCATAAGCGCTTCCATTAGATCAACAATCAATACCGGGATATTATACTAGTAGGATGTCTTATGTCAGCAGCTTTCACAGTCCAAACGTCTGGAACGTTTGAGCAAATGACTTTCGCGCCCTGCTTGACAGCCCCCTCGACGTTGAGGTACATATCAGTGGACATGCTCTTGATGGAATAGTTGCTCCCGGACGCCTCAAACATCCACTATAAAAAGCGGCGCATCGTCTATGATGAGAGTTCCTCACAACGCAAGAGACTTATCACCTCTAGATTCAGCGCGTGGGGGGTGATTGGAAACCCAATCACAGATCTTCAAATTTGAAAATGTCAGTCAACTCGGTAGGCGGGGCTGCACTGGATGCGAACCAACTAAGAGGGAAGTGATCAGTGATGTGGACAAAATGGCTGTGTCGCAGGAGATATACCTTTTGATCATCGCTGGGTCCGATTGCGGTCCCCGCTTCACGGTTCACAATCTGTCCGATTCTTGTCGAGTGTGTTCCTTGGCAATAGTAGTTTCGGGTACTTACCAAGTAGGGACGGTAGTCGAAGTTGAAACGGTTCCAGTCGGATGCGAGGCCGAATGTCCATAACTGGTCCGAGTTCCGGACGTTCGATCCCCACAAATGAATCAATCCAGAATCAAATCCATAATCAATGTATTTCCGATCTAAGCCAACCGCAGAATTGGTTCCTGGATAGAAGATCCTTTTGTCAAGAGGAATTAGCTGCTGGAACGAAATAACGAGGTCCAGTAGGGTGGGGATAATGACCTAAACGTGTTCGAAGCAGCGCCATGCACCCGAATATTCCATGCTTGTCTGTTTGGGGAGTCAATGACACGCATGCGATTCCTCCAGGGACCATCGACATTGAGATATGTGTTAAGATGGCTCTTAATGTAGAACTGTCCAGGAGAGGCGCGTTCGAGGGTCCACTGGATTTGACAAATGGGTCAGATGTGATGCAGGTCAACGGATTAAGCTCTGAAGATCCGAACCTGTTGGCCTTGTCGCTGAGGCGAACAGGGGTTAGGGATGACAAACCTTGACATTGAAGAAGACCCGTTCAGTCTGAAAGCAATAATATGGAGTGACTTTCGAAACGCACTGGCAAGTGGACGTGTTAGACGCCGATGAACTAGGGATCAAGATCGCGACCCACCTTGTCATCTCCGCCAAGTTCTGCTGAGAAGGAGCAACTCGTATTCAGGATCTATATCATTGCATAAGGTTTTCCATCCTAGCGCTAGGATCTCGGTGACTGACGACGTATGGCAGACCCAGCTTCAACAAGTTGTCGCCTACCGGTGACCCCAATAGCTCCGGATCCCAGTGCTGATGGGGCTTTCGATCATACGTTTGCAGAGAGATTGTCGTGCCATTGCCAGTCTGACCAGAATCGAGGTCCAAACAGAGGCTCGTTCCAGGGTAAATAAGCCTGATCGGGCGGACAATAGGTGGAATGAATCTTCCAGAAGAAACGCTCTCGGCTGACCTGCAGTGAGTTCCATCAAAGATAGCCTGCCAGGCTCTGGGTCTGGAGGCCCCAACAGCAAGAGCTCCATTTCGTGGCTCACCATAGATATTCAAATACTCCGAATGACCCACATTTCTCAGGTAGATCTCTTCGCTTGTGCTGGTTTCAACCACCCACTACGGAAAAATTGAGCCGACTATGAGACAATGAGACGCAGTGTCAAACCTGCTGCGCCATTCCATCATTGCGCTCCCAGCCCACGACGTAGTGAGTCCTACCGAACAGGTAAGATACTCAAGGAGATCTATTAAAGTGGGGCGAACTGGGGCCCCATAGTTTCGTCAGACCCTGTTTAACGCTACTCTTCGCGATCACACACCCAGGAATAGCTAGGGCTGTCACCCGCGAGGACAGTCCCGCTGCTCAAGTTCCTAAACTGCCCAGAGGCTCGCTAATTTTATCACTTTGCTAAGATGTGTCGGGACGCACAACGTAGACAGTACCATCTTGAAAGGTCATGATTTTGTTAGGGGCAGGGCCTGAAATCCATTGCTTTATATAGGACATACCAGAACCGCCTCTTCAGGAGAAGATAACGGCTAACCATCGAGTTACTACCGTCTAGTCCGAGTGATAGGTACCAATGATTACAAATGATGGGACTGGGAAACACCAAGAAGCGCTGTTGCGGATTTAGTTTATCGCAGCGACCTCATGACCAATCAGAATTCATGTAGCAATGATATACACCCCTGCTCTGCATCGTCAAATTCATATAGAAGCAAACAAAATCGCCTGCACAAGGTCTGAACTCATTAATTCTCACGCTTGCTTCTTGTACCCGACTACTGCTGTAGCCTTTCCCGGCTGTCCCTGGTGCTGAAGGAGTTTCCTATACTCTCTCCGGGTACGGCTAAAACTACATGGTCTCGATTTCCTCGATCTAATGACGACGCAGCTGTTCTCTGGCCTCCGACTATCTCGCTTCGCCGCATTATATGATCCTCTCCCATTAAACCTGTGCATAATCTTATCCCAAGCATAGACATAAGTTCGTTTAAAATGTAGCTCTCAAAGACATCTGCAGGCTGTAGTGGTCGAGAACGTCATGCTCCCCATACACAGAGGCTCTTTTATCATCTCATGAACGGACCCTTCTTTACCAGAAAGACGTACCTGGAATTAGCTATACATGCAGCATTGAACTGTCGGATGCGGTATCAACTTGCCAGAGTCGATGGCACAGTCTGATTCTGATCTCCATGCGCCATAATTGTTGGGATTGTGAACTGTACGGCCGTGCTCGATGTGCAAGATGCGGACATAGCTCGGAGCTCAGAACAGAATAGTGTACATGAATCCTTATATGAAACAAAGGAAAAGAGTCACTCCGAACGCCTTAACACATCTCGTTGCCACATTCATCATCATCACATCCGGTAAAGTCTCGCCATCCTCCTTATCCTGCCAACGGTCTCAAAGGAGACATGGGTCTTCGAGCAACCGACTCAATCGCGACTCATGGAATGTACTTTGCAACAAGACTCCGCGCGAAACGCAATCTAGTTTTGAGCGAGACCCATTTGAATCCAGCATCCACCCTAGATATAAACGAGGATGCCACTGTCTAGTCGAAGGGAATCACACTCCTGCTTACCTTGACGTACAACGTCAGGGACGCTTTAGGGAAAATTTGTTCGAGGCCCTTTCGACCTAGACATCCCTTCCATGAGGGCGGCGGGCAAGAGCCAGGAGGCGCATCCTCTTGTTGGCGGAGTGTGAAGGTGTCGAAAATTTGAAGGATGCGGATCAACACTACATTTTAAAATTGGTGAAGCGTCCGTTGATTTTGGGAGAGACCATTAGTGATACGCACTGAAGCTGGCTTCATTGTATGCAAACTCCTGTGAAGACAGTTCGTCAGACAGTGCCACCAATCCATGAAAGTTACTTACCTGACCCAAGCAAACCCTTGGGCCTGCATTAAAAGGAATAAATACAAATGGATTTTCCGTCCATTTCTGCACTCTTTCGTCGATCCAACGTTCAGGGTCGAAGTCGTCCGCATCATCCCCCCACAGATCTTTCCTTCGTTGGAGGGCTATTGGAAGATAGAAGATTAATTTGTTACCACTAGGGATGTAGAACGGTTTTCCATTGGTTTGACGGTCCCCAGGGATGAGACAGGCTGATTTGGATGTTCGACAATTGATTGGGATTGGAGGAAATAGTCGTAATGTCTCATTGAGAACGGCACGCACTAGTAGGTAAAATGAGTATTGCAATGTCAACTTTGTCTGTGCCCGAGTAAAAGGCTGAGTCGCTCACAGTAGTTCATTTTTCGAATATCTTCAAAAGTTGGTGATCCGCACGGGAGATGAGCCATCACTTCATTGTGCAACTTGGCCGTTACGTCTGGATGTAAAGACAGTAAATAAATCACAAAGGTGAGTAATATTGATGTGGAATCCCGAGAAGCCGACAGAATGTTGAATAGCTGTGCGTAAACAGAGTCAGCTCCAAATCATCGCAGGAGCCGTTGGGATATGACGCACTTCATTACGGATAAGTTTTACGTCGTTCGTCGCATCCGCCAAATGATCCACTAAGCTCCCATCACCAATCGCACATTTCCTGTCTCCCCTCACTTTTTTATTCTTCAAGGCATTGGCAATGAGGGGATGAACGAATCGGTCGATTATCTTATTGTCTTCCTGAGTCTTGTCTTTCCAGAGCTCCTGAATTGCCCAAAATCTTCCCCTAAGACTGCGAAGAAAAGTGGCCTCATGAATCCTATCAATCGCCTCGACAAATTCGCCATATAGTCCCTTTGATATGACCTCCTTTTCTCCAAGCCTGACCTTCCGGGGAGGGGGAGTGGTGAATCGAGGGCGTTAAAATCCTTCGTACCGAAAAGAAATTCGCCCGCCGCATCCAGAGTAAAGCGTTGAAACAAATCCTGAACGTCGACGGATTGTGCCGACAGAGCTCGGTTACGCATGAGAGTAACTGTCTTATCGACGTAACGTTCCAGAATTTCGAAGTCTCGGATACGATCCTTCGCTATATGGGTAAGGAGAGTGATTAGTATAGACTTGGTAACTATATATAGAGCTGAGTTTTGTACGCACTGAAGAAAGGTCGCACTAACGCTCTGTGTGCCTTTGCTTCGGCACCGTCAGTGGCGAGAATACCATCCCCGAATACTCCGCGCAGCCTATTGCGGGAAATGAGATGTAGCAATAACAAAGGAGAAAGGGAAACTGTCCAGAGAGTAGTAACGTACATCATGTTTAACTCAGGACCCTTGTGAAAAGAATTAAAATGGGTTGCCAAAATGGCCTGCATAATGTGATGATTTCTGGTAAAATAAGTATCTGTCCACATCGCTCCGAGATTGAAAGTGTCGTTGTCCCCGAAAAATTGCTCCATGTTCTCGAGAGCATATCCTTCCTCGTGTTTTTTCATCGACCTTCCATCGTGTAGAAGCACGTAAGTGAGCCTCAAGCACCACACTAAAAAGTATATTTTGAACGTACGCTGAAATGATATCTAGATTTCCAGGCCATTTTCCTTTGAGTTTAGGAACCAGAACTGCACCTCGTTTCTTGGCCTCTCGCACATTCATGTAATGCGTATATTGTGTCTCAATTGACCAGTATGCTATACTGATCAAGATAGTCCAAAGACTTCGTGTTAGGTATCCAACGCAAATCGAATGGGGAATAATGAGAGAGATCACAACATAGGTAACCACGGTAAGGGGCCCAAAAAGCTTGGTGAGGTCGATAAGAAGATATAGACGATAGTTGTACTTGAGCGCGAGGGAGACCATCCCTAACCGTAGCAGGAGGTTGAGTGAACGGGCTCTAGCGGTGTTGGCATTAGTACAGGGGGTCCCGGGTTATAAGTTTTAGCGGACTGGCCGCCGGCGACAACCGCACCATCGCCACCAAGACAGGAACGCGCATGGGCTCATAGTTCTCCCGTCTTCTTCCTAATCCATTGGAGTAATGCAATTGAATTCCCTGAGTCAAGAACAAGGACATGTACACTATTCAAGCGCATCTCTCCCCCGCATTCTTCGTCGTCAAAGTTGCCAGTGCGTGACGAGCTCGTCGTGCCCGTTCGTAGCTTATCTACGGCTTGGGGCGTGGGAATTTAGCCCGGCATTTTGGGTCCGAGCTTTGGCGCGGAGTCTCGATGTCACTCTTTTGGGTGTATTGAATTGTTGTGTTGGTATTTGTTTGGGCCAAGGCGGCTCTTTCCGGACGTGTCGCACGACAATCTCACCTCGGCCAGCACCAAAATCCGTAACGAATTACTCCGACTGAGTATGTACCCTCATATTGGTGCAGATTGGGCAGTTAGTTAGCAGGTGGGTAGTGGGCTGGCGCAAATATGGGACTGTGTGCACGCCAGGTTTGAGGGTTCATAGTCTCCCCGTTCAACAATTACAAGCACTGTACTACGAACCCACGCCATATATCCATCGAAATTTGATGTGTGCAACAGGCTTGCTTGTAGCCCCGTACACATTGTGGCGGACTCTGCGCGTTCAAACCCGGGTGCATGAGAGGTCGTTGTGCATGGGTAATATAATGGGAAGCTTTACATGAGACTCACTTACCATCATCTAGATATTCGCTGATCAGGGCCCTGACAGCTTCATCGTTAATTAGACTGAGATCTGGGCGAAGACCCTCATCAATATGCACAAAACGAAGGCGTATAGAGATCAATGACGACCTCTGCCAAGCCGGGGCCACAAGCCTGAAGTAGTAAGCCCAGAAGCTGAATTAACAATTTTCCGGCGCTGTATACGGCATCGCGCCAACCGGTATATCGAAACGCCTAGTACAAATTGTCAGGGGTCGACCGTCGTCCCCCGGAGGAATGAGGCGCACTAGAATAGACTGCAGACGATGGAAAGTGCGAGGGGAAGAAACTGACAAGCCACAGTCCTACCCAACTCGGGTATATAGTGGTCTCACAACCAAGGCCCTCGACTGCAAGTTGGGGGCAAATGTACGGATGGTGATTGAAGTCATGGGTCAGATGCACCGATCGTGAACCGATCCAGCTGCGGAATATAATCTGATCGTATTCTCCATTACGCGGGAGTAAATTCCGAACGGATGTAGCTCACGAAGACCAGCGTAGACGAACGACGAAAAAACACACACATCGTCATCTCGAATTAGAAACGTTTCCGTCTCTCGTTTATGCCAGTAGGATTCGGAGAAGCCACAACTCGCAAGACATCGAGTGAGACAAACGGCGCTTGCTGGTAACCCCACGCAGCACCGGATAGCATATTTACCTTTGGGATTCACGAACGGTTCTCTATCAGGCTTCAAAAGCCTCCGTACGTTAGGGGAGGCTCATTCTACTCGCCAATGTCGCAATAGACTGGCGCTACGACCCTTACGTTGTTTTCCCGAATTATGATGTTTGTGCCACGGCAAACGTTGAGTAGGAACAACCATGCAATGACTGATAAGGTTGGAACGTTCTTGGCTCGCCATTGAGAAGGAGATGGTATCACAACTAGGACGGCTGTGATGTATGACAGGGTTGCTAAGTCCCAGGGAGCCATTAGATGAGATACGTGGGAGCTTGTGCGCAAAAAGAAGATTCAAGCCTAGATGGAAGAAGGGGGAATGTAGGCGAGGAAGCTTCGCGTGATTTCTGCCCTGGTACCACGTTCGCTTCCGAAAAGTCAAAGACGAGAAAAATGGAAGTTGCAGCCTCTTGACGTGGACCGGCCGGTCGTCTAATAATCTTCACAACCGACCCGGCTTGACGCCCAGTTGGACACTGATAGCAATAGGGAAACTATTCCCCAAAATGATCGGAGGCTTTGCCAGCGCATCGCATTGAGCAACTCTCCCAATCCACCGCCGCCAGAAAGTGATAGGTTAACCACTGTGCAAAGACCCCCTCTCCAAATCGCATCTGAACTGCCAGTGCTAATTTTATCACCGCCGGAGGTCAAAATCCCTGGCATGTCCTGGAAGGAGTCCGCTGATCTAAGGAAGATCCGAAAATGGGACGAAGCACTGGACGTTGGAGCAAAAGCTGCAAGCTCTGTCTCGATCACCTCGGTTCGACTATTCGGATCCTCCACCTCCTCATACCCGGTCCTCTTCTCCAACTTGGCTTCAGTTGTTCCTGCTGAATCTTTCCCCAATCCCCCACTCGTTCGTTTTCATAATGGTAAGGATCCGTCGAACAAAGTAGGGACATTCGTTCCGTTCCAAATTATAATGATGGCGATCGTCCACGAGAACCTCCCCCGTATGAGTTCATAGAAGATGGCTGAGTCTCCGACGCTAACGAAAACAGCAGGCCCCACTCCAGTCCCAACCCCGAGTCTTGCTTAAGGGGATTCTTGTAGTGAATTCAAAATACAGTCAGATAGAAGCTAATTAGATAGCAAATGTCAACCTAGACACTTGCCTGTTCCTATAATCCAACTCGTCAAAACCACATCTCAAAAAAATCAAAAACTCCGAGGTTTAGTCGCGCTGACCTCCAGTCATTAGGGTAAATTGGGTCGAGGATCGCTGGGGGAGGATGTCATGAAGTCGGTCCTAGGATTGAGCGGAAGCAAGAAACACGTCACGCAACAGAGCAACTGGTTGAGATCGAACTGATCGTACGGGAATGCGATCTCTTGGATTTCCCTGGCCCTTAATTCACTGCGATGTCCAGCCTTTTATAAGGCATCGATGTACGCGGCCAAGTGGTCCTGGGAGAACCATCTCACTTCCTCCCATTGATGGTCGCCGCTACGCGAGCAAATCCGCTTGGTCCAGTGGGCATAATGCCTCTTTTTCCAGAAGTGCCAGCCCCTCCTATCAATAAATATATCGTAGAGTGTTGCGCAATGTTCGGCGAGCATTATCACTACTGCTAGTTCCTGCCCTCGCCGTTCCTCCAAACATGCTAGGCGATGGCCCGAATGCTTGGTCATATCCGGCACGCAGGAGTATGAGCAGACTAGTGTCTTTAGATCCTTTAAGTCCCCCAAGGATAGGCACATCTGTTCGGAAAACTGCCAGAGACTGGCTTCGTGGTCTGGCCAGTCAAAGCCTTCCGCAACCATCATGGCATTTTCCTCCTCGCTATCATCCCGATCGATTGGCCACACCGGTTCAGAATTTGACCCCTTCTCCCCCCTTCATCACTGCTCTCGCTTCACTCGAAAATTCCGAAAAGTGGTGAGACCTTGCCATGATAGACGTGGTAATTCTCCTAACGTTGCTAACTGCCCCATCCTTAACAAGTGTTAGCCGAAGGAATGGGATGATGGAATTGATGTGCTGCACACGAATTGATTGGAGTGAGCTCCAATCGGACCCAGGGAGAGGTATATATGGCTCGAGAAGGACACCAGGATGGTCCAGTGTAATCATTTCTATGGAACGCAGGCGGCATTTCGATGTAGAGCTCAGATCCCTCCTTGTGATCTGATTGATGAACCGTGTGAGTCCCGTATTTATATTGTGGAAGGCGCATTCCTCCAACCCGCCAACCTCCAAATCACCAGAGCTGATACTTTTCTCAAGCTCGTGAAAAAATATTTGTGCAGGCTCGGATTCCCCCCCAAGAAAGAACTCGAGTCTCCGAAGCCTGGGGCACAATCTGATGCCCTTGATCAGTCGCTTGGCTTCCTGCGCGGTGTCGTGACGTTGATGCTCCTCCCCATTTAGGGTTTGATGCTCCCAAAACCCGATCGTAATACATATCGATTGGACATATCCTCCGATCGAGCGATGTGGTGGAGGTGTCAGGAGAAGCTGATTTATGTCGAGACATTGGTGCACTGTGCTGCCAAGCAGCGATAAAGGCATCGTGATGTGCCTCCAAAGTAGTGCATCTGTCATGTTGCAAAAGTGTTGACTGGTGACGTTCAACGTCCTGAGAGTTGGGCGGTCGAGCACAGTTTCGCAGATGAGCCTCTGGAGCTCAACCGGGAGAGTTGTGAGGGATGGGGGTGTACGCATTTGAGTTCTGGCTGGATGGGGATATCGAAACAAGTGGTTATGTGGGACTGGTTTTTTATCCGCTTGAGATTCCGAATCTTTGACTTGCGGAGAGGCAATTATGACACTTACTATGCTCAAATTGTAGTTTCCAACAATCCGACAAACCAAATCAGAGAGGGAAGCTCGTCGTGGCTAATCCAGTTTGTTTACGTTCACCTGAGACCGGGTGGGGATAATAGGAAGCAGAGCTAGAGGCAATACAACACTGAAGACCGAAAGTTATCGGGACAGGCAGGCGGAATACTAAGCTGTTTCTGACCGTGTCTCGAAAGCAAGCACGCAGAGGAAGAAGAGGAGAGAGACAGCGGACTACCAATCTCATGAAGGGACTTATGAGTGACCCAAAGCCAATGCCATGGATCTCCATAGTTAATTTAATAATGTAGTACAACACGCTTCGGCGCTGAAATCAGAACATAAAGAGAAACTTGGACAGCGGTCCCCGGAGTACGATGCGGGAAATACACACCCATGAGTATCAGCCCCGATGAACAAAACGAGGGTCCACAGAAAGGAGACCCCTCAAAGCATTAGTGAGAACCCTATTGCGGTGGGCACAAGTATAGGAGCACAACTGCATCAACAACGAACAAGGTTGTGTACATAAGCCAAACTTGTTGAAATTCGTACCTAGAACTGTGAAGTGAAGATATCATGTTGCTGAAGAATACAATGATCAGTGCATGTGTGCATGTGAGAAATCCGCCAATGACTGCTGCGCGCTAATCACTGGGGAACAGAAGCACACGCTGCAGCTTGCTCTATTGTGTGCTGGAGGATCGATATCGAGTGAGAGTTGGAAGGAGGATGATGTGATGTCAATGTCATCGAATTGATGATGCGTCCACTCAGTGTCCCCCGCGGCCAGCTTCATGCGATTTGAATTCAGTTTAAGACGTTAGGATTAATTGTCAGAGCAGTGGAACGATGAGCTCAGGCTAGATGAATATATCATGAGTTAGGGATCTAAAGCTTCGAACAGTCGAGCACAGAAGTCCGGAGTGGCGCATGGCGGAACAGTTGGAGCACGAAACATGCCCATGTGTAGCCACGGAATGCAAGGATGTATATGAGAAAGTTCTTTCCATCCACGAAAATGAAGCGCCACGTTATCCAAGTTATGATCATCCAAACGACACCCGACCCAAGGGAGATAGTTAGGATAATCATTAGAATCCCCCCAGTATCATCTGATGATGCGGGTGGTTAGAATGCAGTGTGTGTACTAGCTGGCATGACAAGCTAGTAACGCCCTTTGCGCTGAGGAACGACATCTTGATTCACTTAGTCTAAAAGAACAGTTCTGTGACGATCGTGAGAGGCAGTGGAATGCCAAGTAGCTCTATTACTCACAAGCGCCCTAAAGGCTATTGGGTATATGCATATGAGCTTGCACTGCCCGGGTCAACGAGATTCTCGTCAAGGCAAATAGACGAATAGATCTATTCTTATATCCTGCCTAACGAATAGACGAATGTTTAAAGCAGTTTCGCGGAAATAGCTGTAATCACATGGCTAACATATATTCCTCATGATGATCGGACCGTATTTCGGACTTTTGACCCAGTCGAAAGCACACAAATGGTCAGGACCAACACGACTGGGGAGGAGTCTGGGATTTAGGCAGTAGCGCTTTCGTAGTTGGGTTTAGGTTTCAAGTCAGCATATACAGCAAAATAGTAACGCAATTATAATCTCGCAGTGCCATTGGCAGGTTTCTTGATGGAACCCTTCCCGAACACCTTGCTCAACTTGGCAAGATCCCGAGTGTCAATCAATTCCTCTTCCTCCTCGGCAACGGTGAGATTGGGGAATCTGGGAACATTCCGGTCAACCACCAGAGTCAAGTGCAGGACGCTGCACACATACTTCTTTGGAACTGCCCTGCGTGGCTCAATGTTAGGGTCCAGCCTATACTTGACGAAGTCCCCATCCTTGAACCCCCATCGTTCCCTCAGGTAATCGTCATCGATCAAGGGGCGCCCCTCGAGACTTTCTTTATCGTCATCAGAAAGAATAGCCAGAATCGTGTCGGACCAAATTTCAGGTTTGCGAAGGTATGTTGCCGGAGAATTACCACTTTCGGACGAACTGAGGGAAGAGAGAACGGTCGTTGCCGCGCTTTCGACTGAAGTTCCTGGCCATAAAGAGCAAGGGGTAATGCGAGAAGTTGGGTAGTTACGCTTGATGTCGATAGGTAAAGACATGATCATTGCTGTCATTGGAATCTTGGAGTGGGTTAATACATTTAGTATAAAGTGATCCCCGATAATGCCGACATGCCTTGGACATTGCGTATGCAATCTTGCCGCGCAAAAAGCGTTTGTAAATTGGGGGACTAACAACAACGATTTTGGGGGTCCAGTCTGCGGATTCACCCCTAAACTCCTCGGCCTTCCGGAGCCATTGCAGCGCCTCTTTGACAACGATGAAAGAGCCGCGACCATTCACACCCATAAGTCTGGAATTAAGGAATTGCACTTCAACAAAATGGGAAAAGATCGACCCAGGGGTTTGGAACGTACAGATCAAATTTCTTGAGCGTTGTTTCAGGGACCGAGAGCCACGACAAGGCCCCTGCGTTGTATATGACACTGTGAGGGTAAAATTTAGGTGCAGGAAAGTGTTGCGCAATTGTGTTCAGGAGGGCAGCCACGAATTCCGTAGTAGATGTTACAGCATCCCATGGCAGTGGTAGAGCGAGTCCCCCAAAAGCCTAAAACACGGAAGTCAGTGGGTGTTTACGACAAGTGCTACATGAAGGCATACCTCGATCTCGCGCACGACTCCTTCAATACTGCCTTCTAAGTGATACTTGGCTTTGATTCCTGCCTGAGGGTTCTCCGTCGTCTTTGCGGCAACGCCAACAGCATACCCCTTTCAGACGTGTCAGAAAATTTTGGGGAAAGGAAAGAAGGACAATGGTATACCTCCTGAGCCAAACGGAGTGCAACAGCCTTTCCTAGTCCTCTCGATGCGCCAAAGACCACAACGATTCGACCGTTAGGGGGGTGGGCTCTGGATGCCATTTTCCACTGTATGATGTGCCGGAGTGGATTGATACTGAGCAGGTGACCAACCTCTCTTTGATACGTGGCTACATTTCTCCGCTTTTGGGGTCGCTTTCAGCTGACAGTCACCGGTCCCTGCAGTTAGGCGTCCGCGGTGCAAATGCAATAAAATTTGTCGGAAAATCCCGGATTTAAAAAAAAAACGCTGTAAACGGACATCGGCCAACACCGCGCACGTGACTGGAGAGAGTTGGTCCACGAAGGAAAATGTCAAAGAGTGCTAGCGGCTCAGGGGAAAGGCGTCCAGGTATACGGTATATGTAGGGGAAGAAATATTTACGGTTGTTCAACGTGATGATGGTCACGTGCTACTGCACCGGGAACTTGCCGTCGTGCAACTCCAAGCTATGGACGCTTCGGTCGGTCTTCTCGATTTTCTCCATGGACTACTTCATGTAACACGTATACGACGTTTGTGCGCAAGTGTAGAGACCTAATGCTCTGAACAAAGGCGTACAAGGACTATGGGCTACTCATAGGAAGGCGCGATTAAACCTAAACTCGGCGCCACCCCCAGGATCAGCTGCTGGGGATGCCATTCTACAATCGGTGGCTGACAATATGAACAAATCCCCATCTAGAGCAGATAAAAGTGCACCTCGCCCCGAATCTACCGAGTCTTGTGCTAATGGAGCGTTACCAACGTCTGGAACTCCAACATTTGCCACCGTGGCAGAAAATCCCCTCTCCGACGCGCCGACTTCGACAAAACGAAAAACACGTACCGAAGGAGGCGTCTCTAAACGCCCAAAGACGTCTTCTAGTGGCCTTTTGACCTCGAAGGACAAAGACTTTGCCCATCCATCGGTCCGGTTAGCCGACCTCGGCGGGGTGCAATCCTGTATAGAGAAAGTGCTCGAGCTGGTGGCAATGCCAATTTCTCACCCCGAGGTCTATGTCCACACGGGGGTACAGCCCCCTCGCGGTGTTCTTCTGCACGGCCCACCAGGATGTGGCAAAACTATGCTAGCGAATGCCATCGCTGGAGTGAGTCGCTCGCTTAGATTCTCACCCGGACACATACCATGATTTTCCATTCACAGGAACTGGAGGTTCCATTTATTAGCATCTCTGCGCCTTCAATTGTGTCCGGGATGTCTGGTGAGTCAGAAAGGTCGCTTCGAGGAGCATTTGACGAAGCTCAAGTGAGTGCAGTCCCCTTGTTGTCGACCGACTCTAATCCGCGAAGAAAGCTGCCCCAAGCATCTTGTTCATAGATGAAATAGACGCGATAACACCCAAACGTGAAAGTGCTCAACGTGAAATGGAACGCCGTATAGTGGCCCAATTCCTGACTTGCATGGACGGCAAGTTCAACCTTTCCCCTTTCTTGAGCCCTCACCTGAGTGTTGTCCTCAGAATTGTCCTGGGAAAAAACTGGCAACAAGCCCGTAATTGTGATCGGCGCCACGAATCGACCTGATTCATTAGACAGTGCGCTCCGGAGAGCGGGCCGATTTGACCACGAAATCTCAATGACAGTTCCAGACGAGATTGGCCGGGAGCAGTGAGTTCCAAATTACATTGAAAACACAAGGATGCATGACCCCGAATGCGACAGGATTTTGCGAGCTCAATGCGTCAAGCTAAAGCTTACCGGTGGCTTTGATTTCCGTGCCCTTGCGAAGGCTACGCCTGGGTATGTGGGTGCAGATCTCAGTGCACTTACGGGAGCCGCTGGGGTGATCGCTGTCAAGCGTATATTCCGAAGTTTCGGAGGATTTGACGCTGATCCACCCTCAGTCAACGGCAAAGACCAACCTGGAGTTCATACCCAGTCACCAGAAGATATTGCTCAGGCTTCAGACATGCAAGTTGATGAGGATATTACTTCGGTGATATCTTCCCAAGCTGGGGTTGTTGCTCCGTCAACAAATCCAATTTCCAGCAGCATAAGCTCCTTCTTGAAGCGCCACCCAAACCCCCTGACACCTGAAGAACTCGAACCCCTCACTATTACATATGACGATTTCCTTGCTGCTCTCACACAAGTTCAACCTTCCTCAAAACGCGAGGGCTTTACTACCATTCCTGACGTTACCTGGGCTGATATTGGAGCCCTCCACTCAATCCGCGATGAGCTTAAAATGGCCATTGTCCAACCCATCCGGAGACCTGAAGTTTTCAGGGCTGTTGGCATCACGGCATCATGTGGCGTACTGCTTTGGGGCCCACCTGGTTGTGGAAAGACCCTTCTTGCAAAAGCTGTGGCAAATGAAAGTCGGGCAAATTTCATAAGCGTGAAAGGCCCTGAACTTCTGAATAAGGTTAGTTACTACGTTTCAGTGCTCTACCCTTCTTTAAGGTCTGACACGTGAGGGATCTCTCTTTTAGTATGTGGGTGAATCCGAACGTGCAGTTCGGCAGGTGTTCTCAAGAGCTGCCGCGTCAGCACCGTGCGTAATCTTTTTCGATGAGCTGGATGCTTTAGTGCCAAGGCGAGATGATAGCCTGGTGAGTGTGGCATCTCCCCAATTTCAATCTGCTGATCATTTTGCGCTGTATAACTAGTCAGAGTCAAGTGCTCGAGTCGTCAACACGCTTTTGACAGAGCTTGATGGGCTGCAAGTCCGAAAAGAGGTGTACGTGATTGCGGCTACAAATCGTCCGGACATGATAGACCCCGCGATGTGTCGTCCTGGTCGGCTTGACAAGCTATTGTATGTCGACCTGCCCGACGGAGATGAAAGAACGGATATTTTGCGCACTCTTTTACGGAACGTGCCTCTCGCCCCTGACGACAGCTCCAGTCTATCTATCTCTGCGTCTCTAGATGCTATTTTGAACATAGTGCGCCAGAAATGTGACGGATATAGCGGGGCAGATCTTGCTGCTCTGGTGCGAGAGGCGGGGGTGCTTGCGCTTCGGGAAACGCTCAACGTTCTCGATGCGGCTGAGGCTTCGGGTACCAACGTTGGACCGTCGGAGAACCAGCTGATCAAAGTGACCGTGGACCATTTTGAACGAGCAACTGGGAAGGTATTGCCAAGCGTGTCTGTTGCCCAAAGAAGGAAATACGAGGCGTTGCGGAGCAAATTCGCTGGATTACCAATGCGGTCTCGCGTGGAACGTGAAGAGATCCCCAGAGGTAGTAGAGATGACCCTGCCCTCTGATTGTCTTGCCTCCTGCGGCTGTCTGCAAACAGTACGTACTTGGTCTGATGTATCTTGTCATCTAGGTTTATGATCGGATATGCATACTAGGGGAGCCAGGTCGTTAGGGGGGACCGCCACACCCCAAACCGTCCCGCCAATGAGTGCTGCGCTGTGTATTTGTGCCATGGGATGGGATGCTGATGCTGGACAGTCGTCAATGCTTTGCTTCAAATGAAGCGTGATTCGTTGGGGTGTCGTGTGCGATACATTTATTAGTCAATAACGATGATATATGTAATTAATGTAAATAAGCACCTGTCAGGGCAGACCCTCAATTTGCTTCCGAAAGCAACCCTCCAACTGACATACCTGAAGCATTCATACAGGATTCTTCACGTGCGCCTAAAATCATGCTCATTTAATCAGTCTTTGTGTTCCCATCGCCGCTCGTTGCTTCCCTGCTTTTTCGCTGGACGTATAAGACAATATTCCTCTATGCGCTATGGAGGACCTCAAACCATCCTTTGCTCTAATGGATACTCCTCCTTCGCTCCCTGCCATGTCCTTCCCTAGTTCCGGTCTAGACCTACCACTGTTCCAAAATACCGACTTATTTTCTGAGACTGATAGCTCGTTCTCTTACTCCGTTGATGCGCCACTGAACCCTGGGGGACCAAAGCTTTCTACTTCTGAACCAGTATCTACTCCCGCGCATGGGCCAAATTTACGGTACAAACACAGTGCACGACGCAAATCCAAGCGCCACTCGCGTATCGACAGTAACATTAGCAACGATTCAAGTCATATTGATAAAGACCTTCACTCCCTACGCGTCCGTTCGAATCCAGCCCCGAAGGAACACCGTGTAAGCCATATTGTGCATGCAAAGTGAGTCATCCTTTGATCATGCATCACCATTATTCATGCGAGTCGTTTGGACTTATCGCACGTTTACCACTCAGCACCCAAACACTCCCCTCCCCTCAAACTGCTCTCTTAGTGCAGAAGGAGGAACCTATTCTTACCTCTGTATGGGACCCTGATACTTCTTCTGAGGAAGAATCATATCGCGCCCAAGGGCAAGGGAGATCGTCGAAACCTAGGATCTCACGCTTTTCGATGAACGTGTTTAAATCTGCTTTCGGTCGAAGCGCAAGGGGCATCCCTACACCTCAAACGGAACATATACCTTCCTTTGCCCCAGCCAAACCGTCAGCGGGAGTAGATTATTCGGCCCATCCAACATATTTGCACCCTGAGTTATTGAGACCCGTCTTTCAGGGCGGGACTCCGGCAATGGGCGAGCAGACGCATCGCGGGAACTCATCGCACCTTTCAGAGGCCCCAAGACCCAGAGAAGATTCGCACAGCGGTGTTGAATCGTCCCAGATACCCCAAAGTCCGACATCCGTACCCCTGTCCTTTCCCACGTCATCTGCATCTTCATCGGGCTCACTGGCTCCTTCACCGAGCCTCTCTCCCACCCGGTCAAGGATAAGTAGGTCTGCTCTTGTTGGGCCTCCGCGATCACCTCCGCCCTCTATTCCCATTCCCCCGACGCCGAATATGTCACTTAATGCTCCCAGCCTTGAGACATCAAGGGAAGTAAAGTCAACGGAATCCGGTGGTTTACAGTGGAAACAGGTCTCGGCGGCTCCAAGCTCGTTTCCTCATTTTCAGCCTTTTACTGCAGAGAACGGAGACGCGGGATGTAGCTCGGACAGGACATTGGCTGAAAGGCGTATCAGTGCAATGGGGAGAAAGCTCAGTGGACCCAGCTCGCCCACCTTGGAGAATGGGTTATTAAAGAGAAAGGAATCCTCTGTCTATTCCCTCCTCCTGGCGAAATTCCCTTGCCACCGTCCCCCACCGTATCCTTTAACTCTGCACATGCTGGAACATCTGGAGTCACGGATATGAGGGAGTCGGTTTTGGCAGATGGCCGATCATTGCTGCGTCGTCCGTCCGCAGGGTCAAGGTCACGCTCTGGCTCCCTCTTGCGTGAGGGCCGACCCCCTGCCGCAAAGGGCGGCTTGACAATTACCCCTAGTATCCCCAAATTCGCCTCTCCAATACCAAAGGGGGAGCCTGCAGTATCCGATATTCAAACAGGAAAAACTTTTGTTCTTCGGGGAGACGCGAGAGTTGAGCCTAAGTCAGACGACAATGATGATGATATCCCTCTGGCGTTTTCACTCTCATCCCAACGACATGCGCGTGCATCTGTTGGGAACACAAATCGTCTCTTTGCAGCCGCAATGCCTCGGACCGCATCGATGGTCTCACCCCAAGGTGGCAGTCGCGATGAGCTTAAGGATGGTAGCGAGCAAGCGACGCTCGTTCCCCCCCTCGGTTTACGTCAGCGTTCTGCTTCTTCGTCCCCTATGGGTAGCCTGCCAACACTGATAGAGGCCCGCCGTGTCTCTAGCCACACAGAAATCCCATCACTTCTAACTACGAATCCCAGTGCTCTATCAATGCGAAACAGCGAGTCCTCGGGGCGAGGTACTGGGTACACGTCCGAGGTAACGCTTGAATCACATTCACCTTCGCATAGTTCCTCAGATCCTCCTGTTGAACCCGAAAAGCCGAAATCAAAAGTTGCGCGATTGTGGAATCGGAAGTCGATGCTTAAGATTCAAACACATTCCAAACCTAGCTCGCCAGAGATCTCTGCCCCACTGCCTAAACCAAATGTGAGTCGTATCGTCACAAATTGAAGTCGCTTGACAAACAGTAATGATCATTTGGCTGCCAGAGTCCTTTCCTCAAGTCCCCTTTCGTTTCATCTCCTACACGTTCGTTCTTTTCCAATCCTCTTGGTCTCAGGTCTCGTCGTTCTTTAAATACACTCAACCAAAACTCACGCACTCATGACTCGATCCCTCCTTCACCTGTCATGCCTGAGATTATCTTTGATCCTTTTAGGGCGATTAACAACAGTGCTTTACGCAGGCCAAGCATTTCCCCTCCGCAGTCTCCTGTGTATTCGCCCTTGATCTTTTCTTCCTTTGACTCTACCCCGTACAGGCCAGCGCCGTCACCACCCAAGTCACCAGTTTTTGATGAAGAGCCTTCTACCTCTCGTAAGGACCGCTTTCGTCGACTATCCTTACCCTCATTCCGCAAACGACGTGCGAATGCTAGGTCCCCGCCGTCACCAATGCCGAATGTCCCTCCGCCGATCGTAATACCCCTGTCTGTAACTCCCCACCCCCACCGGTGCCCCCAAAGCCTGCGTCTTGTGTACCACTGTCCAACCTCACACCTGTCCGTTCTCCTACTCCGCCGGTACCGGAACGTGTCGGTCGATCTCAGCACCGGTTGCCACTGGGTGACGCTTCCGCCGCTTGCGCAGCACGCTCGCGTCTTTCACCGAGTCCAACTCCATCCCGCAATCAAGAACGATCGAGGTCGCGATCTCTCCGGCCCTCAAGTCCAAAAGGGTAACCACGCCCACGACAGGGATATGTCAGACTTAACGCAAAAATAGTGTTTAGATGAGCTCCACCTTCACTCTTCGTTGTGCTGAGCATAGATCCTGCTTGAGCCACCGCACTTGGAGAGGTTCGCATTTCTGACTTGGCCTCCTTCCTTCTTTATTAGCTATATTTGCGCAATCCAGGTGTCGAAGCTCTTGGTTTCCCTCTCTCTCTTTTTTCATCAGTCAACGTCGTCTAATTGTTGTTTGACACATTGAATGCGGCGCATTTCTCATCCATCTCGTACCTACTTAATCGCGTATTCATAATTCTCCAGATGATATTGTGATATTGAATATGAATATCAGTTGATCTCTGCAAGCTCGTGTAGACGAAAGCCGTGCATCTGCATTTCGGAAGCGTTCGAAAGCGACAGGTACCGGTAGGATCTTGAACCCTTCATGAGCCAAGTAATTGTATTTACATATTCGTTGCGCCTTTCGGCAATCTTGCGAGTCCCCAGTTGATACCGAATGTCGTGTGGTTTGGGTTGACAACAAGCGAGGGTTGTTGGCCCTTGCCAATCCTTCACGACTACAGTACCATTTACTTCATGAAGAGTGAAACCGTCTGGCATGCTAAGCGACATCCCTAGTCTCTGCCGGACGCTTATTGAGCAGGAGGTCGAGGGACGACAGTTCGATGACATCCAGGTTTGTCCGGAAACAAGAATTGTCTCAACGTGGTGTGCATTGGCCACCAGAGAATACCAAGACATGTGAGCTGTCAAGGCCCCACACATCGGGAAGGGTAGCAGGAAGTTTTATGACTGGCTAGGTGGAGGAGACAGCCTCGGTAGAGGGTCCATTATCTTTCTCGGCCTCGACGTCCGTGTTAATGGCTCATGTTGACCTCTCTTACTGTACCTCGATCCAGTCCCCCTTGACCCATTCCCACTAAGTCGGCGAAAACAATATGGATAATTGATGAATCGGGAATGTATCTCAACTGTCATCGAGATCAAACTCGGGGTCGGCAATTTCAGCAAGAGATCGACGTCGCATCACCCCGACGGTCATGTGATAATTCGAAAAAAAAAATGCGTCCTAAATAGTTAGTTAGGGGCATCACACCAAATTTTTTGTAATTAGCGGATGGGACACCGGGAGAATAGCGTGGCGACGACCCTGACGACCTGAATTTGGGAGCGATCCAGTCTCGGTGCCAAACTCTCTGCAATTTCAGTTTGCCATTTATGCAACAACATTGAATATGCGTCTGTTCAAGTCAGACCTCCTCCATCTTTTTGACCCCCCACCTGTTTGCTTACTTATCTCAGCAACATGGTGTTATTTCCCTGAGTCATGGGATGCAGATGTAGGTCGTGAAAGCCGTCAAATTCAGTATCAACTTGTGAGAACAAAATACAACTCCGCCACTCTTATGTTCCATCTTCACAACCGTCTAAGCCACCAGAACCTTTTCTGCGGTCCCTGCGGGGACTGTCTGGTCAGAACTTTTCATTGACGCATTCTAGGACTGAATGTCAGTAATGTCGTCTCCTGTGCACAAGAAAATTCAAACCAAAGTCCACAGATAAGGTGTTCATCCCTACGAAAACCTGGATAATGGGCTGGTAGAAATCGAGGGCGGTAAATCTGCATCCGCAGTGCCCCAAGTTGAAGGTGCGGGTCCGAGTGTCAGTTCCAAAGTGCCTCCTTTCCCGAAAAGTTCGCGATGGGCGAACCAATTCCTTGTAAACGGCACTCCATTCAATTTTGCGGACACAACGTATTTGTTCCTCACGGCGCTGTCAAAGTTGACTGTGGTAATTACTGCAGATTTGCCTGGGGTAGAGGCAGGATATGTGATAGTGCGGAACAGTGGGGTAGAAATGAGGTATATTCCAGTGCCTGTAAAACGGTTCGAATACTTGTCACATGAGTATAGAAATGTCATCTCACCAGCTACGGGGTAGAAACCAAAGCAGGAAAAAACCACAAAGCCACCCATTGCGCCAGACTAATCTGAGTTTAATGACAAATAGCGATATACTGGGGACGGGTTACTTACATCATCGTTTCCAGGAATACCCCCAAATCCGGTATTGTAGTAAGTATTGAGCAATATGAGAACTCGATCAACTGTTTTGTCAGGTCGACCTGCATAGTTGTATAGGAAAGGGTGCAAGAAGCCTGGTTCATCACCCATGTCATGGAACCCTAGGTCGAACAAGGCATCCAGGCGATCCAGAAATGTTCTTTGGCCACCCATGAGTGTCACAAGTCGTGCCATATCATGTGGTACTTAAAGAGACGGTCAGGGGCAGTCGCTCGCAGCACGATGTCCCGTACCATAGAAGCTGTATTCCCAGCTCGAGGCTAGCAGTGGGCAGCACGTCAGGTATGGAGATTGAAACGAATACGACCGAGGTCCTACCTTCGTAGAATTCCACGGCGTCACCCAAGTAGCAACTAAAAAGAGTAGTGGTATTGCAGCAATTCCCTCTAATGATAAGAGCCTCGCGCACCCGTGAGGTTTCAATTGTGGGCTACAGTAGCGAGGATCAACATTGTGCCAAGACCCGTCACTCCATCTAAGGAACAATTGATTAAATAAAGCACAAAAGTACTTGCGCCATAAGTATTTCTCACCGGGGTTGAATGAAACCTGAGTACCCTGAATTCTGTGTTGTTGGGTTCCACAAGTGCTGCCAATCTCCGGAAGCATTCAAATAATGAGAAGTGATGTCCGCCTTGCCCAATCCATCGGCAGTAATCGCCTTGGATGGAAGTATGTAAGCAAACGAAGTGACGTCGATCATTTTGGCTGGACCCACGATCCCAAAATCATTGAACGCATACTCAAGAGTCCTTGAAGCACTCCTGAGGACCTGCTCAGTCAGTCTGCTCATATTGTGTGCAAAAATTGGTGAGACTGCACACCTTCCCATTAAACCATTCGGAGTATCATCGTCTAAGGGCACGTAACCAAGCTGTGCACGTCTTTCGATCCCACCACGTCCCTCGAATGCCCAGTTGGGAGGAGTGACGGTGGCGTCCTTGATCATGGCGGCTAAACCATCCGACCAGTCGATCCCCTCCGTAATTCCCTTCGTGTACGAATCCGATAGAACACTATCGGCATTCGATCCCTACCAAATAAGATTCCCTATTAGCGTAGATGCACAAGGTTCAATGGTTGGGACGTGCCCCTTGAGTGTAACCCTTGTCTAAGGACATGCGACAGTCAGGAAGAAACCCCAGATGTCGATAAATGTCAATGAGCGCCCGAACGACCTCAGCCTGAACCGTTCGGTGGCGATAGCATAGAGAGGATGTACCTAAGTGCGCAAGTCAGTACAAATGATTCAAAAACAGGCCGCTTGCTGGAATGGCATTCTGACCACTCTGAATGTGTCCCCTAGTACAAGAATCACGTCATCAGTGCTCAGTTCGGGGGATAAATACTTAAATGCCTACATATGCAATAGTAGCTATCGTAATATGGTTCGCTAGAGTGCCATAGAGGATTGTCGCCAGTCAAATTCATCGGCGAAATATAAGCCCGGTACAGCGACGAATAGAAATTCACTATGGTGTCATTACTAACACCTGAAAGGTCCACTTGTATTGTTCCAAGAATATTCTCCCATGCGTTTGATGCAGACACTTCGGTGGAACGAAATGCTTCTTCCCCAATGGTCGGAATCTCTGTTCCAGCATACTGACAGGCCTGGGAAGGTGAAGTCCATGAAACGCCAATACGCGCATAAGCTACGTTCCCGGATGCATGCAATGCACCGGGGGAGAGGGACACCAAAATCCCGGAATCTTGGTCGGAGGTTAGGACGGAGGTGGGTATATATACTGGTTGAAAATGATTGTCCGTATAAAAACCTGCAGAGTTGACGTTGGGGATATCGATACAGTAATGGACCTAGATGAGCGGATACATTAGCCGGTTGTCGCAAAAAGAAAGTTAGTAACTTGCTTTATAATCCTTATCGCCAAAACTAGGATTATAAGAACCACTGCCACTCGTACGCAGGGTTCCCGGAAAGCGATTAAATTCCATCTTCAACATCCCAGTGTCATGGAATGAATGACCAAGGTCATTTGTCAGATCGAATAAAATGGTTGGGATGTCGGTCGATGACGAAGAGTACTGCCATCGAAAACAATTTAAATAAGTCAGACAGTACGTCGAAGTGTATCATACGCACGTTGTGAAAAGTGAAGCGATGTAAAGCAGCGTGATGGGAAACAGTGACCTCCGCGGTGATGTTCGAGGCTAGGCCAGTGCCGAAATAGCCGGGGCTACCAACAATCGTCTCAGATATTAGCGAAACTTTTCTATCGGATTCCGCAGTAGGGCAGTGTGATAAGGAGGAGCAGTACATTGGGAGTACTTGAAATTGACCCATGCTGGGACTGCCACCTAGAACCTTGTTCATGCTTAGAAACTGCAAGCGCTAAAACACGACTAACCGGTTCCATCATCGTGAAGGGGAGAAATGCCACGTATTGGACTCCCATCGGAAACGTATCCACCTAAGTTCTCCTTAGAATCGGAGTTGACGACCGCCTTAACCACACCAAAGGGCAAGGTAGCACCAGCGAAGACATGACCGCCATTGGTGGTCCCGATGAACTGGTTAACTAGCCACTCCTTGGTAAGTCTTCATCGCGCCTCTCGACACTCGCATAACACTTGCCGTAAGAGGTCAGAGGTTCCGTGACCACCGTCCCAGGAAGGAGCAGCAACAGGACCGAACGGATGAAGGAAGGCAAGGCGTCAAGCAGAGAGGCCTCGTCGAAGATGAGGTGAAGCGCGACGCTCCCTAGAAAAGCGGCTATCAAGATGTAAACGCCTCTTAACTGCCGTGCACGCCTAAAGCTGATGCGGCAGTATCGCCAGGGTCGCCACAAAGCCATGGTGCAATGGAGACGATCCGTGAGAACTTCGATATCAAGTGAAACCTAAATTAGCAAAGAGTAGCGGGCGCGGTAATTATATACGTATCCCACACGTCAAGTAAGTTGTCAAGGGTGACCTGCACACTGTTCTTGGAAAAGCGTATTTCATAACGTTCCACGAGGTCCCTACCCCGATCTGATGTTTCAATTTTCACTGCAACTGCCACTCAGACGAATGTTCGCAATCCGAAATCGAATAAATTCATCAAATTCACCCATGGTACCTCTCCTGTCAGTGTCACTGTCAAACAACCGTCGATCAGATTCACACTTATGCGCCGGATTAATGAAAGATTCAATACAAATACTTGATCCACAACGTTCGATGGCCAACATTACGTAATGACACACAGATGCGTCTAGACAATAAAAAACAACATTGCCATCAATATGTACATCGTTTATCCACAGGCGATAGGATTCAACCAACGAACGCATTACAACTATGCCAATCCAGTAATAAAAGGGATCGGGATGTAGCAGCGGGAAGCAACAGAACCGAAAGAAGTGCATAAAACACAAGAGGAGTCAGGGACGGCGACAAGTTACAACTGAGAGATGGAGGCATAGAACGCATGCATAAAAGTAGGTAAGCATATCCATGTTCATATTATTAGAGACCAGTCATAAGATGAAATTTTGATGACCGAGGGTTGCACAGCAAGCAGGCAGTATGATTTATGGGGGAATGTCTTCCCATTGCGACTTGCCTCCAAGAACACTGAGGCGACCAAGCTCCTTTCGAGCAATGAGCGACTTGACTTCTGTGTTGATCAGATCTCTCAGTCTAACTAGGTCGACACTCCGTTCCGCCTTGGAACCCATAATGAGATTTCTCCATATGGCGGCCGCCGCAACAGAGTTATCCACGGTCAGTTGCATTGGCCGATTAATGCGAATGATTTTCTGCACGAGATTGTCTGGCTGAGGATATATCGCGTTAGGCCATGCTGCCTGAATAGCGAACCACCATCCGAGGGGCTGGATTTAAGAGCGTAAGCACTAAGTAGTTGAAACTGGTTGAGCACATACCCTGCCATCGGCTAGAGTCTTCTCTGGATACGTATCGTAAGTGGTCAGTGAGCCTTCCGGAAGAGCAAACCTGATGCATTCCGTCAGTCGTCGATTTGCTGCGCGTTTGGACTAGAACTCACCTGTGGACGACGTAGTGATTAGCGTCCCGGCGGTGACGGGCGAGCACGATGAGAAGTCGCGGCATTCCGTCGAAACCGAATGGAGCCCACAAATCACGAAGCATCACCTTGGCGTCTCCGTGACGTCCATTGAACACGGCGATATTGATGGCATCGGCAATGTTGGGCGGAACGTAGCACCTATCAACACGACCGGGTGGGTGTTCGACTTGCTTGGCTCGCACGTAGCGTTTGTACGTCTGTGTCAGCCAAATAGTCAATGCCACCTCATCCACATGTACGCCGGGCAATGTGCTGGCGAGAGCCCGCTGGAGCTCATTATCGGACCAGACAAGTGCCCAATCAAGTAGACGTTGATACACTCGCTGCCAAGAAGGGATGGCTGGGATTTGCGCCACTTGCCAGTCGTTTGCAGGCCAATGTTGTTGGGTTTTCGCCGCTTCCAAAGGAAGCGGAGGAAGTGGTGGAGAGGGTGGCCGATTGCGTTCTTGTACTTCGTTGTGGTGAAGCTCTTCATGATGCTCTACGTTATCAGGGACGTTGGCCAATAGCTGCGAGTCTGTACGACCAGTCTGGGAAACATGCCAGGTCTTACCGAGATCACCCGCCTCCAAGTTATCTTTTATACGAAGACGATACATCTCTGGCTTTGCAGCACGCGGATCGAACTCCGAGACTGTTCCTTGGCTGAGGGTCAGCTTGCCAGTACGACGCAAGTGGTGCGATTGCTTACCACCTTCATCATTTTCGTCATAATCACGCTGCGTAAGTGTACCAACTTTGCTCCGTGTATCACCGTCGGTCCGCTCATTCGTGCGAGCTTCTTCACCTTCATCACCATACAATTCTTCGTGTTCATGGTTAGGTGTGTCAATATGGACAGTCAAATCTTTCTCAGTGTACCCATCCTCGTACTCTTCTTCACCTCCGTCAACTGTTGGAGGCTGATCTTGCTCAGGCGCTTTGATAGTGTCTCTGTCATCGTCCTCAATTTGGTGGGGGGTAGCCTGAGCCAGCGCCCTGTTCGCATCTTCTAACGCAGCAATATGTTTTTGCTGGTCTCGAAGGATGTCAAACAACCCCTGCGCCCATTTCGGCGGCGTTTCGTCATCATCCTGTATGTTGAACGAGTAGGTCTTTTAGCGTCCACAACAGAGAACGGTATCTCCACGGCGCTCACATCAGTGTCCTTTATCGCCCGATGGCGATGAAGCCCCTGCTGGTGGTGCTTGCGAGCAATCATGAGCTATGCATCCCCCAATTGCATAAATATCCTGCATTCTAGGCTTATAAAAACACACACCTCACGCTGATGATCCAAACCGAGTCTCCGTACACGTTCCCGAACGCCTTTTCGCAGGACCTTTCTCACAACTTCGTGTGTACCCTCATTATCGGCAGCATGTAAAAGAATGCATAACTCCTCATCGTGGAAATGTGATGCATTAACTTCTCCAGCAAGTGCTGATGAAGTGAGAGCTGTGTATGCGCTCCGGGGTGTCCTCGTAAGGTCGATCTCTGTGATCTCGTTTACACGGCCAAGCGGAGTCGCTTGTATTTCGTCCTCATCGTCTGCTCGTTCGGTACGAGATTGCCGAGACGGGGCTCGGACATCCTTCCCTTTAAATAATGCCGTTGGGAGAATTGGTGTGAAGCCGACACCGCCACTTGGCGTTGGGTTCAGTTGCATCGTGATTGGAGGAAGATCTTCCGTTACTGTCGTTCGTGGGCTACGGACTGTCTTGGGTGGCCGATTCTGAGGAGAAGTAGGTCGAGTACCAGTCGCGAGAGCATTCTCTTGCCGAAGAATATCCGTCAGCGGATGTAAGCGAGTGGACAATGGGGATTTTGGTGGTGGTGACGAGGCCCTCACGCTCTCAATCTTCTTCGAAAGACGTTGCAGCGGAGATTTAGGCGAACCAACATTAGACTGCGGTTGCGGTGATTTCGCACGCCCAGACACAAGGGATGGCGCTTTCGTGGCTCCCTTTTCCGGAGATCCGACCACTGAAATAGGGATAAATGAGGGCTGGCCACCGACAGGCGATGAAGGCAGAGGGACTTTGGATGGCGTGGGTGTTGCCCTAGTTTCAGACAATGGGGACATGGGTCTCCCGGCACGGGACGGAGCTCTCGAACGTGAACGCTCGGCAGCGGACTGGGGTTTGGAAGCAGATGGATTATCGGCCAGGGTGCGCACAGTGGGAGCCGGCATTTCTGTGTCAGCCTCGCTAGAGGCTTGTTCAGTCTGACAAAATACTTCATTAAACCGATGGTTGCTACATAACGAACCGAACCATCTAACGAACGCACCGGGTCACCTCTATCCTCATCCTGCCCCTCCATTTGTCCTCCGTTAAGAACAGATGACTTATGACTGGGGGTTTTCCGGCTTCTACTTTTCTGGCTCTTAGCACCGCTGTCAGAAGGAGCTGGTAGAGGAGTCATTGTACGTGAGTCGGTAGCAGCTTGTATCTGGATATAAGGCGTAGATGGAGTAAGACCATGGGGAGGGAGAGGGACTGCTGCTGCTTTCGATGGAGTATCTCCGAGTTGGGAAGGGCCAAGCCGTGGCAGTCCATTTACACCGGGAAGCGGTCCCATGTTTCCCCAAGACTCAAAAGAATCGATCACTTTCCCACCTCGGAATGATTTGGGTGGAGAAATGGGGTTTACACCTGCCCATGGATCCGATGGCTCGACGACTCTCTCCCTCAAGAACGACTTGGGCGTTGAAGCAGTGATCTTCGGATAACATTTCTGTGTCTGGTTCCATGACGAAGACGACCGAGCGGCTTACCTGGTGGGCATGCTCGGCAGGAGTTTGCCATTGCTGCGAATGCTCTTGGTCGACGGATTGAATCTCATCTGGTTGTCGAACTTGAGGGGAGGCAGCTGGAACGTAGTCTACATCCGACGATCCCCCAAAAAGCTCTTGATTGAGAGTATGTGTTTGCTGGGCGTCGGGAGGGATGGCGATTGGGGGGCCATTTAGTATATCTGCAGGACCTTCATCCCAAGGACCATCATCGCCACCAGAGATATGTTCGAATTCGCTTCCATAGTTGGACACCGGCTTCGAGACGCGACTGGTTCCCGCCATAGTCCTCAAGTACTGGCTCACTATGATGGTTTAAGGAAAGGAAAAACGGATATATGTTCGTAAGGATATTCCGTGAAACCGATCGCCGCTCGTTCATACCTTTCTCGTCCGGAGCTAGAGAAAGATGCAAGCCATAATTAGCACGCTTGCGATAACCCTGGTGAACTATTGATGAATATACGCACGGGGTGTCTGGGAGCGCATCAGAATGGGGGCAAAAACTTCATTTCCCTCCGTAGGACTGAAACGGTCGTCCATGACACCGCAAGTAAACAGTTAACTATCGTTGGGTTGATTTTTGACAGAGGAAAAGGTGGCGCAAAGTCAAAGGGAGGGACACGAGGTATCCGTGAGGGTAGGGGTTTATAACTCAAGGAGGTAGCAGCAGCTATGCTGAATGCGGAATGGAGGTGCAACGAGGCTACAGCACGAAACAACCAAAATGCAACCAAATAGACGTCAACAATTCCCATTTGACCAATCTTGGTCCCCGGCAGTGCCACAGGTCGCCTGTTGTTCCGTTCAACTGTGACCGCAGCTAGATCCTGCCGCTGGCCATTCGTGAAATAAGAAAAAATGCATTAAAGTGATACGAAGCAATCTAGGGATTCGTGTCGCAAAAATTTAAGAACAAGAAATGATTTGCAAACCGAAAAGCAACTACTCGTCATCCAAAACACCACTGCTATTGGTCTCCTGAGCACCAGCATTCCCACCTTTTGGCCTCCGTAATCGCCGGGGCCCTCCTAGAAGGTTCTTTAGGATCCCCCAATTTGGTGTTGCTCGTTGTTCTGTTGGGATCTCCGAAGTTGGACGCAATTTGTGTTGTAGCGGCTTGCGACGCGCAATAGGTTGGGTCCGGGATGTGACAGGGTCCAAGGTAGTGGATCGAACTTGTGAGCTTTGATCGGCCCCTTCGGGATTCAGTTCGGATGCGGATAAAGGTGAGGGTATAATTGAATAACCAGATGAACGCAAGAGATTGATATCGGTTTCAAAGGTATCTTTCGGTGTAATGAGGGGTGGTATACTGAATGAAGGGAAGTGTATAGTTTTGCGAAAGTCGTCGGAGGATGGTCTGATGTTGAGATCTCTAGTTCGCGCGGAAGCAGTCGAATCGCGGTTGGACGGGAATTTCCACATTGTATCGTAACTATTTCCTTCAGGCTGCACACCCATTCCGCTGACAATAATGATACTGGACTCATCGCCTGTTGCCTCATGCACAGCCGTGCGAGGCGTTTGCGGACTGCCTATGCTCGAATCCACACCCGAACTCGAGTTCGCATTACTTGATGAGCTTTGGCGCCATTGCAGATCTGCAATCAGAGATGTTGTTGGTCCATCGGCGGGAGCCTGATCTACGGATATGGAAAACTCAGGGGTATCAACAAATGATATCGAAGTTCGTGGAGAATCTGGGATTTCCGGGATTATGTCCAATTGACTGGCGCGCGGCTCTGTTTCCTCTACTCCTGCAATATCGAGCTCCGTGAGGTTGTCGAAAAATGTAGATACACGTAGTGCCGACTCAGATCGCAACGTGATTGGATCTTTCAGGGTTGGGCGTCGTGCCTGCGAGTAACTCGGATTCGAATTCGAGAACATCCGTTCAAGCCTGAGCCAGTAACTAGCCTCTTCATCGTCAAGATTCTGGATGTCGCCCCGAAGATCCAGTTCCTGTCGTTCGCGCAGCTTGAGCTCGGCTTCTAACTGGGTGCGCTCTCGTCGCAGCCCAGCTCGGCGCGTCATGAACGCGTTTCTGCAAGCTTCCGGGGTCGAGGGCAATATTCGCTCATGGGAATCAAGGTATGATTCTCGGTCCTCAATGAGTGTTAGTCTCCGCCGAAGATCAATTTGAGCCTGCTCTATTGCGTTCAACCGTGCACTCCGCTCGGCTTTCTCTTGAGAAAGCAGCAGGAGACGTATGAGAGAGTCTATAGGAAGCGAGGGATTGATGTTCCAAAGACGCAACACGATCTCTCGCTCGCGAGAGATCGTCGAAGATAACGCTGAGAGATCAGACTCCAACCCTTTCTTTTGGGCGAGGATCTGGCTGACGGTATGGATTAATTCAAATTCGGATTGCGTTTCGCTGCATTTCTGGGACCAGGGTGGGACATCATGGGTAAAAATAGGTTGAGAAGCGTGCTGACTTAAAGAAAGAAGGGAAGTTTGAAGGAGCGTTTGGGTATCAGAATCGGATTTACTACGGCGTAGGGTGCAAGGTGGTTTGTCGATTGGCCTTTTCAGCGAAGCGAACGATGAGCTCTGAGCAAGAGAAGACGATCCTCTGGACGTCGGCCGGCTCGCTGGCTGCACAACCTTCCGACCATTGACGCTTCGGACTGCGCCTGCCACTGGCTAGGGTCTCGATAACATCAGACGAGAAGAAGAAGAATAGGAATTGACCCACATGATCCTTTGACGCGCGTCTCTGGGTTTGAGCTCTCGAGTTCATCACTCAGCCAGGTTGAAAACGACGCCCTGCGGTCGCCCTAATCAGGCCCTGAACATGTTAAGGAATGAATTGGACTGTTGAAGCTTTCGTGAAATGGTTCCGAGCTGGACGCTTGCCTATTTCGGTCGTGATCACGAAAGTCGTTTCAGCTCGGCGATTCATATGTGACTTGTCCTCTGACCTTGCCAGGAGCATAGCCCACACTATATACTTGATTTATCACTTGACTTTTGTTTCTGGGGCTGTAAGGGTTCTTACAAGGTTCCATTGACCCTCTTGGGAGAACGTGCATATTCGCAAGTGTACCAACGATGGCGGGCGGTTCCACTCATGATAATCCGCCAAAAATCGTGTTCCTCATAGTGCCATGGGCCCAGCATAAGTTTCCTAATTCACCATGGAGGCTGTGGTGCGATATGCTGTGTTGCTGGCATGGCGGTGACAAGCATGTCCACATGCCGTTTGCAAGCTGCATGGATGGTCACGCTGAGATCGTATGAGGCACAGTCAAACCGTCGGGCCCGCCATGACCTGTCGATTGAGCAAGGTGAAGTCACCCAGCTGTGCAACCCCTGTATGCAATTGCGTCTGTTCTTGACCGTCTGTTTCACGCTATCCTGAGCGGCCTGTGCTCGTCTCAAATGCAACATGGCGGCACACACACACACTTTTCAAACTTCGGGTTCGGTCGCACTGAATAATGGCGGCGGGCAATGAGCGCTCAGACAGTGAGTTTGCATTATCATCGACTAGAATGGAAATTCATGCACACAACCGCTCACGCTGTTAGCACACATGACCATCCATTGCCGTACTCCTCGCGGACGAGATGCATTGCTCGAGGTAGCACCTGCGACCCAAGACAAGTCCCAGGATCGTGGGAAAGCCGTGATCCCTGCGGCCAGGAACCCCCGCAGATTACCGGGCCCGTCGTCATGACGAGCCCACACAGCGGCTGCAGTGGCGATCCAGATGTAGTGAAAGATGTATAAAGGTGGGTTTTCCAAAACCTCAGGACTGGCAACTCACAAGCCTTCTCACATCTCAACAGTCATGTTCAGCTACTTGCTTCTCTCTTTGGCTGCCTTGGCCCCTTTCACCCTCGTCGGGGCAAGCCCTACGGAGCTCTCTGGTCGCGCCCGAACGCAAGGATGTGATTTGACTCATGTCCGCCTAAATGACTTGCCGGCTGGGCAGAATAGTGTCACCATCAGATCGTCAGCGGTGCCCAAAATTGTTACAATTGGCGCGGGTGTTCAGGTACGTCTCAAGACTTTGTAAAAGTCAGTCCTCTGACACGAACGAAAATAAACCAGAACTACACTTGCATAAACAACGTCTACGTTTCAACGGGTGCCGTAGCCGAGCTCTTCGACATTTCATGTATAGCTGGCACCAAAGCCTTCCGCAATATCCAGAACTTTGCTGTTGATCACCCAACGGGATCCGAGCTCGGGCACCAATTCTTCGGAGGGCAGACAATTAACCCTGTCGTCCATCATTACTTCGACTTCAACCCTGTCTCGCCAGGCATCGCGCCACGCTTCGATCTTGCCGGAACGAATCGTTTCACAACGTTGAAAAAGCTTGGTGTATGTACAATCAGCTTTTGATTCTGTATCGAGTTCACCAAGATCCGGACCTTGTTCCAACAGAACATCCCTTCTCCTCAAGGAAAGGCCAACGTTGACTGGCTCGAACTGTCTGAAATTAAGGGCGACCTCGCAAAATTCGTGTACCGCACCGACACCATCCGTGGTCAACCTCCTGCGTCATGCATCGATGGTTCGCCCGTTATCAGCATTGACTACGCTGCCAAGTATTGGTTTTTCGATTCGAATTAAGGTGGACGGAGATGGCGAGGATGGTCTCATTTTGCGTTTTACATTTCGATTTGGACAATATCAACTTCGATTGTAGTCTGGTTCCTGTTTCTTTCGTACCCATTGGACAATAATGACTGCTTTTTGCTCCATGCATAATTTTGAGGAGAGAGTTCTGGCCGGTTTTATGAGTTCGTGGAGTGATTTCCATTGGCACGCCCCGACAAGAAAGCAGAGCTTATAGCCACTCCTATGCAACAGTGACGGCTAACCCACATGTGCAGGGTTTAGTGTAGCATATGCAAAAGCTAGACCGTGAGAACCCAAACATGCATTCAGCATGGGGACAATTCACGGATGTTGCCTTTCCACCACTTACGACCACACACACTCCCATTATCCTGAAGACTGACCCACTGGTTCGGAATTGTTCACCTAGGTACTCTGGGCCGCCCGGAGAACCATTCCCGTAATGAAGCCAAATAGACGTTCTTTGGGTAGCCCTCCTCGGGCCAACTCCGACGTGTTGTCTAACATCCCCAATGGAACGGAGTCCGCAGTGCGCGGCTCACGCTGGGGCGTGAGGACTCCACCAGGCACTCGGGATAATATTGTTGATTCTGCAGTACGGATAACTATTCATCTCATGCGTTGTTACTCACCCCAAATCCTCTGTCATCGTTCTCTCCATTATGCAGACTCTTCCTGTCCAAGTGATCAATGAGGAAAAGGAATTTACACCCCACATGAGCAAATTCCTCAGTGATTGGGACCTCGCTGACGCTGGATTCAACTACAATATCGTAGCTGTTTTCGGTTCGCAATCCACAGGAAAGAGCACACTCTTGAATCGGCTATTTGGAACCACATTCGAGGTCATGAACGAATCTGAGCGCCGACAAACAACTAAAGGCATTTGGGCCTGTCGTGGGAAGGGGATGAGTGTTATGGTCATGGATGTCGAAGGCACCGATGGTCGAGAGAGGGGCGAGGATCAAGACTTTGAGAGGAAGTCAGCACTGTTCTCCTTAGCGAGCTCGGAGGTGTTAATTGTCAACATCTGGGAGCACCAAGTCGGCCTTTATCAAGGCGCGAATATGGGTCTATTAAAGACTGTTTTTGAGGTGAACCTTAGTATATTCGGCAGCAGGAATACGCTTGATGCGTAAGTCCTGGTCGCACTGCACTTTGACCTCCGTATCACTCACGGCATCTGCAGAGCAACTCAAAAAACTCTCCTCCTTTTCGTCATCCGCGACCACGTTGGCTCCACTCCACTCGCCAATCTTGCTCAAACCCTCACTGCAGACCTGAACAAGATTTGGGATTCGCTCTCTAAGCCAGCGGAGTTATCATCACGTCGTCTTACCGACTATTTTGACCTCTCTTTTACTGGCCTTCCTCACAAGCTCCTTATGCCTGAAAAATTTGAGAGAGAAGTAGTTGAACTTAGAAAGAGGTTTACCGACAGAAATCGGGAGGACTTTATCTTCAAGCCGGCATATCATAAACGCATTCCTGCTGATGGCGTTGCTCGTTACATGGAGGGGATATGGGTGTGTTTAAGTTAAAACATGTGTGTGCACCATCCCGTGTTGACTCGCTCTTCTAGGAACAAGTTCAATCAAACAAGGATTTGGATCTGCCTACCCAACAAGAACTCCTTGCCCAATTCCGTTGCGATGAAATCGCGGCGGTCGCTCTCGAACAGTTCAATATCCAGTCGAAATCCGTACGTAGACCCATCGAGAGCGGCAAGGTTCAGGAAGAGTTGGGAAAATCGATGGGTTCATGGAAGGACGGAGCACTGGGTAAGCCCCTGAACGAGACAGACCAACTCCGGTGTTGACTTCATACTCCAATCAGCTCGTTTCGACCGTGATGCCTCCCGATATCACGCTGGTGTGTATAAGCGCAAGCGTGCAGACCTCGTGGCGCAGATACATGCAAATCTGAGCCCGCTGTTCTTTGGGCAAATCAAGAATCTACACAAACACGCCGTTGTATCGTTTAAGAAGGCTGTTTTAGATGGTCTAAAGGGTGATTCGTATGACTTCGCTTCCGTAGTCAAGGGGGCTCGGGCGACTTGGGAAGGGGCTTTTACGGATGGCGCGAAGGGTAAATCAATCAACGCTGTGATTTTGTGCATTATTGACTTTCTTGCGCAGAGGCATTGCTTGCGGACACGGACTGGTCATTCGAGGAGGAGCTCGCCTCTCTGGTGGAGGAAATCACCCATATAGCTGATCAATGCCGAGCGGATGAAACCAAAAAGATGGTCAATCAGATAGAGGTAAGTGGTACTCGAACGGGTCAGACGGATGGTCTCATCTGGTATATTGTTGCAGCGCAATTTACGCAACCAGATATCGGAACCTATCGAACTGGCTTTGAATAGGCCTTCGCCAACGATGTGGGACAGCGTGCTCCTGGTACTCCGTGACGCCTTAGACAAGGCTTCCAATGTGTATCACAAAAAGGCTCAAAGTAAGGTGCTGCTCAGCAATGTGTTGGACTCATATGAACATTCCCTTCCCAGGCTTCAACTGCACAGAGGAGGAGAACACTAGTTCTCTCAATATCTTACGGCGGCGAGGTTGGTCGGGGTTACGGTCGAAGGTTGATGAACAAACCACCGATGCAAGTATCCTGGGGAAATTAAGGTCATCATTCGAAGAGAAATTCCGTTATGATGAGAATGGGGTACCTCGAGTTTGGAAACCTGAAGACGACATCAACGCCGCCTTCCGAAAAGCCCGGGATCAAGTAAGCATTTGTTTTGTTTATATCCGGTTATCAACTAATCTTCCCTATGGAGACCTTGGAACTCGTTCCCCTCTACTCCCGGATACAACCTCAAGATCCGTCACTGGAGTTCTCCCTTCCGCCAGACGCCGACGAAGCCAGCCTTTCTATGAACGGCGAACCCGTCTTCGATTTCCCTTCCACCCTAGTCGTCTTCACCGAGTCGAAGCAGCTAGATATTACCACCAAGTTCAAACGAGATGCAGACGCTTACTATGTTGAGGCGAAGAGATCCGTTGTCAGTAGTGTGGCGCAAGTCCCCATATGGATCTACATCCTTTTGGTTGTTCTTGGGTGGAATGAGGCAATGGCGGTGCTGTTCAACCCAGTGTATTTCGCAGTTTTGCTTTCGGCCCTCGGTTCTGTGTAGGTCGTTCCTCATTCTGCTCGTGAGCATCACTGAAGGTTATTATTTAGGTGGATAATCATCAAGCTAAACCTCGTCGGGCCGCTTTATGCAGTTACCACCGCGGTTACTACCGAGGTATGACAACTTTGTGCAAGTATAGAATGCCGTTCCTATTATTTTCCTCTCGCAGATCCAGCGTCAAGCTACCGCTAAGCTAAGGGCCCACTTTGCGCAACCGCAACTCGGAGCGCCCATCGTTGCACAAAATCACACCTCGTCTCACACACACAAGCAAAGCGAAAGCGAAGAGTTTGAGTTGAATACACAACCCGAGCTGTCGCCCATGTAGAAGTCGTATTTGCGCATCACTGGCTGATGGATCATACATTGTTTGGTATATAAATTTTAGTGACTAATTCTACATTTAATACATCCCAAAAGCCGTGCGTTAGGATACTCACTCGATTCTAAGAGCTAGTAACATTGAAGACTTGGTAATAACGTGCTGTAGTGTACAGGATGCAAATATCCAGTTGGTTCAAATATGAACTCATGAATAACGAGGCTCAGACAAAAAGGTCGAAAATCATTATGGAAAGCTCCCGCTCCCTGATCGTACTTTGCGTGAGTTCTTCTCAGCCTCTCTGGCTTGCACATCTTTCAAAACCTCTGGATCAATGTCTGGTTCGGCGTTGTTTTGCGAAGCATCCAAAGAAGCACCCCGCTGTCTGGCATCCCATTCTTCTTCCGAAGCAAGTGCGGAATAGAAAGCCCCTCCTTCCCCACGCGACCAGTAGGATGCGGGTCGCTCACCCTTCACGGTTGCTAGGTCTACTAGAACGTAACGAACAGACTAGAAGGACGCTAAGTGATTGATGAAAGGCTGGATGCTTACGGACTTACCGAGCCCCTAAATGGTTACAAACGAACCCTATCAGCATGCCGTGCAATGCAAATAGTGATAAGATGCACTCACGGAACATCATACATTGACTCCAGTAAGAGTCCCTCCATAATTCCCCGCAGCCCCCTGGCGCCCATACCCCTTTTGACTGCAATATTGCATATCTCCCTCAGTGCAGGGGTCGTAAATCGGATATCCACGCCACTATAACCAAACAATGCCTCGTATTGTTTGGCCAGGGCCCCACGGACGTCGGTCAGAACACGCATGAGATCGGATGTTGTAAGAGGGCTAAGAGAGGTCATAGTAGGGATTCGAGAAGTGAACCTGTGGAAAGGAGCATTAGGGTGCGCGCCGAGGTTCAGAAATTGGAAACGTACTCAGGAATGAATCCATATTTGATTAAGTCTACCCGTTCAGCAAATGCGTGGATCCAAATATGGTCTCGGGAAAAATAGAGTACATACCGACAGGCTCAACCAGTTCATATGGGTTGATGTCTCCTGACTCTGAGTTCTTCGTGAAAAACGGTATCAACGATGGGCCCATGGGCTTCCCTCCCTTCACAAAAGCATCGCTCGACAGCGAGGCTCCGAAACCAATTGACTAACGGGTCCGCCAGCGCAACATTAGAGGGGCAGAAATTGAATAAACAGGAGTAATACATACTCCTTTTGCCATCCGCTGAGCAACGATTTTGTCTAGTCCTACGAAAGCACCAGACAGAATGAACAGGATGTCTGTTGTGTCTACCTGATATGTCTCGCTCCTCGCTACAAGGTGGGGAAAAAAGGGTATCAGCATTTGACGCACGGGGCCTTAACGTAATGGAATTTGGATTCGGAACTCACGGCCAGCGCTGGCCCCTCCATTCTTTCCTTTTCCTGTCCTCCCCGGCCCAGGCCCAACAATATCGCCTCCTCCTGCACCTTCAATACTCCTTGCATTGACACTCACCACACTGCCCTCCAACATCCTTAGCAGCCCTTGCTGCACCCCTTCCCCTGACACATCACGCGAAGAATCTCCGGAGGAAGAAGAGCGCCGGGCAAGTTTATCCGCTTCATCGAGGACCACAATACCGATACTAGGAATGATTAATGGAAAGAACAAAAGCCGGCAGTCCGAGGACACACCTCGCTCTTGGGACGTCCCAGTTGGCCGCCTGCAACTGGATACATACGAATTCCAAGGTTACGGGTTGTTCGGCGAGAGACTGCGAGAAGAAAGCTTACCAATCTGTGAATGACCATCTCAACATCATCCCCAACATCTAGCAAAGACCTAATTTAGTCGTACAAAATGTCTCATAATGGCAGTGGACCAACATCCGGCCTGTGAGATGATTACAGTGTATCGTGAGCGCGTGGACTCCGACATGGAGTAGGCATGTTGACCCAACCTGAGTTAACGTCGTTGCATCGCTCATGGCGAATGGAACATCGAGGACCTTGGCCAGTGTTCGGGCAAGAAGCGTCTTCCCTGAACCTGTCGGACCCCTGGTTGGCATGAATAAGCTTCCTGGGGCCGCGCTTCAACGGATCGCATTGAACATACATTAAGAGAACGTTGCTCTTCTCAAACAGTGGCACAAAGTGTGATAAAGGGGTGTGTCCTCTTCCAAAATGGCTCTCAGATAGGTGCTGTGGCCGGCGAGCAGGGTGTGGGCGGAGTCCAGGGGGTGGCGGAACTATGGATGGATACTTGGCCTTGGGTGGAATTCTTTCGGAACGAACAATCGCGCAACAAACCATCGATGTGATCCAATCCCTCGTTTCTTGGTTCCCAGGATGAAGATGCGGGTGCGACGGATTCTTCGGCGTGTATTTGGGTCAGTAACCTTGCTCGTACTAGTGGGTATGATTTCAGTCATGGCGGAGAGCCGTTGATACACACAAAATGGTTCGTGTACCTCGATTATAATGGTTGAACACGGCTACAGACAGGACCTTTTTGGCTCTTTCTTGACCAACGACAAATGAGTCTAGGTATTGAACGAGCTGTCCCAAAATTAGAACGAAAGAAACAACGAATGCGGTAGTCCCCGACGGACCTGGCGGGGACTTGTGAGATGGAATCCAGGGCTCCAATTGGAACCAGAGCTACTCCCTCTTTCCTGGGAACCCTCCCCTTCCAAGATTTCGTCGTGAATCGTGTTTTCGGAAGTCCGGGAATGTGACTTGACGGTGCGCCGAAGTAACAATGAACTCGCGAGCGGAGAAATGTGTCTCCGGCTACACAGCAGAAATCCCAGATGCATCCACTGCCAATACTGCCAATACTAGTGAACCGCGTTTTTGGGATGGATGCTGGCTGTCAGATCCGGCGAGCGATGAAGTTGACGGAGTGATTCCTAAATTCATTCCCACGGCCAGTCCGTCGATGCAGCCTCACGTGCGATGTAGTCACATGATAAAATTTCTAATCGCCGTGATAACCACTATATTACTTCCATTCAGTTGGATTGAATGACTCCTCCAGGCTGGCAGGCATCGTGCTCGCCGCTCATCTCCCTCGCACTTGCTTGCCGCCCATCCATCTTCCAGACAGCGCACGACCCTGAAAATCTCTGCTAATAATGACCACGATAACAGACACAAAGATAAGGTCTATCACATCCGGCACGCTGGTCATCAGTGGGGGGCCAATCCCACGAGTCTCCTCGGCATCACTGATGCCCTCACCGACTACAACCCGCATTGAGCCCACCGAACCATTTCGCATTCCCTATGAGCTTTTTCGGCCCATCATCGCTCTCGTCGACGACCCGAAGGACCTACGAAACTTGGCTGTCGCGTCGCGAGTAACTCAAACCGATGCGGAGATGTTCCTCCACCGGGTGGTCACCGCAAAGGGTGTTCGCGAGCTTGTCTCACGCTGCCGATGGCTTGTGCGAAATCCGAGGCTAGCACTTCTAGTCCGACAAATCACATTTAGGGATGTGGGCGAGTACGGATGGCCCGATCGTCCGTTGCCGGCACTCTACACACTCATCAAGGGTAGGTTTATACTTCATTGGTTGCGACAATAACTTATTAAATTCACATTATTCTTGATATGCTTACCGCTCACCGCAGCTGCGTTCAGGAACGTTCCCAGGCTGATACACCTCGATGCCTCCATCCTTCCATCCAATGCCCTCCCCGTCAACGCTCCTTTCACTCTCCAATCATTTCGTCATGACAATCTCATCATAGGCATAGACGCCCTTGCATTCCTCTCAAACCAGCCGAACGTCAAAGACCTTTGTATCAACCCTTATTCTTACTATGAGGTAAATTTGCGGATTATAACCCTCCCAACCTTTTGCGCTGACATGTATAAATTTTCTAGATGCACGAAGACGACGAGCACTACCGCCGTCGTCTCTACACTGTCCTGCCCAATTTGGAAACCCTAGCCTGCGGTCCTAGCGTTGCTATCCGTCTCGTGAAAAATCGCCCTATCCAACGACTCATCGTCCCTGCGCGGCCAGACTACATTGAGTCTGACCAGCTTGAGCGCGTCATTACAGCTCTCCGAAGTTCACCGGGATGCCCGGGGTGTGCAACGGTTAGGCAACTCGTGATCGAGAGGCGGCTTGCGGGTCGTGCGGGGCTGCAATGCGTAGTGAAAGAACTGAAGGATCTAAGGGCCCTGAGCCTCGTTGTGTCCTATGCCTCTGATGTGAGTAAGCGTGCACTTGTTTGGCGCAAATAGAGTCGTGTGACTGAACGATAATCTTGGACGAACTCGTTTCTTCGTTGATGCCCTTCATACCAAACCCGTCATTCCGCGGCTGGCCGAAACGGACTTGCCATTCTAGTGGCTCCGTGACCTTCGGCACCTTACCTCTCTGAACACACTCAGTGTTACCGCAGACACTTACTTTGACGCGCACGATCCCTCTATTGCCCTTGATGAGCTGTGTGCCACATGCCCCTCTCTGAAAACCGTTTATATTCGAAAAGATGAGATGAGCTTCATAGCGGACCATTGGGTTTGGAGAAGTAAGCAGGGCGTGGAGGACGTTTCACCCAATGGAGAATGGTTATTAAGTGGAGAGGTCGATACGAGGACCGCTATTTGGGATAATTCTTGATGTGATGGCCTGCTCTTGGTGTGGAAAGAAACTAGTTTTCGGTTCTTGGAATCGACAAATGTGAGTTTCCTTCATTCGAGATTTGTTGAGCTTGATTCTGATATGCACTGCTTGTCCTTGAGCCAGAAGCTTTTCATTTCTCTTGCTATATTATTATTGCCATCGGCAGGGAAGATATTCCGGAGATGACCGCCCAGGTTCCCCGAGGTTTTCATTGCTTTCTGTTCTATTTTGCTTCAGATAACGCCTAGCCGCCATCTCCCAATACCCATCCCATCTCCGGTTCAACCCCTAAGCACGCGACATGTATCACACCAAGTCGCGTGTGTTTTCCATGAAGAGCTTTTCGCTTTGGTTCGGAGACCAGTGCAAATTTCGCTTTTTTCTCTTCATCGTCAACTTGTTCCCCTTTCGTGGTTCAACAATATTTGTACACGCCTCAGCCAACCCATTCATCGTACACTTTGCATCTTGTATCTACTTCACATCCTGGTCTCCCGCTGCTGTCGCTGTCCACATGTGTATGCCCTTTACATATGAAAATTGTTCCATCCCCTGCACTCTCCCGACAGGGACTGTGCATCTGTGCGCACTGCACATGCAGAAGCAACAGCTTGCCCATATTGGAAAGGCGATTCATGGAGACAATTGACAACTGAAGTGCGAAGTTTGCAGATCGAAGCAATGAGGCGGCGGAGAGTTCCCAGTTTACGGCTGCGCAGCTGTCCTATACTTTCATGATTTCATCACCTAAGACGGCGTTCTGAATCAGCGTACTAAGATACTGCCATCCGGGTCCACGATCTGGGCACCTTGATTTGGGATTGAAGGTGTCTGCATCCTGCTTCCACGCTGGCCTTGAATTCTGGGCCTACCCGCCGCTCGAATCCGTGATAGTCGTCCCCGCCCTCTACCTGCGCATTGATCACTGGAAGCCCCTTCGCGTTGAGCTGCATATCGGGTTGCTCAAGTCGACGGCTGTGCGGAATCGCTCTCTTTGGGTCGAGTCGCTGTGCATGGCATCATAGCTGCTAACAAGAATACCAACGCCCACAACGATTCGACTAGAAGACGGAATGGCGGCGGGGTCAAGCATGAGATGTCACAAAGAGTCACCTCCCAACTGACACCGATCCCATGGGTTGGCATTCCAAATCTTAAAAGTGGTCGTGGCGCCGATGGCGAGGCATTCGGCTCGTCTCCAGTTACCGTGGACAAAGGCTGGACGAAGAACTCAAACTTGAAAGCAAAGAAGGTTACAGACTCGGAGGCAACGAGCTGGCAGGTCGTCGTCTCAGAAGGTGAGCTGGATACTATCAAGCCCAAGACATCCACGAACGCGCTGCCAGGATTCCGCACCGGAAACGGTGCGCCGCCGCTTTCTATTGGGTTTCAGCGAAATTTTTATGAATCCCTAGCTCTTCAAACTCGTCTCTCCTGCTTACCGAGAGCTTTACGGAGCTTTTGAGGTCAGTACAGGACAAGCTGGGTGTTGCTGAGACGTCGAACATAATTGATCCGCTCAAGCACCCGCACCCTGCTTTGTCGGCACTTCTCAAAGCGTGCATGCCAAGCAGCTGGCTGGGCCACCACTGAACTTGTGCAGTCTCTCATTAACATACGACGCGTCCAACTCTGCGGTACATCTAGCTAATAAACGACGTCCCGCAGTCCCAATAGAACGCATCGCACAAGGCATACCAGGACACTGTAAGGCACCGAAGCGAAGTCGAGGCTCAGCTCATTTGTATCTGGGGAGCCTTGAGCTGAGCCTGTCAAAGCAACGGCGGATGGTTGGCTGTAAGGCCTCGCTTCCGCCTCCTGCAGGAGCGGATCGAGAAGATTGGTGTCTTGGGCCATAATCCGGTTGGAGAAACGGACCACGAAGTCACCCGGAAGGAGGCCCGACGATTTTGCACGTCAGGGGCAGCAGGCGATTAGGGATGAGTAGCCGAGAGTCGCAGCCTTGGTCCCTTACTCGACTGACGTCCAAGACAGAAAGCCTTCGTTGAAAACCCGTTTCCGCAGAGCCCAAGACATGAGCCCCGCCCACACCCTGACGTGAGGGGAGCTATTGAGAACTAGCAGACTCCATTGCCAATGCTCTCAGTGACTTAATCGCGTAGGCTTGTGCAAGGACGCAGGTGTTCAAGCAATTTTGTTTCTGGGGCATTCATGCTAGGAAGGCGTTGACATCCAAACTCATGGATCAAGGATCGGTTCTTGCACCGCACATGTTGTCCGTGATGATATCAGCGCTGCCTTATGCGGCACATCCGCAAACTGCCTATCTACACACTTGGACAATGGGACGGTGTTCTCGCAGTCAACTCTGTTCATGAGACAACACTACAACACTACTCTTGATTCCGAGCCCATGAGCCAGCGAAGGAGCATCCTGCCGATTTGGGAATGTAGCAAGTTCGACATGAAAAGGCTACTGGAGGGCTTGGCATCGCGCTGAGCATGATGCGTTCATCGGATGTGTGATATATATACACATAGTCATCCAAATCGCCATTCGCTCACTTTCCGTAGCGTCTCTCATGCTTCACATCCAACTAAAACGGGCTCTGAAAAAAGCGTGCGATCGCTACCAAGAAGTGCTTGTTCATGTCGAAATCCTTCGTCAATCACATATATGGGATCGATCGCCAGAATCCTTCTACTGCACTTCTTGCCCGCTCGATCTTACTTATATAGCAACTTCCATCCCTTGGAATATACACACAGTCACTTGAATATGAGATTTCATTTTGCACTATCGCCTTCTAGCCCAAATCCCTTCTTCACTAGAGTGATTGCCCCAATCGCAACGCTTTGCGTCAGACACCACGACTCGACTAACTATGCGTTGTATTGATTCGTCGACGGGGAAAGGCGTTTGAGGAAGTCAACGACTATGAGCAGCTCGCAGGATCACGCGCTTTCGGACGTCTTCGTTTGCTCTCAAGATTACGCTACGCGAGTTGAGACAGGAGAATCAGGCGAGAATACTGAGTCGTACATGAAGAGGATTTAGTGGGACGTGCGTTATGTCCGTTCGGAGTTACGGCTTAACCGTAACGTAACACCACTCTGGCTTCCCTTCGAAAATTACTCTTTAATTTCTACGCTCAGGAAAACGTCATCGAGTACGAGCATGGAATTATATTAGCGTGAGTCGTGTGAAGAAGGATGATATATATATACTGTAGATCAACCATGTGAAGGGAAATTAAAAAGAAAACGACTTGCAGTTGCAGGGATAAAGTGGCAGACTGAAGAAGATAACTAGGTTGAAGTGGACGGAACAAATATATGATGTATGTAAAGGATTAATGCAAAGGTGAAATGCCTAGAAACGTGGAAGGGAAGACATGTTCCCAACAAAATTTAAGGAGTGAACGCTGCGAAAAAAATACGAAAGCCATGCATATACAAAGCATCTCGTCAGATTCAGCTTCGCGTTTTACGCAGTGACAATCTAGATCTATATCTACAAGCCCACGATGCCTACACGTACGAATTGACTAGCAACGCAAAAACAGTGAACGACAGCATCACAACATAAAGAACAGCTAGGGATCAGAACTGAAACGACGTCGTTTCTTGGCGAAAGAAGGGTGGACGAAGTGGCATCTTACGTGGAACTTTGGAACTTGAAATATTGGGCTAAGAAGTCATCCTTAGGTTGTACAAGCGGGATAAGACACAGGCAGGCATAGAATCTTAAAGTCTGTGACAAGAGACCAAGGCGATACAGAACACAAACGAATTAAGCCATTATTCGGCGCTTGTGCATCATAACTTTTGCCAAGTCTTCGACCGAAGCCATTAAAGCGGGGACGCCTTGGTATAACCCGTAGGCAATCACGACTAAAGAATAGAATGAGACCCTCTGAAAAATGGCCAGAAGAAGCCCAACTTACTCAAGAGGATAGGTATCCAGAAGAGGACCAACATGGTGTCCACTGTGAAACGATGTAAGTGAACGGTTGAGAAAACACTCAGGGGGTGTAAAGCTTACGCTTTGATTTCTCTGTCTGTTTATTATGAGTCCGACTTCCACGCTCCGTGGTACGAGGTGCCCCATAGCCTAATCTTCTAGCTAGCTTACCCCTGATTGCATTGGAGGGTCGTGGCGTCGATGTACCACTGGCGGTACCGGCACTCTCGCCTTCCGTTACGGTCGTTGAACTAGGGCTAGACGGATCATCAGGCGTGGGTGGAGCGCCGACGGTAGGATGGTCTGGCTTCGGAGTATATTTCGGTAGGTGCTCATTTGACTTCTCGGCAGCTGCAGGTGCATGTGTGGAAAATGTCGGCCATCGATTAGGATGCAGCCCAAACCATGGCGACGCGAAATCGTATCCCCCCCAAGAGTTCTGCTGACCTTGCTGCTGCTGCTGCTGCTGTTGGTTTCGTTCCGCTAACTTCTCGCCTCCAGAGCCTTGCCATTGGAATGCCGCGGGCCATGAAGGGGTCGGGATATGAACGGGGAACACCATGGGTATTTCGGGCATATGTAGGCCGAGGTCGAGGTGTGGGAACTGGAGCTGATTCGGAAGGACAGCCCATTGTGGCATGGGTAAACCAGGCATGTTGGGAAGGGTGGGAAGTGGTGGGGGATGAAGGTGGGAGAGTGTGCGGTGGAAAAGAGATTGAGGGGACTTTTCAGAGGGGAGAGGATGTTTCTTCTCGTCGGGATATGACGTAGTTGGTGGGACGTCAAAGGACTGCTTCATATCCGCCGAGAATAGATGCAAAGGGCGGTTGTCGTTCAAAGAAGGGACATCAGATAAATCGAGTCCCTCGACATCACCAGTATCCCGACGGAAGGGCTTAATAGTGGTTGTGGGTGAAGTAAGCTCTTCATTTCCGTCCCATGAAGCATCTTCAGAGTCAACATATTCCTCATCAGCAAAGTCTTCCTCGGTATGTGCCTCTGCGTCTTCAAGTTCACTCTCGCCTCCTTCCGCACCCTGGTCAGCGAGTGCAGCAGCTTGGGCAACCATCGCACGCTGCTCAGCGTCTTGCAAGAGAAGTTCAACATCAATCTGATCCCTCCACCGTGCAATTTCGCGCGCAGTCCGGCCGCGAGCCTCGACAATTTCTACATCGGCGCCACCTTCCACCAGGAACCTAGCGCATGCCAGTCGACCAGACAGGGCGGCGAAATGCAAAGCCGTATAACCGTTAGCATCTCGAGCGTCAACATCGATACCTCGCTGAATGAGATGCTTAAGGAGACGGTGAAAACCAAGCAGTGCACTAAGATGGAGCATGGTCTGGCCCGAAGGACTAGAATGTGAAATAGCCTCTCGGGCGCTAACAGCTGACGCAGCAGGCACTTGGATATCCAATAAACCAAGAAACTCGATGATTACGGATTGGAAATCCCGGCTGGATGAATGCGCAAGGAGGGCGCTGTGCTCCGTGACCGACGAGTGCAAGTGGTGAACGGAACGTGCAACGGTGCTGGCACTAGTTGTGAGACTGTGGCCAGGGGATAACGCTCCTGTAGAAAGCACGTCATCGCCTCCAGTGGGCGAACTGTTGCCGACGATGCGCATGGCGACGTTCTTGGCTTCTTCGATTCGGCCCGTCATCTTAAGACCGACAACTTGAAGGGCTAACTCCATCCTAATCATGTGGCATGATCATCACTAAGACGGGACCCGATAAGGACGGAAACTCACAATGCTCGATCAGAATTGTCCAAATAGTTGAATAACGGCAGATTACCACCCTCGCCAGAGCCTCCACCGCCTCCCACGTTCAACGGTATGCCCTCAAAGCTCACAACCACCGGTCCCGGAGCTGCACTCGGAGGCAACAAGCACACCAGAGTATTCTCACTCCACATCTGTGTTGAAGTCGCCACTGTATCTCCGAATACGCACTGATGTGTTGGCAGGAAATTAGAGCCAAGAACGGTAATTTCAATCCCACCATGGGTGGGTCCACTAGACGGGATGAGGCGATGAATCTGCGGTGGCAGTGAAACAAGTGAGGATGGAGGAGAGGGATAGGCGGTGTTGAACAAAGTGGACATGGTCATTTCAAGAGACGACGAGGCGAAAGGCTTCGTAGACGAGCTACGATGAGACTCGGCACTAGCTGCAGCTGCGGCGAGAGTGGCTGCAAATCCATCAATGTTCTCTGGGTTCTGGATGAAGGCATCGGTATCGAGCGTCGTGCTCGCTGGAGTGGGCATCTGCTGCGTCTGAGTCGGCGTCTGATTTTGTTCAGGTTGGGTCACTTGAGATGTAACAGGGTAATGCAAGTAAACTCCTGCGCTGGATGCGGACGGTGATGGTAAAGTCATCATTTGAGGCGACGACGGAGCGGTGGTGAATGCAGAAGGGGATTGAGACGATCGCCCTTTCATCGACACAGGTGGACACCATGACTCGCCATTGTGCGCTGCTCCACTTGCCAGAGCTTGATGTAATAGTGGAGATCCAGTCACAGAGTTGCTGACACTCATGAGACTGGGAGACGACTCCTTGGCTCGCCGTTTGACACGAACGTCATCCATCCCATCATCCCTCGCTCGTTTCTTCCGTCTTGCTGTCGAACTTTCATCCTGCTCTTCTTTGGCAGAGGAGGCTAGCGGGGGAACCGCAGCTGCGGAAGCAGGCGCAGCCTTCACAACACTCTTATGATCGTCGGTAATCATAATGGGTGGCGTACTTCCACGACCAATAACACGACCCTGCCAATCGGTCATTGTGAAGGCAATCCTAATTTCAGATAGCCCGATTTGTGAACAAAGTTCAGAGACCACTATATAAACCATGAATTGAACACGTACCTAAATCCCAGTTTCTCGCGATGATGCCTACAATAGCAGGTCACTCTCACAGGTAACACCACTCGCCCTTCTGAGAAATCGTTCAGATCAGGGCAATTGAACACGACAATGTTCCCCCTGACGCCATCCTTCCCACCGCCATTGCCATCCTCGCCATCCTCTGAATCGGAAGAATCCCGGCGAACAGGACGCACCCTGGCGGCTTTCTTGCGCTCGGTACGTTTAGCTTCACGCGTCAGACAATTTGTACAGGCCAGGACGGACATTGAAGGGTCCGACGCGCAAGTAACAGCCACAGACAAGGAAAGTGCGTCCTCAGGACGAGCATCTGTTAGTCAACGTTTTGGTTCGGGGTGTGGCATTCCACCCGTGAGGAGAACCATGGGAGATATTCGCACATGCAGCATAATGTGGTTGGGCCAAATGCGTTGGGGCATAACAACAAGGACATTGCCAAACATGGTAATGTCGCAACGAATTCGTCCCGGAAGTGTTGTTGTGGGCAAGTTCGCAATGAACAATTGAGATGAAATGAGGAAAAGAATTTCCGATAAGCCAGCTATTCTATTGGGAAGATGTTACGTACCAGGCTTCGCCTCTTTACGAGGTCGTCGTCGCGTAGAAGTTCCCTTTGGAAGCTTGATCCACTTCCAGCTCCCCACTCTCTCATAGGACGTATAGGCTGGCTGGGAAGGTAACGCTAGATCGAGTGTCATTTTTATTTGAGTTTCGACACGAGACTTGGCGCCAACGTGAGGGACGTTGTGGATGAGGATCGGTAGGCTACATAATGCGGCATTAGAGATAACTATAAACAACGTATGAGAAAGGTACTCACTTGGAAATGTTGTTTTGTGGAGGAGTTATGACAGGTGCGTTTGGACACGTTGCATTGGGGACAGTGACAAGGAGACTTTTGAGACTCGCCCCATCGGAAGACCCTGTATTTGAAGAATGTGTCGTTATGCCCAATGATTCGGAGGTGGAGACTGAGCTGGCTGAGCGCTTGCTCGCGTTATTTGAGATTTTCTCACTGATTTCATTGGAAGGCTGGGACTCATCGGAGGGGAGACGGACAGTGAGGGAAGGCGGAGAGGATGTTAATGATGTGAGTGACGGAGGGAACGCAGGATTATGATGAGGTAGATGAGGCTCGAATCCAGATACAAGCAGTTGCTGGGGCTGAACGTGGTAGACGTTCGTCGCAGAAGGCCCATTCCTTACCAGAGGTAAATTATAGTCATAAGCACGAACCAAAAACATGAACGCACTCATAGGCATCTTCTTGCATTATGTCCTCCAAAAGCATCCCCCGATCCTCAGAGCCGTGCACATAGATGTCAAGACCGGAAAGGTTGTCGAGAGATGAAGGGATTTTCTCTGTGTCGAACAAGGCTGAGGGGGATACAGGCTGCTGAATCTTGGAGAATAGTGTCCATCCCCCGTAAGCTAAAGGAGATGAGAGGTCGTTAGCTAGAAACTCGGACGGTGATGATTGAGAGGATGGTGTGGATGGTCGTGAACCCGTGGGTGAAGAAGTTGAAGAGCGAGATGGGGATGATGATACGACGCTGGCCATTATCTGCCGGGAAATGAGCTAAAATGACTTCTAAGTCGTAGTCGTTCCCGACAATGGCAGTATGGATGTCGAAGTGATTGCGTGTAGTGGAAGGAACAGCAGCGGAATGAAGCGCCCGACTTTGGTCGGATGAATGGGTCCAGCTGTGTTCAGTCAATTTGAATTGGCTGGATACATATGTGTGAACGGATGTCAACAAGTTTTGCTGATGAGCGCACAAATGGATTAGAATGTGGTAAGAGCTCCTATCAAGGTTGGAGGGGAAACCAAAGGGATCAGACTACAGCAAGCAGAACGAATGAAGCTGGAATTCAGGATTTCTATGTCATTGCAATGTCATCGTAATTCAGATTGTTGGTTCATCGAATTCGAAAGGTCGACCGGGTTAATGCATCGATCCCAATTCTCACCAGCATAATAGCAGTGCAGTATGTATTGGGCAATGCTATCATCAAGTCCCGTCGTGGGACACGAAGCGGATACATGGTGACTAGTAGCACATCATACGCCGACCGGATCCAGCATACTTAAGATGCGTGTATTTGGTCATCTTGATCCCGCCAAAAGACTTGAAATTTCGTAACCCTGCAATACCTGAACTTTGTTTCAGTATTTCCAAGCTACTAGATGCGACGACAGAACATCAACCGTTAATACTGGCGCCTTGTTCCTGAATATCGCCCTCCTTCCATGCCCACGAAGCGCACAAACCCCAGGGATATGGACAATGCCACATTTGCATTCGATGCCTCCCATTTCGCACACCTATGAATACACTCAATAAGTTCTGTGATAAGCTGCACACCTGGGATATTAGTCTTGTGAAGCAGGATACAGGAATGAGTCGAGACATCAAGGAGGCGCCCAATATCGGTCGACATCAATATAGGGTAGCTCCGGCACAGTCGGATCCAGGTTTGATGGCATCAAACATCTCGCCAGTAGTTGAGCTAATCAGATATCGCGGTGAGCGAGCAGTGAAGGAGCATACTTCTCCCAAACCCATAACCACAATTGGATGATGAACCGTGATTACAATCTAGCGAAGAGGCTGGAGTCCTGCCCATGATCACAGTTGGTTATTCTCACTGAAAATGTGCGTATATCATGACGAGGCTGGGCACTGCATATATAAGCGCTGTAAGCTGGAACCTGCCAGACTGCTGGTTGTGTCCGGCCAACGCCCCCTGCCTGTCCAAACTGCTTTGCTCATTTGGCTGCACGTTTTGCTTTTCTATTCCTCTTAATTCCTAGAGCGTTTCCTTCGTCAAGACCGAAAGCCGTGGCCGATGAGCCCGAACCCTCGGAGACATCATTCCGACGGCTAGTCTCACAATTTGCGAATGCCGATCATCTAGCACTCGGAATGGCCAAAATATACCCATCGTTATGAAGGAGGCGCTTACACGACTGGAGCAACCGACGGCCACGGGAGGGATCCTCTACGCAGAGCAAGTCCTTACACCTTCAACTGGCTACCACTGTGAGACAATTGTTGGAATAGTGCATCGCAGACAACTAAGACCAATGCATGCACCGGCCAATTGCTGATAGCTGAGGGGCGCTGGTGCCCACCTTCGTGCAATCCGCATGCCCACGAACCGCATGGAGTGGCGATGTTCCCGCTGCCATCGAAAAACTGCCGAGTCATGATTTAATCGCCGCCTCACTTGTCAGAAGACAGGAAGATTTATCCTTGAATGTCAAAAATTGCCTCAGAGAGAAACCGAGAACGTCCTCGAGGCCTCCCATGATACACACCAATGTGCCAATGTGACCAATCGACAAGGAACAAAATTGAATGAAAATTCACTGCCACCGGCTCATGCATGATTTTTTGCTTCCGTAATGCTGCCTTTAGCCGAAAGTATTCACTCTTTTTTCTTCTCCTCACTCACCACTCTTTGTGGGACGCTAGACAGCAAAACTCATTGAACATTCTCCTGCATCGTATGATCGCTACCCAAACCGCGTACGCTTCTGTTCTTGAATATTAAATCTAGCTGGGTGGTGACTTGGCATAACCGATTACGTTTCATGTTTGATAGTGCTGGACACGTCCTAAGCTCGCCGAGTGTTTTCAGCCTCTCTGCTCTCCTCGTCGACACCGATCGTCCTCCCTAAGACCACCTGATACCTACCACCGTCCTGCAGCCCATCTCTCTATGGGCTGAGGTAGCCCTTGTCTCGTTTTCATAGATTTCCTCTCGAGTTCGTCGTCATCCGTCAGGGTCCTTCAAGAACACCACAAAACTCATCGCAGAACAGGCTAAAGCGGACTTAATATACAACAAGATGCATCAGATGCAGATCAAGGCCCCCACCTTTCTCAGATCGTCTAGACCAGCCTCTCCGCACCTCCCACTCAATAATAATGATGATGTGCAGAACAGTAACAACTCCATAGTGACGAATTTGTCTCGCCGTCCTCTAACTCGCCTCCAGAATCCTTTCCGCCGTTCTTCTTCTGCCTCTCCTTTCGCAGCCCTCCCTCTCACGGTTGAGAGTGCCGGGCCCCCCAATCCCCCTCACGCAAATTCAGCCACAAACACGCCACCAGCCAATTCGGGTATACCTCCTGCACACCTTGATCAAATCAGTCTCAGGCTTGCCGAAGCTGCCACTAAAGCTTTGGCGAATCCATCATCCAGTAGCGTGCCAAGCTCTATGTCTACGAGTAACAGTGCATGTCCGGATCCAGCTTTAGTCGTCCTTCGCGGACGTAAACCTCTCCCTGCGGGCCGAGGAGCCGCCTTGGGGAAAGTTGTTCAGGATGAGTTGGGTGCGGCATGCTCCGATCCGTACCTGTACCGGGCCATCCTCCGCGTGCTCCAGAAACCGCTTACAGTGCTGTTGAGCAACTTATCCAGTCTGCTCCTGCCCGTATTAGCATTCATTGAAAATAGCTCGTCAGCGCAGGAATATTGCATTAGCTTAGCTGTGCTTGGTGCCGAGGTACTCGAAGCTCTTAACACGATTCCTATGCCAGCTGGTATGAGTAAAGAGTCGCGTGTAGGAGATGGGTTGAAGGGTATCTGTGAAGGCCTAGAAAGTCTCATCAAGCGCGTTATCTCCCCGCTCGTGTCCACTATCCGGTCCAGTCTCGGCGTTCACATCGATACGCTCTCTTCTTACAACCCCGCGACGGGTGAGAACAAGAGTCTTGCGGCGTTAGGTGCCGCTATTCCAGGAGCCGCGCCACGCCTGGCAAAGTACACAACACCCTCAGGAGTTATTTCCCAAAGTGCGCTTGCTACGCTGCACATTGGATTAGTATGGAGAGCCCTCGTTGCACTCTCAGAGCGGGATGTCAGTGAGCCGGCTAGACAAGGAGACAAAGAGGGAGAGAGAGGCAAAGGCACTTTTCCTGGGCTTAAAGTGAAGAAAGAGCTCTCATTCAGCCTTCACATGACTACTCGTCCAAGTTCAGCTCAGCAGCCTCCCGCTTCCCCAATTGCCACATCCACTACATTCTCGACTGGCACGAGCACCACTACCCCTCCGGTCACGCCACGCTTCAAGGGCATTTCATTGCCTCTTCCTTCACTTTCACGCCCCCCGTCTCCTCAGATCGCTTCGGTTTCGTTGAACGGTTCAACGAATACGAAGCCTAGGTCCCCTACGCGCCAGACCTACCCACTGGCCCAGCTCCTCTCAGATGCCCAGCAGACTCAGGCGCTCCTTCTGACGTTGCCCAGTCCCACGCCGGGATGCTTTGCTCGCGAAGCGGTGAACGAGGCATACGATGCTTTCGAGGCCTTCATAGGTTTCTTGCGTTGGCTTTGTGCCGTTCGTGAAGCACAACTGGCGCACGAAGGGGTTTCCAGGAGGACGGGCGATGGATCGAGCTCTGCGAGAAAGAGAAAGGACCTCGAAGACGAGTTAGACAGCAAGACGGGGGATTTTCCCACTCTCGTTGCCCTTCCTCTGCTTCTCCGCTTGCTTCCCTCAAATGAGTCCAAAAAGCTGGCTGGGAAGCTGACCGTGGCGCTGTTGGTGGGTATGGAGGAGACGGAATACAAGTCTAGCTGTTTGGCGGGCTTTGGAAGAGCGGAGGTCTGTACCAGTGCCATCGGAAGAGCTGTCCTTTCTGAGTTGGCCAAGCTGAGGGCAGATGAAGCTGAAGAACAGGGAAAAGAGGGCAAGAAGGAAGTAGACCCCGAGTTGGAGGTGGAGAGGATTGGAATCGATGTAGAAGTCTTAAGGGAATGGTTGGTAGACAAGATTGCGAGTGCGGAGGCAGCGTAAGAACGCAATCAGATTTCTTTTCAACTTTAATGTCATATTCATGTCATCACTACCCTGGGTACTCGGTCACCTGCATATTGTAGTCATCCTTAACATTAATTAAGACTAGTTTTTTCACCCCTAGATCATGATATCCGAGCATTTCTGGAAGAGCAAAATTGCGCACCTGCGCTTTGGGGAACATAATCAACGCAGCTCCATCATATTACTTGCTTGAGTATGGTTTCTTTACCCGGGCTGATTTGCAAATAGCTTACTGGTGTGGGGGCAACTGCATGAGGTTTCGATATCTCGCTGCAGAGCAACCCAGTCCCCCCTTTTACCTGGCTTTGGGGAGGAGGATTGGTCGCGCGAGATGGGCAGAGGACAATGCACACCATATGCTCACGAAAACAATGGAACGTCATGTACATACCTCCCATCCAGACTCAGGACAAAACCATTGGAAGACGGACCCGGTCGAGAGCGGCCTCAACAATATTATGGTCCACACGATTCAATGCAGCTTTGAAGGCAATCTTAAAACCCCAAATTCATATTTGTGACGATATCACCAGCTGATATCAGGCCCAAGGATTGCACAGGACAGAATGAGACAACAAAAACCTACACCCTGTTGTAACAGTCGAAACAGCCATGGATGGATATCAATTGATTTTGAGGGAGATACTTGCCCGCCGCTGCGACCAAGGGGCTTTATTCGAGCGCATAGTTCATGCAGACGCTGAGATCGAAATGCTTTCCGCAAAAGACCTCGATGAAGGTTTCGTGCGGCATATCCAACTTCCTATCCAACCATCATTGCTTTTACTTCAGATCAACAAAAGTTCACCTGATGATGTCTATCAAAATCAAGTAGGCACGCCTGGTACACGTCCACGGAATTCTCCCAAGGCATTAGATTGGATCGCATCGGTCTTGAGCGCATCTAATTGGACTACCAAAGTAGCTACCGTGGGGCAGAAAGGGGCCACAATGCAGACGATACGTTTATAAACGGAACAGGAGAACAACGAACGGACCGGGCCTGCACAGCGGCCCGAAAAACACGATTTAGAACGATGCAACACGACCAGGATGAATACGTACCTATGAGGGTCGAAACAACAAGTTTCAATGGCTTCGGAGTCTCTTCATCGAACATTAGATATGTTCTCTTCGTCGTCATCGAGGCCTTTACGTGCAGCGCCCAGGAAAGCAGTTTTAAACTCATCCCATAATTTCCCAGATGACTCCGAAAGCCCCATTCCGAGGTCTGTCCAATCAAAGATGTCCTCGTTTCCCTGCGTCCTCCGCAACACCGAGCCGATGAGTCTACTGGTGATCGACAATTCCTCGTCTGTTTTCTGTAACCGCCGACGATTTTCGTGTGTTGAACGGTCCGAGTGGGGTCGCTCAAAGCCTTCGTGTTTGCGCAACGTAGCTTTGTTGGTCTTTGAGCGCTTATCCGATGAAGGACCCGAATCAAACCTCTCCCATGGTTTCCGTCGGTCAGCACGCGAAGTTCGTTGGGAGCGCGAGCTTTTCGATTGTCGATAAGCATTGGCTTTTTGGACCTCGCCTGTCCGCGTCAACGCATACCAGCCCGAGACGATGGCTCGCGGCAAGTTGTTGAGAATAGAATTATTCACAAGGACCTCTACGCCTTGACCCTGAGGATATATCGTTCCCAATACAGCCAGAAGCGTAGCAACTATCGTCCCGTACTTCAGGAAAAAAAAGGTAACTCTGAAAGCCGTTTGCGTCGCACGAATCGTGGAAGTAATGGTCCAGTAGAGGGAGATGGCAAGGGCAAGGGTGGACAAGATGGCCGGTACCTCATTCTGCAAGTTGGATGGGGATGTAATGAGCACGTAAAATAAGTGAGAACATTGGGCGTATAAGTGTTTGAGACTGTAGATGAAGGATTCTGGAATGAAAGGGAGCACGGTGGCATAGATCTGTCGGGCAAGGTCATATGCGTCATAAAGCCTGGCCATCTGGAGTACAGGAAACGTCCTCGGAAGACAAAATCACAAATGGGACACGAAGGCCAGTCTACAGGGCTGAAGGCGGTCACCCTGTTGGCCTGAAGTGTGGGTGTGTGTGTGTGTGTGTGCGTGTGTGTGTGTTTCTGACTGATCTGGGCGAGGACTTGGGCAAGTCAACGATTGTTGGAAATTATTGTCCACGTGACTGGATTCGAAAACCAAAAAACGCATCTAGATGAGTTAGGTAGTTGCGGTTTTTGGTTCGCACTTTGGCCCTTCAGATATTTCTCCAACCGATAATCATGATCTTCATTATGGTTTGACATGGTCACCTGCCTATCTAGACAACAAGTATGTACGCGTGAATGTCCGGCAGCATCGGATTTCACCATCCACACCAATTTTTTCAACGATATTCGGGTGTTTAGGTTTACGAGCCATGTACGATCACACTTTGTGATCTTTGGCGGGAGAGCATTTTGGAAACTGGATTTCGAGGTGGTTCAGGTCAAAGGACCGATATGTTACACAAGGCATGGATCCGAGAGGCACCTGAAGGTGCAACAGAGGACCCGGTCTTTGCCCTCCACGGCCACCCCCTTTTGAGATGAAGACGATGAGAACAAGGGAGGTGAGAAGAAAAAATGCTGGAGAGAGAGCTGCGTAGTAGTAAGAGGCGGAGATTCGAGGAGTATCCAACTTTAAACACCAAGTCTGGCAGGCGGGGAAAACAAGAGGGGGGTGGGGAGAGCTTGAAGAAGGAAATGGTGACGAGGCTGGCGATGCATATGGAGGGTGGAAGACCGTGGACGGCGGATGCGATACGCAATGGGCAGGGGGTGTGTCGAGCTCGGGCAGCAAGACAAAACGGGGGACGTGTCAAGCACGGGCGGCAGGGAAAAACGGAGGAGGGTCAGGAATGACAGATCGTTGGTGTGTAGGACAGGCGAGAGAGAAGGCAAAACCAGCGGTGAATATAGAACGGATGGTGACTGTAAGAGCAGGTGGAAGCAAACCAACGAGAGAAATATGATCAATGAGAGTATGCAACAGTTGGTCCATCTTGAACGATTCCCATCCATGAACCTGAGCAGACTGGACACGCTGTAGATGGACCTTTCTGAGCGTGACTAACCGTCGGAATGAACAACTCGGATAATTTAATGTCACGCGCCCTGAGGAGCCTGAGACTCCTACTGAGAACTGCAATCTAACCCACCTCTATCATGCTTTCAGCTTGCGTAAACATATTTCGGGCTCGTGCCCCTTGCCTCGCGAGCCTTGTTTCCAGCCGTGCACTTTCAGGCAGCGTTGGGCCTGGTACAGCGACCCGTGAGCATATTCTCCGATTACCGTGACTTCCTTGGTCAACACTATTCCTAGAACTCGCCAGGTTTGACTGGCAGGCGAGTAGCTCAAGCTTCTCCCTGAGATGTTATGCCAATTTCCCCCAGGATCCTCTGGGCCGTGAAGGACTGCTGACGGAAGAGGAAAACGCCATTCGGTTGGTCTAGTAACACTAGGAACGCCGTCTGCTTCGCTGACCATTTCTAGGGATGCGGCAAGGACCTACTGCCAGGTTATCTGAGCTTCTATGAGAGGCGTACGAAGTCTGACGTCGGAATGAAATGACAGGAGAGGCTCCAACCTCGGATAATTGAGGCGTATAGAACAGAAAGTGTGTTACTCTCCCCGGAATTTAGTTTAGGAATCGACTGTCCCGGCTTCAGGCTTCGATAAAGCTATTCTTATGGAAATGGGCGAACTAGGTTTGCTTGGTGCCACCATCAAAGGTTATGGTTGCGCTGGTGTTAGCAGCGTAGCATATGGCCTTATTGCTCGAGAGGTTGAGCGGTATGTGCTTCTTTCACCGCACCTTCGCGCGGCCTAACGCATGCCCCGTTCAGCGTGGATTCAGGCTATCGATCAGCGATGTCTGTGCAGTCATCTCTGGTCATGCACCCTGTGAACGAGTTCGGTTCTCAAGAACAAAAGGAGAAGTATCTGCCTCGGTTAGGTTCGGAGAGCCCGAGAAATCTTGCGTTGCTTTCCTGACCTGGAAATAATTATCAGCTAAGGGCGAATTCGTCGGCTGCTTTGTATGTTGGCAGTGTTGGCGTCCGCTTTCTTTGACACTGATCCTTGATCAGGGTCTAACCGAGCCAAACCATGGTTCAGACCCATCAGGAATGGAGACGACAGCTGAACAACTGAAGGGAGGTGGATATATCCTAAATGGCAGCAAAACCTGGATCACCAATAGCCCCATCGCGTAAGCTATGCTGATGTTGCTTGCACACTTTCACCCGAATTCATATATGGAGTGCCCAGCGATCTGTTTATTATCTGGGCGCGATGTAAATGGGACGGCAAAATACGGGGGTTCGTCTTGGAAAAGGGAACAGAGGGGCTCTCCGCCCCTGTGATAAAGAATAAATCAGCCCTTCGAGCGTAAGTTTTTCTCACGCTCCTTGGGCCTGTATCATCCTCAAGGCTCTTTCAGTTCGACTACCGGGTCGATTTTTATGGATTCAGTCAAAGTTGGTACAGAGGCACTACTCCCTGGTACAAGAGGGCTTTCATCAGCCTTTTCTTGCTTGAACAACGCTCGCTATGGTATCGCATGGGGGGTTATGGGATCACTTGAATATTGTATCGAGGTGACGAGAAACTATGCACTCGAGCGCCGTCAGTTCGGGCGTCCCCTTGCGTCCTTCCAGCTTATTCAGAAGAAGCTGGTCGACGCGATGACTGAAGCATCTGTTGGACTTCTTGCTGCGCACCGTGTTGGTCAACTGAAAGACCAGGGGAGATGGTCTCCCGAGATGGTAAGTATCATCAAACGGAATAATTGTGGGAAGGCACTCCTGCATGCGAGGAATCTGCTTGACATTTTGGGAGGAAATGCGGCTAGTGATGAGTATGGAGTCGCTAGGCATGCTGCAAACCTGCAAGTAGCCAATACTTATGAGGGTACACATGTAAGTGCGGATGGCCCTTACCCGTTTCCTAGATTATGATCGCCAAACCACCAGGACATTCATGCTCTGATCTTGGGAAAGGCCATGACTGGCCATGCGGCATTCGCCAACTGAAGGCGTGCACTGCAGTACTTTTTGTACTCCTCTCATACTCATGTTACCTTGCCCATCGTATTTTGCGATTGCTTGATTTGCCTCCTCAGGGGTGAAGCCCCAGACTAAGCCCACCTATAAAACATGAGGTCCTTCATAATGCAAGCAACCCGCGTGGCCTCCACGCCCATTCAGTTGACAAGAACAGGTACACTTCCATCAATATTGTGGCGGGATAGATGATTTATCAGTGTGCATCCTCTTCAGTTATACTAAAACTCGCGGCGCGTAACACATAGCCAGCCCGAGCCGCTACCAATCAACCTATCTGAAAGTTGTTCATAATGCTGTCGATGTGCGCATGGTTGTTACACGTGCACTTGCACTCCGGGGTAGAAATACATGTTCCAAACCAATACAGACGAGTCACAAGTCACGACGGGCGTCTAGTCAGAGCTAGTTACACACCAACCTTCATCCTGCGTGTATCAAAGCCACATATTTTTGGCCCATTTCCCAACTGATCCAAAGATGACTTCATTGCGCACATTCCAGGTATATGCTTTGATTATTCAATTGCACATCTTCCATTGACTGCGCCGAATCGAAAAGCACGAGATTGATGAGATTCACAATCGTGAAGTCGCCCGCCAACGAGCCCTTACGTCCGTGTCAGGCGATGGTGACAGACCCGGCGAAAAAGGAAAGAACAAGTCTGTCACTAAAGGAAAGGCAGCTTCAACGGCGACCAAAGAAGAGCCCAAATCGATCCCTGCTCAACCGCTGAATACGATCGGTTCCGAGGAAGAGTTAGATCGAGTTTTCGTGAGCTTGACTGCATTGTTGGTATTTCTCCTGCACTGAGCGAACAGCACTAGGAGCTATTGGTCTCCACTTCTGAAACCTCGCACGCAACTGCCAGAGATGTATTGGCTTCAATATTAACGCGTCGGCGAGGAGAGATGGTGCTTAGAGTCGGGTCGCACACACCGAAGGTGGTACTGTATGGGGCAGAGACAGCGGATACCGAAAGCGTTGGGCTGGGAAAGAACCTCAATGCCGATGACTACGAGCGAGCCAGTCAGCGACTAAAGGAGATTGTTGAGGATATGGGGGGTGTAGTGAGTAGTCCTCCTCTGACTAGCAACATTCGCCCACTGCTTCTCAGGCTACAACGCTATCAACTGGAACCGATCCCCCTCGGTCCCATGTACTAGTCCGACTACCCCCTGCATCGGTCTCCGATGTACCCGAGGTTCGGTGCGCAGTCGTTGGGAACGTTGATTCCGGAAAGTCGACAACGCTTGGTGTATTAAGCCGGGGAAGCCTTGACGACGGCCGGGGGAAAGCTCGGGTTGGTGCGGAACCTGTCACCACCAATGGTTCAGAACTAGCAGCTAACTGTTCCTTACTAGGTTTGTTCCGACATAAGCATGAAGTTGAGACTGGACGAACCAGTTCTGTTGGAATGGAGGTCCGTGCATTCGTAGGCGACCCAGGTAGAAATCGACGGAATCTATCATCCAGATATTAGGGTTTTCGACATCAGGGAAACCTGTTTTACCGAATTCACAGGTGGTTGGATCTGACTCTGCGGCTATTGTGCGTCGCGACAAGTTAGGCTGGGAGAATATCGCGCAGAATAGCGCAAAACTCGTCAGCTTTATCGGTAAGCATTTCGCGTCTCTACTCCAGCGGAAGCACTGTGCTGACACCGTACGGAGACCTTGCTGGGCACGAGGTGCGTAGATGTGTTCTCCCACCTTTAATTTCGTGCATCTGAACTGTCTGTCTAGAAATACCTCAAAATCACTCTCTATGGAATGACTTCTGGCGCTCCTGACGCTGTTATATTGATGGTTGGGGGAAATGCTGGCCTTATTGGCATGAGCAAGGAGCATCTTGCGATTGCTCTCGCGCTCGGCGTCCCCGTCTGTGTTGTTATCTCGAAGGTGAGACCTGAGCTAAAGACGGTGGCCGCCTAGTTATTTGGCTCGCTTTTAGATTGACATGACACCCAAGAACATTCTTGCCGACACTATTAAGCAAGTTACAAAAATTATGAAGAGTCCTGGCTGTCGGTGCGACTAATCTTTGGTATTTCGTAATAATTACTGAGATCTATGGGTTCAATGATTAGAAAAGCCCCCGTCTTTGTAGAAAATATGGAGACAGTTGTTGAAGTTAGTTTGTCACTGGCAACCGAGCGGTTAGTTTTCCTGAAATGATGCAGCACTTGGGCTCACCGTGGTCTCCCCGCAGTATATGCCCAATATTCCAAATTTCCAATGTGACCGGCCAGGGGCTTGACTTACTCCGGACGTTCCTAAATCTTCTACCTTCTAGCGAGGGCGACCAAACGAAGTTCGCCAAGGATCAACCACTTGAGGTGCTACTTCAGATTAGTGATTCTTTGTTAGGACCTCACCATTTTGTCTTGTCATATTGTAGTATTCAATTACCGAGGTTTGGAGTGTACCATATGTGAGCCCCGATCAATCAGGAGGCTGCTGATTTCTAATGCACTCCTTACAGGTTGGAGTAGTTGTGAATGGTCTGTTTAATTAACACGACTCACATATTCTTCTCATGATATCACAGGTATTCTCAACAGCGGTTCTGTTACCGCTGGTGATACTGTTTTTTTAGGCCCAGATCCCAACGGAGGATGGGCAGTCACTAGCATTCGAAGTATACACAAGAAACGGTGACTACTCCTGACGAAAGAAAGATTGTAATGTTGCTCATTGGTTCGCGCACATGTAGTCACCTTGTGCCTTCTGCCGAAGCTGGTCAATGCGTAAGCTTTGCGTTGAAGAAAGTTCGACGCGCTACCGTTCGGAAAGGTATCAAAATAGCAACATTATTGGACTGCTTGTATAACCGCTCAAACCCTATCAGGAATGGCAATCGTCACAAGAACCGAGACTCCCCCCAAGGCCTTCAGGCGGTTTGAGGGTCAAGTTTTGATACTTTAGTGAGGAGACGATCTTTCATCGTGTTTGCTTAGCTCGTAATCACCACTGCTGCAGTCATAATACTACATTACAGAAGAACTATCAAGTGAGCCACGCTTCCTACTATACTGCAGACATGACGATGTCTTGATGGCCTTTTTCGCACTAGGCTATGCTTCATTGTGGAGTTAGTGCCACTTATCTATTGATCGTTCAGCCTGACTCATTACGCACTCTCAGGCAATCCGTCAGACCGTCCGCATTATAGCAATGGATAACCCGAATGGTGTCCTACGTACCGGAGACAGAGCTTCTGTGACTTTCGAGTTCATATCTTCTCCGGAGTATATCAAGGAGGGTATGAAACTCTTGTTTCGAGAGGGTAAGACTAAGGTAAGCAATATGAAGGATAGCGTGGCAATGTGCAGATGGCATGATAACGTTCTCTCCATTTGGTAGGGCCTTGGGGTGATCACGAAACTTGTGTCATAAGGATCACAGGGGAAACTACCCCGACACGAGTTTCGCCAGTCTATGCATTGTACCAATGCCAGAGAACGGGTTCCAGTGAAGTAAAGGATGCCCTCAGGAGCACACACACTATACGTAGCGCATACCGCTTGTAGCAATTTTTCATGCTTTCATACACGTACTGATGATGTATTATGTTGTTCATAAGCCTTTATATGTCCTCTTCGTCATATTCATCATTCTCGCCTTCAAAGTCTATGAGATCACCTTCGTCAAGATCCACCGTCGACTTGGGTCTGGAACCATTTTGCCTACACCAAATCTCAGTCAACATAGAAGGTTGAGTAGCGTCTTCAACGGCCTTGTCCCCTCTAATTCGCATGAATCGTGGAAAGCGAAGGCTAAGACCACGCGTTCCAGATACTTCACCCAGTGCCGCGACACTGACAGGGCTAATGGTTATGTCAGCTCCACGAATTTCCCACACTTCGCTGTTGAAAATAACGGCTTCAGAAGTTTGTTTCTTGGTTGTGAAGGAGGAAATACCCAGGGAGAAAATATATGGCGGGTCTTAAGCCTGACAGGAAAACGAAGCGATAAGCTCGGCATAAAGGATGAAAGGAGACGCGGATACACCTCCATAATCGACATGATAGCTTCCAATCGGTTCTCGCGAGCATGTTGGAGAATTCTCTGGGTATCGCTCTCCCAATGCCTGCGACGCAGCTAGTCATTATTTGCCTGAAAGCCCAGTGGAGATTCACTGACAGTGTAGAATGCGTCAGTGAAGCCTGGCGAAGATTACTTGTCAGTCGATTCGCGCATCAGGACGTCACAAAACTCACCACTCATGCATTTACACATTGCTACAAGGCGAGCTAGTTTTGGATCCCAAACTGCAAGCAGGATTGGGCTCCACCACTTGGCTTTCCTCCCATTCCCATGCCATGCACCCACGGGCACCAGGTCAAGGGAATCGCCTGTATTTTTTTATCGATGTGAGGGGTTTAGCAGCCAATCCTTCTACGTCCAACCCACCGATTCCGTCGACATAATCCTTTTTCAATTTCAGCCATGCTGATGTTCTCTTATCTACATGAATCAGCACCAACACCAAACGGATCAAATTGGAACAGCTTTCACCTGGTTCGTATGTTGCAGGGAATGGCTTTCTTCTGCCTCCTTTCTTCTTGCTTGGACTAAGTGAAACGTCGTCAAGACCGACCTCCCCCGTAGCGCCCCCGCTGTCCAACAACTTTAAGGTGCATATCATTCCTCAACATAAGCCTGGAACTGCGATGGTGTTCGCACCTTAATCATAAGACCTTCACATTGACTTTCTAAGGCATGCTCCCAGAAGGTCTCAACAGCTTCTCTTCCGTCCGGGCCGTCGCTGTCCACATTTTCAACGAATTGAAGTCTTGCTCCTCCACGAATTGGAGGCATTACCCGTGTGGAGAATTTTTGACGAAGGGTAGCCCTTCGTTCTCGAAATGATCTAGACAAAAGGGCCTTTACGAATTAGACTAGACGCCACACACGAGCGTCTAGACAGAGGTATCGTACCTCACCATTCAGGTACATTATGTCGAAGACGAATAGTGAGACAGCGAGTTTGATAGCTCCGACTTGAACATTTTTCCGGGGACGGTTAGACAGTTCTTGGAAGGAACGGGCACTGTTTTCCTCCGCATCCCATGCAACTATTTCAGCATCAAGAATGAATGATTCAAGGGTATTATCTACGTGATCACTCAATTCAGGCTCAGAAAGACAATCGACTGCCAGCTCGACGATGTCGGGATACTTTTCCGTCATATCTTCGAGGTGACGGCTGAAAATCTTGATCGTTGGTTTGGTCTGGCCCGCCTCGTAAAAGGCGTGAACCTGAGCCCGTTGTCCGTCATATTTGAATTCAGCAGAAAATGTTACTCCATTGATCCGCTCGTAGATTTCATCAAGTGTGCGCATCGGAGAGCCGAGAGCCGGATGCAATGGGATACCAACGGTTAGAGGCACCTTCTGTGCAAGAGATTCCCATCCTCCAGCGAGGAATGCTTTCACGATGTCGTTATAGTTAGGGTGTTGTACGAATGTCGTGCGGAGAAGGGCTTCAGCATCTAACATCTTCTTGATGACCTCTCTCCTGGCCTTGTCGATTATTTCGCTCTTCTTATTCGCCTTTTCGGGAGGTGTGAGTATGCGATCCAACAGATCTTCTGAGGCAAAGTAAGGTGAGTCTGTTGGTAGAGCGCTCCCTCGCGGCCGAGTCAACACGCCAGCCTTTGCCAGTGCTGTCAACATGGTTGTCCTGACCGCCCCAACACGCAGGTGCATGCTTAGGGTTCGACTGATAAAGCGGACTTCTTCGCCTCTAGCTGATAGAAGTAAGTGCTCGACGACGCCTTGGCGCAACTTTGCAGCGCCTTTCCCCTTCGCTTGGCTTATTTTGATCAAGGACGCGTATACGCCTTGGATTGTAAGGGGTAGAAGGGGAACCAAGGTACGCACAGACGCCTTTGCTGCGAAAGCGACATCACCTGGATCGCCATAGGTGTTGTACAACTGGTGACACCAAGCAGAGGACGCCAATATTGAGTGGAGCACTTTCTAAGAAAACTGTGAGTCCAGCCTCTTACCTTGCGCAGAGCAGCAGCGCTTAGTCCAGAGACTGCTTGTAATGCCCTCGAGATGACTGCTGGACCAAGACCAAGCTCTATAGGAATGTAAGGTGGCGCCAAGGTATTGGATATCATATACATGGACGGAATGATGGAGTCCGAGTCGTGAACTATGAGCACTCGAAGGGCGTTCGTCAACGTGTTAAGTATCAGGGTGCGCGATTTTGTCTGTGAAAGCAGAACCAGTACATGAGAGAGAAATGCATATGGCGCGGTCTTCGTGATCCAAGGATGAAGGGGGATTTGGAACAAGAGAGGATCCAAGCTGAGGTCAGGCATCATTTGGACAGCGTCTATCGGCTGAGTGGGTGGATTGGAACTTGAGCTTGGGCCATCGGTGGAGTGTTGAATATCTTCTACGTCAGTCTCGCCAGACAGCAGGGAAAACTTATCATCCAACCCAGAAGGCAGAACATCAGTATCCGCATCATCAAGGACGAGGGGCTCATCCCAAGACAGGCCAGGACCCTCAAACGCAGATGATGAGGGCCCTCCTGCTGGTACCAAAGTTTGGCTCGACTGGCTCGCACTGCTGGGTAACGCAAAGAATGAATCGAGTGTTCCTTTGGCGGTTCTCGCTTTCTTCGCTCTGAAGTTCTTAGGTGCAGCGGCTTGTGTCTGCCTCTTATTAGGTGACATTGTCGTTTTTGCTGAGCAGGAAATGTTATTTAAGTATGTTTGGCAGTGGCAGGAGGCTGAAATCCTGAGCAAAAGGTGGGTTCGCAAGGGGGTCTCGACCGACACAATCAACTCAATCAACTCAATCAACTCGTTCAACTTGAACTTCTGCTAAGGCACGATAAATTCGGCCAACTCCGCCACAAATTCGCACAATCTAGAAATTTGCTGTGTGGATCACGTGTAGTTACTGGTTCTTAACCGCAGCCCAGATACAGCCTCTGAGTTGCAACACCCAGATTCCAAACTGTACATGCTCGATTAGAGAATACCTCTGTACCTGAAAGGTTTGTCCGAGCATCCCTAAAAGATTGGCTCCATTCTTGACTTCGACTTTTATAACAAAGATGCCTCATAAGAAGACCCCATCATATCCTTTCTCCTCGGGACCAAATGCTGTCAATGCCATCAATCGCTCCAGTTGGACACCCTTACCTCCCACAACACAACCACCGGAAACGGATGTGTACCCACACTACGACCATACTGAGGGAAACGAGCACGCAACCTTGTTAGAAGCCGTCCATGACCATGACAATGGCCACGAAGAAGCAGCAATGTTCATGCCTGAAGAGGTATCGACTCAGTTTTGTGTTGTAAAATTACTAAAGGTGCAATCTATTCTCTCATCATAGGCCAGCCCTTTAAATCGCTGGAATCCAAATGAACCAGAGCCAGACGGTGCATCCGTTTTTATTGATGTTCTATCTCGGGTGCTCACTTCCATTGTCAAAGATTTCCTTCATGTACCAGACCCAAGGCGTGACCATAAGAATGACAGAGGAGGCACCATCCTGACTCTTCGTGGGCTAGCGAATTTGGGATTCTTGTTTTTTTTAGCACTAGCCTTACTCACGATGTTGTGCGTCCGACTCTCAGCACTAGTTGCTCCTGCTTTCTGATCTTCCCTGCTGGGTGCCTCTAGTGCTGGATACCCGTTGGCATCGTACTTTATCTCCCTCAGCCACAAGCCAGGCAAGTTGGGGGGGTATAATATTGGGGGCATAAACGCATCGGGCCAGGTCCCCGAAATAGGCGGTCATTTTGCGCTCATTGATCCAGATACCCCAAGTGACGCGCAAAGGATAAAGGCTTTCACCGATGGATCGATGTACGATCTCGTGTTTTCAGATGAATTCAATCAGGATGGTCGGACATTCTACCCAGTGGGTAACTACAAAATAGAGCAGGGGTGTGCCCGCCTTACCCTTTAATTATCAGGGCGATGATCCATACTGGGAAGCGGTTGACCTCAACTATTGGTTTGTATTAATTCGTTGATTCCACGTGGCGGCGTGTTCATCCTTTTCACAAGGCAAACGGGAGACTTGGAATGGTACGATCCTTCCGCGATCACGACGAAGGACGGATCGTTGGTCATCACCTTGAATGCGACTCAAAGTCACGGCAAAGACTTTATCGGCGGGCACATGAGTAGCTGGAACAAATTTTGCTTCCAGGAAGGATACATCGAGGGTGAGAGGACTTGGCCCTTCGTGTACGCTAAGGGAAAGCAGATGTCATCCCTGTATTCTAGTCAATGTGTCACTACCCGGAGACCCCAAAGTATCTGGATTTTGGCCCGCCGTTTGGATGATGGGTTCGTGCATATCACGGCCCCGTCTGTGTACCCAACTGATCACATCGCTTAGGAAACCTAGGGCGAGCCGGTTACGGTGCCTCATTGGAGGGAATGTGGCCCTACTCATATGACTCCTGCGATTGGGGCACTCTCCCAAACCAGACATTTCCTGGGGCCCAACCCCCTTCTAACACCATAGTATATTTGCCTGGGCAACGCCTCTCAGCATGCACTTGTACAAATATTAATGACGGAAGTCACCCTGGCCCAAAGACTAAAGGGAGATATGTTGGACGCTCCGCTCCTGAGTTGGATGTATTTGAAGCCCAGGTTGACAAGATTGGTGGTGGGGCATCACAAAGTTTGCAGTAGGTATCTCCCCCGCTTTTCCTATCATGATGTTGAACACGGCTTCCAGGATGGCCCCATTTGACGATGATTACTTTTGGGGCAACACTTCATCCGATATTAATATATATGATGCATCCATCACAACGGTGAACTCATATAAGGGCAGTCCCTACCAGGAGGCCCTCTCTGCTGTTACTCTCAACGATCAAAATGCATACCAGACTACGGGAGGATATGCGATTTATGGCGTCGAGTACAAAACGGGCGCAAAGGGATATGTCACCTGGATCAATAACGGCAAACCTGCATGGTCAGCGTACCCCAGCGCCATCGGTCGGTGAAGTACATGCACAATGTGTTTCCTGGTTGCTGAAAGCAGTTCTTAGGTCCAAACTCGATTACTAATATCAGCCAGCGCTTGATACCAGAGGAGCCCTTGTATATCATCATCAACCTAGGCATTAGCCGCAATTTCGCGAAGGTTAGTAGCTAATTCGCATGTTTGCACTCATTCGTTTCTGACGTGCATTACAGATTCAATTAGATCAGCTTGTTTTCCCCGCCCAAATGAAAGTGGACTATGTCCGAGTTTACCAAGCCCCAGGAAATAGACGTGTATGTTTGTGCGGATGAGGCACTCCCTTGTTTCTGAACTCATGTCATACCGAGCAGGTCGGTTGTGATCCGGATGATCATCCAACGGCGGCTTACATCAATAAATATAGTGAAGGTTTGCTGATACACCCCATTGATAGTCCGTAAAGTGCTCACGCCACTCTTAGCGTATTCAAACCCAAATCTAACGGTCTTCGCCACTACGGGGACAGGGGTGAGTCGGTTCAACTCATGCACGGTCAACCAATCGCCTGAGTCGCATATTAGGGAAGTTATAATCAGAGCTTCCCGAAAAACAAGCTTGTCGATGAGTGTTAGCAAGGATATCGTGGCAGTCGCACTTCAGCGGTTGATCAACAAAATTTGCATGACATACTTTTTCAGACATAAGATATTAATAGTTGTAATCTTCACGTTGCTACATCATACATACTCGGACTTGTTTGACCTCTGTAGATCTTTAAATGCATTATATTATTCTCAAAGGACCTCTTATTTACTCTGTCGCAACAGATCCTTTCTCCTAGGCAAAGACTACGGTATACTCCATGGAAATAGAATGCAATATCCCCCTATTAACATTACCCTAGACCCTAAACGACATAGTCCGACGCGCCGCACTACGCTTTCCCAGACTCAACATAAACAACCCCATCATATCAAAAAGAAGAAACTAAAGAAACAAAGAACCATAAAAGGAAAAAGACAAAAACAGCACCCAAATTTGGAGAATGGCGAAAGAGATCGAAACAGGAACGGAGTCGACCGGAACCATGGGCAAGAACAACAGAAGATCTAGAAGACAGACTGAAGATGACGATCCCCGAAAATAAAGCAGGATGTTGTTTGAGCAAGACATGACGACGCGCCGGTACGCACATCATGCCCATATCGGCTATCCGATATGATACCCTTTTACCATGTGTTTCGTGTTCCACTGTTGATTGCCTTCCACATGTAGCGCTGTCGCGTATCTCATTTTCTTATCACTTTTGTCTGATATCCGTGTTATTACTTTAACTACTTATACCGCTGTGCGGTTACAATATCAAGTCGGTTGTTCCCCGTTATCCGAGTGTCCCCGCTGAGAGCTACATAACAACACAGGAGTATCAGTAAAAAAGAGCTGGGCGGCTGGAAGAACTCCCAGGATGAGTCCCACATCTATTTGTGCACTGACGGATTACTTGTGCAACGACCAGGACATTCGAGAAGCGGGGTATAGATTTGCAGCCTATCAACGCCGCAAAGTTATCTCCAAAGGGTCGAGATCCACGACGCAAAGATGGGGGGGGCTCGCCCAGAGAACAGAACACCTCACCGCTTGGATCAACGAGAACATCCCAAAAGAAAATGTCTTATCACATCTACCTTCGCAGATAACACCGGGGCCCGCCCACCAACCAGGCCAACACCCCAGGCCTGGACATTCAACAGTCCCTCCGTTTCCGTAAAACCACCCTCCAAATATTAGACGAACGCCCTCTGAGCAGAATCGGGTACCGGGACACGAGGACATTAAGGGAAACGACCTTGCCAACTCACTAGCGAAGGAAGGAAAATCGCGCCCGCCTACCCATTGGACGCCTCAGCAGCATACTCGAACAGACGTCGGTGCAGAACCGAACACTGGAACATAAGACCCTAACCAAATCAGACCTTCAGAGCACCGGACATGCAACTGTGAACCGCACCCTAACACCACCAAACGCTTCGACTCCCTCTAGGGCGAAGAAGCTTCAGCCGTCTCCTGCAACTGCGCACTGGTCATGCCTTTATAGGCCAATATTCCTCCCAGACGAAGGCCTGAGATGCAGTTGCAGAGAACCCACAGAAACACGGGAACACATCCGACCTCCTCGAGAAGGAAGACGGAGGCCTGAGGGTTGCGAGCTTCCTGAACGTGAGCAGAGCGTACGAGAAATCACTAGACCCCCGACCCCAGGAGATACCGCCCGCGGAATCGTCCTCTTCTGCGAAAACCGGTGGCATAACATCCGAATGCATGTAAGTGGAGACTCCCCAGGGGAACAAGACTCTCTTGGACTTTATTTCCGTGTATTTATTTCGAGACCCGAGCTGAGACACAATAAATTCGGTATGCATGCACGAGATCATCTCATCGATCTGTGACTTAGTGCTGTAATCCATCTACAAATGGTTCATGATCACTTCCCAGGTATCGCCTTCAGGTCTTTTCATACTCACTAACTGAGGAAGCAACTATCGTGTCTGTCCCTGAAGCTGACATCCACGCATCAAAGACTGTCGCTGAGCTAGGTCGCCTCCTGTCCAGGGAACAACAGTCGAAAGTCTGTTTTTCCCTGTTAGGCTAATTGTCATCCGCGTTCTGCAATCCTGAGCACTGCGCTGTCTCATCTTTAGGGACAAATTATTTATCTGCAGTCTCAGCCTGTGACTTACAGAAATGACACAGATAGAGAACTAAACTTCAGACAGGAGGTAAATGTTATCAACGACTTTCACCCTTTCCCGTGCTGATATATTTTCCTCCAAGTCCAATTTCTATTATCTTACTGGTTGTGACATCCCTGCGTCTGCGTTGCTCGTCCTTATACCGCCTCCCAAAAAAGGGGAGGCGTTTGGAAGGTCCGTACAGTCTACTCTTCTTATTCCGGAGGAAGATCCCTTGGAGATAATATGGTCACCTCCCCCTCCTACGATCGAACAAGCAAAAACAACGCATCCAGCGATGTCTTCTGTCCAGTATACAAGGGCGCTCCCAAAATTGATCTCGTTATTCATCAAGAACTATCCTGATGCGTTGATTCAGACTCTCCCAGTGGAGAAAGCTTTCCCGCCTCCGCTGGAGTCTTTCCTATCTATTGCGACCAAAAACAGGACATCTGAATTTCTTCTATCCGCCCTCCACCGTGCCCGTCTCACCAAGACGCCGCATGAGATATCATTGATTCGGAAAGCAAACGCTGTCAGTTCGCGGGCGCATGAGCTTATTATGAGGATGTTGGGAGAACATGCACATGATGATATTGTTGGAAATCTTCCGGACGGGAAGCTCGTGATGCCCAACAAATGGCGAATTGAGAAAGAGGCGGAAGCGGAGGCTGCTTTCGTTGCTTCATGTCGCAGAGAAGGGTAGGTTCTACGACGGGCTCACTTGACTGGAGGCGGCTTTTAAGTTCACGTAGATCACTGCACCAGGCCTACTTGCCCATCGTGGCAGGGGCTGAGCGGGCTGCGACATTGCACTACTGCTGCAACGACAAAGACTTCGCATGGGGACCCGTGACCGGCACAAATGGGCGCCACCATGGGCTTCATCGTGAAAATGGCACCCATGCTATTGGTCCAGGATCACGTTTAGCTCCTCAGGTATTACTGCTTGACGCGGGATGTGAGTGGAAGAATTACGCCAGCGACAGTACGTTCTATGACAGCACTAAGTGATGGATGATTGAGCTTGACGCGTCGATGCGATAGTTACTCGCACTATCCCAGTCGGTAACGGAGGGAAATTCACCGAAGCTGCGAAGGAGATATATTCGCTGGTACTAAAAATGCAAAATGTTTTTGAACCAACTTGCAGCGCCTTTGACCGATCCCACTGACTTCGGTTTGCTTCACCTTCCAGGACGCTATCGCGATGTTAAAGCCCGGTGTCCACTGGGACAGAATACATTACCAGTGCCACGTCACGCTAGTGAAGTCTTCCTTGAACTGGGTATATTCCATAATGGGTCCCTGGAAGAAATTCTAGACAGCCAAATCAGCGTCGGCAAGTGCATTGATGCTCTGTTCAGATCCTCTAACGGCTCAGTTCTAGTCACATCCAGCCTTCTTTCCTCATGGCCTAGGCCATAGTATTGGTCTTGATGTTCATGATGTGCCGTCTGCTTCGAAGCCAATAAATAATGACACGATTCCAGCTGATTCTAACAAACATCCTAACTTCTACGCCTACTTGAGACTTCGCCTTCCACTTCAGGCAGGGTACGTTCTCATCCCCGTGCCGTTCCACTTCAGTGGTGCGCAATTTGACGTGAGGCCTCTCTAGAATGGTGTTGACTGTGGAACCTGGGGTTTACTTCTCCCCTTACCTATTGGCCCCCCACCGAAATTCGCCATATATAAACACAGAAGTGCTCAATACATATGAAACGGTTGGTGGTGTGCGTATTGAAGATGTATTGGTCATTACGGAGACAGGTTTTGAGAACCTCACAGCTGTCGACAAGGATATCGACTGGATAGAGGCAGTATGTGGGGGCCATAAATGATAATTGACGGCAGTTATGTGCTGACCAATAGCTGGATGACCGGAACCACGTATATAGAGTGATGTGATAATTCAGCTGGAATTCGGATGACCGTCAATCAAGCCCAAGCATTATCGTTCTTTGTAATCGACAAACAGGACCCAGAGGTGGGGTAACGAGATGTATCCACCTAGAATAACCCCAATAAGTCTTCTTGCGGCTTCCCAATCGGCTTAGAAGATTGTGATGGGGTTTGTAACGGGGGACCAAATAAACCTATCGAAGTATTGGAATTGGTTGACGGAGACATAGGTGATGACAACGTTGTCGGAAGTACGTTAGAGGGGGCAGAGATGTTGGTATTCCCAAAAATAGATACCAGTTCGTCAAGTGGATTGGCGGACGTTAGTATGCTCGTTGTAGCTGCGGTTGTCAGTGGTAGCGTTCGTTGGGTTGCCGCAATACCACTTAGTGAAGCGTTTGCACTGTCGCTGTCAGGTTCATCGAAGTCCAGCAGATTCTCGGCCTGTTGGCCGGCCACCAGAGTTTTGAGCGCTTTCTCTCGGGAAGACATCTCGTCCTCCAAACTGGATGGGATGACGGTCAGTTACAACCTCCGCGTGACTCATGGGCAAGATCCGTACTCAGAAGTTCGCCGCAACGCATCAGCACCTATGCGGCCTCTTCCCACAAACGTCTCCGCGGGTTTGTGGTACACACTAGCTAATGAACCGATTTCTCCAAGCAATTCCTCAAGCACCACTGACGAGACGGTTGTGCGGGGAAGCGTTATCGGGGGTTTCGAAGCAAGTACGACGGCCTAGTAAGAATCCTGTGGGGTTAGTAAACGGTCTTTATGGCCTCAAGACTGTTGATTACTTTTGCTGCGCCAGGGTCCGTCGATAACAACCTCCAATAAATATAGGCCCTATCTCTGACGTCCGCACTTTCGCAATCCTTCGTTGCCGTCTCAAGGATCCGCTGAACTAGCCCTTGTGCATTGTCAGGTTTCTTGAGGAACAATTTGACTACAGCCGTCAATGTCTGTAATTGAACCTGAAGATAGGTGTTTGCGTCAGCATAGGCAGTGAAATGATGTGGGACTACGATACCTGATACGATTCATCAATAAAACCGTCAACGAAAATTCCCAAAAGTTCATCTGCATTATCTATCTTGTCTGCATATTCCCCAATGATCCAGATGAGCGACGCCTTGGCCTCCGGTTCGTCCAACTCCTCTAGATTGCCGCACAGCGTTGGAATTACGGCTTCATAGCTGTTAGGATATTTCCGAAAGATATCCTGTCTCGAGAATGAGCACTTGGCATGGACCGCATCGGTCCCTTACCTTCATCACCACCACTGCTTCTTGCACCACATAACTCACTCGTGTGCCGATCAAGTCAAGGAGAACATTGACGCATCGCTCAGCGGATGTGTCAATCTTGATGGCACATTGCCCGATTGCTCTCACCGACTTCCGAACAAAGTCTACGTCAACTTCTGAGGCATACCTAGAGGAACAGTTAGTATGAACGCTATCCCAAGGTAAGGGAACGTGCGTCACTCTTTGAGTTCGCTGAGTAGAGTGTCAACGGTCTTCTCTTGAGCAAGCCGAATCATGATGTCAAGCTTTTCGACTTTAATATACGGGGGATCGTTGTATTTGCAAAAAAATACGCGCATCTCATTTTGCAGAATGTCGGAACGTTTTTGAAGGAGTAGATTGATATTCCGAAGAGCTACCCATTGCACTTCGTGCTCTGCTGAAACAAGCGTGACTGGACGAGCAGAGTCATTACGTGGCAACAAACATGCAATTTGCGGACAAACCTAGCGGAGGTGCCATCTTCCTGACTAATTGACTGATCAGATCCTCTCTCGTCACCATACGCATGTGTACCATTACTGCCTATTTCCAAGCTCAGTACGGAATCGAACGGAGAGAAAACTAAGCATCTTACGCGAACCGCAGTCAAGACTACGCTACCATTCGCGTGTTGGAATTGGGGCATCACTCGCTCGCAGATGTGTTCGCTCTCTTTGTCATCCTGTGCTTTATACTTTGCCAGGCAATTGAGGATGGCTACTCTCCCCCATTCCGAGCATTCGTTAAGAGCAATCAAAAGTTTAGTCAGCACAGCAGAATTGATGATGAACATGGCACGCGAGTCGGGGGCAACACCCTCACTGATCTGCGCACTGGCGCTAGAATGTATGTCACTGAGGGCGGTAACGGCATTGGAAACTACCTGAGTGTGGGGAAAGAATTAGATTCGTGACCTTGATCTAAGAACTATCACGCACCATCGGATTACTATCCGCAATGAGCTCTTGCAGCATCTCAAGAAACCCTCCATCGATAGCCAAGTCAGGTTTGATGTCATATAATTTGGCCACACATAGCGCCGCAGTCTTCCTGACATAAGGGTTCTCGTCTTTCAAGGCCTTATGCAAAGGATCAGACAGATAGTCGATTATCTTTTCGGCTCGTAGGCAACCCATTGTCCGTATAGCCAATGCTCGTACAAGGGGGTTCGGATCGTCTGAATCCTGAGGAAGTGGTAAGCGTGCCATGCACCGAAGCAATAGTTGTTGCGCGCACCTTCACGAAGGTATTGACGGCCAAAATCACCAGCTCTGGTTGAGTTTTGGCGTAGTTCATCAAATACAAGTAGACGAGCTTCTTCTGTTCGAGATCTTCCGTCTGCATGTTCTTTAGAACGTCTGGAAATAACCCCGAGACGTCTTTCCCAACGGTCATGTTTGCTATAACGCGCTTAATAGCATCTTTTCTGCGGTCCCGATACTCGCTGTTAAGATCGGCCCTCAACTCAAAGTTCTCGCCTATCCGCCGCTTACATTAGCAGTAAATGAAGACAATGGCCCTATCTTACCTTTCTTGGGGGCGGCACGCGCACCAAAACCGTTCATAGTGTCGACGGGTTGCAAACGGGGGCTTTGCCGAATTTGGCGTCGCGATCCAGTGACGGTTCTGCTCATACATTTAACATCGGCAATGCCTCGAGCAACATCAGAGAAGTTTTCGCGTTTTCACGCACCGTCTGCCAAACCAAAATCTTCAGGCTCAGGAAATGTGGGTACTGCCAACCCCTTGTTCAACGTGGAAAAATTTGGGCAGCACATATTGAAGAATCCTCGAGTGGCCCAAGGGTGCGTATGAAAATGCAACTCAAAGCATGCCTAACTTTTTCTTTAGTATCGTTGACAAGGCAAACCTTCGACCCACAGATATTGTTCTTGAAGTAGGGCCTGGTACTGGTAACCTCACTGTACGGATTTTGGAGCGTGCAAAGCAATGTACGGCAATCGAGCTGGACCCCCGCATGGCTGCTGAACTCGTGAAGCGTGTCCAAGGGAAGTGCGTAGTTTCCTCTCCACCCTCGTATGGCATCTGTCCATTTATGTCCCCAGACCAGAACAGAAAAAACTCAATGTTATGATCGGTGACTTTGTGAAGGCTCAGTTACCGTACTTCGATGTTTGCATAAGCAATACCCCTTACAAGGTCCATTGTTTCGGCGCTTATTACGGTCCTCCAGCTGATACCGGCGCAGATATCGTCACCCTTGGTTTTCCGCCTACTCTCTCATCGACCCATCTTTCGGTGCGCAATCCTAATGTTCCAGAGAGAGTTTGCTCTCCGACTCGTGGCCCGGCCGGGTGACAAATTTTGGGGCCGTCTAAGTGCCAATGCGCAGCTCTACGCCAAAATCGACCATATCATGAAAGTGGGAAAGGATAACTTTCGGCCACCTCCCCAAGTGGAGAGTTCGGTTGTCCGAATCGTACCGCTAGACCCACCGCCGCCTATACGCTTCGAGGAGTTCGACGGGCTGACGAGACTACTCTTTAGTCGGCGGAATAGGACTGTGCATGCCAATCTCCGAGCGAAAGGCGTGTATTCCATGTTGGAGGCAAATTATAAAACGTGGTGTTCGCAGAACGATAAGGTAGGGTCTGCACTGGGACTCCCTTGCACCTTCCATTACTAAATGGGCGTTCCAGACGGTTGACCAGTCGATTGATTTTAAGACGAGAGTGGAAGGGATATTAGAAGAGTCAGGCTTCAGAGAACAACGTCCCGCAAAAATGGATATCAATGACCTCTTAAAGTAAGTCGTTGTTGTGTCCAGAAGGCAAACATTATCTAAGTACCAACTACCCAGGCTGCTTCATGCATTTCATGAGAACGGCATACATTTTGCGTAATAAAGGGAAATGCAGTTTTACTTCTTGGACTTCATCGTGTCACGCACCTCTATACACCTTTTCGGTACACCGCGACTAATCAGCGTCTCCATCACCATGTTGATATGCTTGCCTTGTACCATTACCTCTTTCCCTGCCTTCCCAGGTAATTCTGTTACTATCGTAGATCCAGATTTAATAGTTGAGAAATTCTGGGGTAATGTCTTGTCTCACCTGATGTCGCACCTGCGCATGATTTGCGTAACTCTTCAGTGAGAAATTCGGGAGGGATCAAGTATGTTTCGAAGCCAGTGATGAGCGTGCATGCTTTTCTCCCGGATCTCAATTTCGTCATCACTACAATCGGTTTGAGCTCTCCTTTCCTAGGCGCAAGTCAACCGACAAGGAAGGGGCAAGATGACCAAGGACAGACCTCAATCTTGGCTCCTCCCCAGGGACCTTAACAGAGTGCCATTTTTGCATTGCATTTTTCAGCCTAGGAACTAACTCTTCTCGCTTCAGGAACTCTGCATCTTCGTTCTTGTTGAGGAGGATTTCACGAAGCACTACGTCTACTGTGACGTAGCCGCGTTCGCGAGGATGGATTAGCCCATTTGCCGCGATGTATGTGTCTATGAATGTCTTGAGATCCCCGGTGGTATACAGGCCATCTGTTCGTTCCGAGGCCTTCTCGACAAAATCCCGTGTTGGTCCTGCGGGTTTGAACAACTCCTCGATGATCATGGGTTGTACTCTTTCGGCTTCCTCCTTCGCCGCCTTCTCTTCTCGTGCTTCCTGCGCTTCTGCATCAGCTATAGTGCGATATGGCCTGTGTGCCAGAACGTCGGGGTGGTTCGCATTTAAGCTCACCACGTTGAGGTTTCCTTTCATATCTTTGAGTTTCAAGAGCGATATTTTCTCTGCATGCTGGAGGAACCTGGTGAGCTTCTTGAATGACGAGCGTCGGATTAGGTCCGGCGGTGCAGAAGATTGATCGCTCAGAGGAGGCGCAGGGCGGGAAGGAAGGATATGAGTGGAATAGAATGCAGATGATGAGATAGGGAAATGGACAGTAGATGATTTCGAAATTGTTGTGATTGCCTGGACGAGCGCTGTGCGTAATATTGCGTCTGCCTCTGCACACAACGTCAGCGGGTCATTCATGCTATCGGCCGACGTTATTACTCGACAACTAATTACCTTCGGGTGTTATCTGTTCGACCTCAGGGGCTGTCCCATTGGACGGGAGATTTTGTTCCTCGACTGATAGGTCTTCCATGTTGACAGCGATGTTCCGTTCAGGGGCAGGGGCACGATCCGACATACCCGAACTTGAATGCACCTCGACTCCGTCAATTCTTGGAGCTGAGAGAAGAACAGCGTTATCAGGTCCCAAACCCCACAACGAGTCTTTATGGGTGTGAAGAATATAGACGGCTTTGCCTTTGGATTCCCGCCTGACCTCGTCCGTATTGATCGCCATGCGGCCTATGGCCAGGGGTACTCTTGAACGCGCTGGCGCGACAGCCACAAAACCATTCAGAGGGATGCTCGGGATGTTCCCATCTTCGTGGTTTTCAATAATTCCTGGTATCATCAGGTCTGCACCACCCAGAATCTTTTCGATAGCCGTTGGGGGAGTTGTCAAGATGGGGAGAATCTCGAATTTCCAGAGGGTGTAGACTGCGAGATGAAGGTCAGGCTAGAAATTGGTATCATCAAACAAACACACGGGTAGGAATCAAGTCGTTGCTCTTCTCGAGGGTAAACCATAATGGTATATTGTCCGAGGAGGTGTAGAGAACACCGAAGTGGTCACGAGAGAGCACTGAGAATCTGGAGGATCGCAAACCATCTGGCACTAGTTGGAGACTCTGGTCTGAGGCATCTCCACCAGCCCCCGTGATATACTTAGAGACAATTTCTGCCCTCAGACGGCGGCACTCAGAGCTCTTTATGGGAGCGGAAGGTTTGACATGTAAAGGTTTCTTGAACATGACGACATGTGTGTACAGTACGTAAGCCGAGTCAGGCCCTTTTGCAACCGGGCGTTTTTGGAATTGCTGAGATACGCAGCTTCCGACGCTAAGCCCAGCTCAGCACACCACAAGTGAAATGCCAGTTGAGCTGAGACTATCGAACGCTGAACTCACATCATCCATCTGTCGGCAGGGATCCGAGGAAATCGACGCGCAACGCAGCGAAGCGCGCCTGAAAAGTGCTGGAGGCCTGGCCCGTCTACATGGACCCGATCCGCCTGCCTGTGATGCATCGTGCATAGCACTGCATGGTGGCCGAATTGGTAATTTCTGCACCGTGGCTCGGGTGCCTGTGTGTTCACTTCACGCCGTCCTCATGCTCGTAGTGCTACTTGCCGTAGCTCAACTTGTACCTTCCAAAACTATCGTAGTCACAAAATATGCCGCAGCCTATCAGTTATCACCTGGGCACGGACACTAGATAGTGAGGCTTGATTTAAGATCACTGGCCTTCTCGCCCAGCGACAATATTTCGCGTGCCTCACATCCGTGGCGTCTACGTCTCACTCTCGCTGTGAGTGACCACTTATACAAGTGGCAGGCCCCTAGTCTTCGTCTGTCAATCACTTGCATTTCAACCAGGCTACGACTAAACACTTTCTGGCCTCTTCATTCGGTGGCTTCAGAGCGCTTGACGTGACGTCGCGTCAGAAGCAAACCTCGCCCAGCGACATTCAGATTGCCTTCACTCACAACAGCCTCATCATATAGTGTCCTGTCGGTACCTCGCCCGGCTTACAGGAATTTCAGCAATAGTATGAGAAATGTGAGATTGCAAGTGGCCTGTCAATGGCACTGTTGAATGAGCAAGTTGTGCTGTCGTACCTAACACTACCTGCCCCATCCTTAGCATGACGTCGTGTCGGAAGCAAACCTCACCCAGAGTGTCTTCACTCGCCTCACATTGGTGGCGTCTACCGCTCACTGTGGACGACCACTTCCGCAAGTGGCACATCCCCCATTCTCTTTGTCTGTCATTTTAACTCATGGTATGGCCTCCTCATCTGTTGGCTTATACTATAAAGCTCGGGCGCGCTCCACCGAGCCTTTCTCTCATTCAAATTGACTAGCCTCTTGCTTTCTGGCGTCCTCTCGCACTACATTGTCAGAAAATCCTTTGCCAATTACTCCTATATCTGACGAACACTCTCTGATGTCATCAACGACAGAGCGAAAACGAATCGGGCATGTGGCACCCGTCCTGAAAGACTAAATGATCCACTTCGTATGGTGAAACTGCTCGAACAACAATGACTCATCACCAGAGGTTGACCATCTGGCAGCACGCGGGGAACATACAGGGGATAGATGGTAACAAGACAGGACACAGCCGAAGGCTGGCTTTGTTGGAGTGGCTTAACTTTATCTCTGGCCTGAGATTTTCCGGCACCCCGTTCTGATACTCTCAAAATGTGTGGGACTGAAGATGATTGATTCAGAGCCCACGCGCCATACCGTGCATGGCTTGATGTCACACGATCAACCGCACCTCATTTCATCCAAAACTTCGTTATTGGACAGGGTTGGATCATCGTGCCTTTATCAACCAGTGTAGCTCAGCATTCCCAGCATATATATTTATCTTACTCCGCGCATTCGGCACTAACAGGAATCTCATGGGCGGCCAACAATTTGTTATTTAATGGAGGTACAAGATTTTGTGTGTTGTAGAACACACTGTTAAATGGAGGTTGGCATCAGATGTTGACATTTGTGACTGCTCGGGCGTAGAATTCGCACCAGTATCCTATATCGGTGTCTGGGGATTAACATTAGATAAAGGTGCGAGTCACTGCTGTCCTTGCTCGAAACTGCCCCCCTCGAGGCGAACACTGTTGTAGTTATTGTCTCAAAGACCCATTGAGAGAACCCACGTTATTTCCACGCGACGAGGGAGCAGTCCGAATAATCATCAGGAGGTACGAGATGCAGTATGTCTGGTGATTCAGGTAGGAGTAAGGTACTGTACTGGCACGACCAACAACCGGTAACGCGTAACGCAAGGATCTTGGATTGAATAACTGGTGGACGCTGCCTGACGGGGAAAGTACCCGCTGCTCATACTGCCTTCGTTCGCAAACCTACCATTTGCATCAAACGTGTCAGAAATGAGGAAGTGTAGCTACAGGTAGATAACTCCGAAATACATTCGTGTTCCGTCTTTTTTTAGGGCTCCCCTCACGGTCCTTATCCCCATCCTTCTTGATCGTCTGTGTCATTCACCGCACCTACTAACGATGGCATTCCGTCACGTTTTCGGGGGGCGACCCTGTTTTTGTCATTCTTTTGATTGAAAAGAAAACAATTTCGTTTGAAGCTTGATCAGAACGAGCCCACAGACTCTTGCGTCGGACACCCACCGAAAATACACATGTTTCTGGTGTTCTGATTTCAAATAGTCCGAAGTGCAGCGTAATGCGCATGTTGGAATTGGGCATGCGGATTTCTGTGGCGAGATCCATTGGTGCTGCGCACTAATGCAAGGGGCTACCCATTAAATGATCCAACGCTAATTGCACAGGATGCTCACTTGGAGGCAAACATGAATATGAGACACCCCACTCTCCTCATGATCGATAAATGCAATCCACGGTTTGTTCGCATCAAAAGTCTGTTGGAAGCAGGCAGCTGTAGTGCGTAAAACGCCGCAATGCACCGATCCCCATAACGCTTGGTCAGAACCACAGGGCTAGTGTAACACCATGCAGTCGGGGGCAACTACATGGTGACCTGGAGAGTCATGCATTGATGTCCATCCAGTATTGGAACTCCCTCTGTACGGCAGTGGAGGGTATGGCCCGACGAAAGTGAGATTCAGGATCCCACTCGGGGTGGTCGGCATAGATCGATGGTGCCGTGGCTTCCTGAGTTGAGACTATAGCACTGTGCTCCGTTTCTACACCTACCCCTTCGTCAGCTACTGATGAACCAGATGCAAACCTTACCCACTTTGTAAAGCGTCGCTGACGTTGAAGCATGGGGGCCGGGTGCGCGATTCTCACGGAACATTGGGTGCTGAACCCTGATATAGGCGCGTTGGAGTCGCTCAAATATACCATATTCCTTGTCAACGATCTCAATCACATCCTATAAGTACCATCACCATCCGTACGAGTTTACACACGCTCTGTCCAGTGAACGATCACCCGCTTTCTCTCGCGTTTTTGCGACTAATTAACCCGAACATTTGGCCCGCGAACGCCTCACTGCCTCAGGAGCAGTATTTGGCATTCCCAGATGGAGCAGGTATTTGGTCGAATTGACCATGCTTATGTTCGAGATAAAGATAGATGTTGAAGTTAGTGAAGGAACACTTACACCTTGCTCCCTCCACGTAGTGTAAGGAGCCGCGAGTTGATTCACGGAGACCCAAGAGCCACGCAAGCTCTGGCCGTTAGCGCTGGCAAAGCTGCGATATGATAGCAAGGCGGGTTGGACGTTTCCTAGGAAGTTCTCGCTCTGTGCGTGAGCTAGCATACGTGTGAGAGGAGTGTTTTCTGGACTGAGATAGGGATGGAGAAAAGAAGAGTTGAACATGACGGGAGAACGTTACATAAGGTATGGGAGGCGGCACACGAAAGTGGGGGCAAGTTCGGCTGCAAGTAAGGAGGCATTGGGAACCCAGGGTATTGGCAATGATACAGGACCACTTGCACGGCCATAGGGTTTTCGCGTCGCAAAGATTGGTAGGACCCGCTACGGAGTAGGGGGAATCAGGCGAGCGGTGAGTATAACCCAACCTACACAATACGTAACAAGCATAATTAGTCAACTGGAGTTGTATCCACCCCGATCGAGTCCTCTGGCCAGTGGCCTCCTGTTTTATTAGCGAGTTCGCCAGCCTTTTAACCCCATTGTTGGTATTTGCCGATCTTGAGGACCTCACACTCATCAATCGAAATACAACCCCCATAACGCCGCCTTTCCATCGGTATGGGAGCCGATAACCTGCCTGAGTGGCTCAAGAGGACGAGCAACACCGTATTTCTGTGTTGAGGAAGCTGAAACATAGGGAAGATAAGAGAGTGCAGTATAGGACACAGGTGATCTCGCATAGGCATTCTGAACATGAGGTAATCGCTCGAATCTGCATGAAGCCTCCTATTCGTGCTTACATTCTACGTCCTTAGATCGATGAGGCAGAGGAATATCGCGCTAAATAGGTATTTCACCATAGAACCATACGATCGCGGGTGTTGTATGGTCAATAGTGGCCCATCCAGCGGAGAGCAGGTTTACTTCAACGGGAATTAGGTCAGCGAGCGTGCTGGCGGAATGTGGTGTCTTGCTACGCAGGTGCGTCTCAATTTCGTACATTAAACCTTCTTCTGAATTTTTGGAAATTTGGGATTGGATGTTCTTTATGCAGGTACCACTGCCGTCCACTATGTATTCGTTCTTTGCGCTTTGTACGCCGCTCACGCCTCCCCATCAACGAATCAGAATGATTACGGTAGATATGGAACGGAATGCGCATCCTTATATTCCTAATAAACCTGGGGATGAATTCTGATTCACTCCACCAACCGGAACAATGAACACTTTAAGACTCCACCGACGATTGAAGTGACGCTTCTGTCTAGGGAAACCTCAGAGGACGCCCAATTGATCCAGAGGACGCTTCCAGTCCGACTTGTCCCACCGAACGCATCATCTGCCAGCAATAATCCTGACGGAGCTGACTTTAGAAGTATTGTGGAGCACTTCCATTTTGACGGCTGGCCAGATCATGGGTTGCCGAATACCGCAGGGCCGATCATCCACCTTGCAAAAGAAGTAAACAAGGCCAATAGGGCATCTTTGTCATCACCTCATCGAGTGGGAACAGTGTCGTTGACACGGCCTCATTGCCAATATCATCGGCACCGTCGTCGTCAGAGGTCTTATCATCGATAACGCCCATCCTGGCGCACTGCAGTGCTGGAATCGGTCGCACAGGCACATTTATTGCCATCTCGTCTGTGCTTCGAGCAAATGGACTGCTTGATCGCACGGGTGATCAATTGGACCCGTCTGCACCACCTCCTGAAAACTCTCCATTGGGTGAATTAAACGGCACAGAGCCGAAGGCGGACATCATCACACAGGAGGTGGATTCGCTGAGGGAACAACGGCCAGGGATGTTGGAGTGGCCTGAGCAGACGGAGTTCATGTATCACGTACTTGCCGAGGCTTTGTCAAACCAGAAGGCCGATTGAGAGCAATCCGATCATGTAATTTTAAGTTTAACGCACTCGAGGCAAAGGTTCTTCCCACGGTGATTCTGGCGATTTTTGATATACGGAATTTACCTGGAATTTGAAAATAGCAGTCAGTTGGTCATCATAACTGGTGGCCTTGGACTATCTGCGGATATATGATTATGGGCGACGCCTAGTCAAGGTGCATTGCAGAGAGTACGGGCGCCAGTGGCACGGTATATACAATATATGGGTGCGGCTGTTTGCTTATCGGGCTAACAAAACGATTATCCTTAATTTCTCCTCCCGGTTGTACACTATAACCGTCGAATAATAGTCGACCTCTAGCTTCTCCCCCTGAACACCATGGCACCATCTACCCCGCACCCCCGCATCCTCACAAATCGTGCTAATTTGGACGACGATGATGCTCTCAGAGCTGTCGGTTATGTCGTAAGTCATCCCTCTCCGCTCGCCGTTTTTTTCTCCCCAACACATTTTTTGGGAATGCAACGCTCATGACCATTCCCAATGCACACTAGCCATCATTCAAGCGGGAGTTCACAAATTTGGATACCATCTCCTTCGCCTTCAGGTAACGCCGCCCATGAAAAAGTACAATATTCAACAATAACCACCTTCTCCGATCTTAGCATCATGGGCGTGTGCTCATCGATCGCCATGACATTCAACACTCCACTCACCTTAGGAGGTCCGGCAGCAGCACAGTGTGTTTAAAGATCAACAATGTTCATTCTCATGCACTTCATACCCTCTTTTCCAAACTGTTAGATGGTGCTGGCTAATTGGAGGATTCATGTGTTTTACGCTTGGCACGTCAATTGCAGAATTAGGTGCTCAGCTTTCCCGATACAGCATTCCCCGCAATAATACAAACTTTTTTTTTTCAAATTTGTTCTACAGTCAGTGCGTTCCCAACCGCGGGCGGACTCTATACCGCTTCTGCTCGCTTAGTGCGTGAAAATCGTATTCGTTCGGCCGTGTGCTAAATTTCGGATGCGATACTGTAGGTTCCACCGAAGCACCGGGCACTCGTTGGTTGGATCGTTGGATGGCTGAATATGCTGGTACACCACACATTGCACCATACGGCCTGGTAACTTGCTTACAAAGGCCCTTTATCTATGCAGGGCCAAGTCGCGGGTGTATCGTCTACGGAGTTCGGCTTGTCCCAGATGTGAGCGTTGCGTTTTCCCTTTGAGTAATAGACCGCTTGATGGCCCGCCTCGACAGGATCTGGGCAGCTGTTGTCGTCGCTAAAGATGGTAACTACACCGTCACACCAGGAAAGATCGTCTCCCTTTTCGTCGCGTTGCTTATTCTAGTACGTCTTCTATTCGTTCCTTTCCCGGAGTTCATCCATCCATTTTGTCTGCTGGTTAGCACGGAATTCTCAACTCGGTTGCGACCAAATACCTCGCCCGTTTCACTAAAGGTTTCGTCTTCATCAACCTTGGTGCTACCATTCTCATCACCATCGTCCTGCTCGCATGCACTGGAGCAAACAATATGCACTCAGCCGCGTACGTATTTGGCTCCGAGGGAATCATCAATGGTACCAGTTCGAATGGGGGTGTTAGTAAGTGGAATGACGGAATCGCCTTTTTGTTTGGGTTGTTGAGTGTGCAGTGGACTGTGAGAGCATCTACTTGTTCTGTGGTAGCCCGAAAGATAACTGATCCTCTCCAAGATGACTGTGAGCGAACCGGGATTTGATGAAAATGTTAGGGAGTTGACTATAATTCGGTTCTCCGACATGTAGGATTATGGTGTGTCAGCGTGATAGCCCCATTTCTGTCCTATGGTTAAGTTAACGCATGGGGAATCGCTTTAGATGCGACGGCACACATTTCGTGAGTACACCGAATCGGATTAAACCAATATCGACCAGCTGTCATTCATCTGGCAGCGAGGAAGTTCGGCGCGCGGCTGTTGCAGCGCCTACGGCCATCTTTGTTGCAGTCATCGGTACTGGTATCTTCGGCTGGCTCCTCAATATCGCTCTCGTTCTCTGCTCTGGACCCCTCGAAGATTTGCCAGGCCCAACAGGTCTTGCGTTCATACAAATCATGTGGATACGAATCGGCAAGTCTGGGACCCTCTTTCTCTGGGCATTCGTATGCCTTACGGCGTTCTTCGTCGTTCAAACTGCCCTTCAAGCTTGTTCGAGAACGGTTTGTCCTTGTCTTGACTGTTATCGATCACTGCATGTTTGACACGGATACTCGCGCTCAATTCTTATTGCAGTTCTATGCTTTCTCACGAGACAATGGTTTTCCCGACAAGGGCTTTTTCGGAAGGATGAACCAGACAACCAAGACACCTATCTTTGCTGTTTGGCTGACTGTTTTTCTATCCGCTCTTCCGGGCTTGCTGGATCTCGTGAGTTCAACGGCAGCAGCTGCCATATTCGCCCTCACTGCCGTCGGTGAGCCCAACTTTGGTGTTTTCTCGTTGTCCACCCCATTGACCCACCGGGTATATCTTATTTCAGCGCTGGACACTTCGTACATCATCCCTATTGCTTGTCGTCGTATCTTTCGCAATCATCCTGAAGTAAACTTCACACCTGGCCCATTCTATCTCGGAGAAGGTTGGCTTGGTTGGTTGGTTAATGTCAACTGCATCTTGTGCGTCATTGTGCCGGTCCTTTGTTTGACATTTATAAAATGCTTCTTCTAGATGGGTCTCGTTTGTAACCGTCATTCTGTCTCTTCCCACCGTTCTTCCGATCACAAAGGACAACTTCAACTATGCGTCGGTCATCACTGGTGCTGTCATCATATCCTCTTTGTGCGTTATGGCGACTTTTGGTTCAGCTTCGCTTTTGACTATCTTGTGCCATTATTTAGCGTCTGGTACATCTTTGGTGGGCGTCTTCACTACAAAGGGCCTACTGGTAACCTGAGTGGGATTGAGGTTCACCATCCTCCACGCTCATACTCCGCCGCTGACTTGGGCGACAATAAGAAGCCTAGTGTGGAGGTGTAAAGGAATCCCATTGACCGACCGCGCGGCTAGTTTTTGTGGCAACATTCCTGTGTTGTGGTTGGTTGATCATACCCCTCTCATCTTGAATTGTAGTTATTGGGATCTATGGATTGCGAATGACGATTTTGTGGCTGTCGTTAATTAGAATGCCGCTCTCATGCGGACGGAAGCGAATAGGGTTGTTCAGAAGCAAGAAAGCACGTCCATATATAGAGATTGACCTCCTTCCATGATGTCCTGCATCTAATCCAAAATCCCGCCACGAGGCCGAGGCCATCAAACTCAGGTTTTCCAATTAAGGACTTGAGAGGTCGATGATTCCGTTAGATGTGCTCGTTGTTGCCTTTGCCCTCGATGGGCGTTGTTCCGGACGAGTAACTAGTGAAGATGTCCCATTGGCAGTCTCTCGAACCCAAGATGGAGGAAGTGTTGTCTGTCTACTTGGACCACCCTTCCGAGAGCCGGGTGATCCGGGTGGAACGGGCTGATTGATCGACGGCGACGACGGTTTGAGAGATCGCGGTTCGGAATCCGAATTGCTACTGATATCGATAATCTCCACAACTGTTACGCGTTGCCTCGAAGTCGTAGACGCTGATCGAATCTGCGCCGACGCAGGAATCAAGCGTATCCTATCTTGCCGTCCCATTTGATGCGACGGGGACGGAGAGTCTGCCCGAACGTCCGGGTCATGAGTCTCGCTTGCGGAAGAATCCGATAGTGGATCCAGTCCTACAGGCAGTCGCCTTTGGTCTTTGTTATTATGCGGTTGCTTAATAACATTTCGGGAGTTTTTTGGTACCCTACACTTTCGTGAGGCAGCGCGAGGTCCAGCGTGTTTGGGGTTGCCGGAAATGGCCCCGGAGTCCCACGGCTTCGCATCGCGTGATTCACTTCCGGAAACTTTCCGCGGGGATGTAACGAGATGAGATTTGGTTTGCGACCCGGACAGGGGCTCGTCGTCGGAGAAAAATTTGTCCCACGGGCATCGAGCCTGAGAAGATGCCTTAAATTGATTCTCGGAAGATGTTATGTGGGCGATTGAAGCTATAATCCCACGAGTAATGACTGAACTCGTAGACGAAGGGCCTCGACGCACCAAGGGTTTCGGGACATTCGTAGATGTTATGTCAAAGGGATTATCAAGCACGTCGGAAGGTGACCGAGACGCTGCTTTTACTCCTGTATCATCGTCGCTCAAGATCGGAGATAGATTGCGGTGAAAAGCTGCCTTTGAATTTGGCATTGTCGCTAGCCGACCGTCCAATGAGTCTTCCGAATCAAAAGGGGCAGATGTCCGGCTAGCTGATTCCGAGGATTTGCTGCGCACACCACACTTTTTCCCTGACTTCTTTTTGGCAGCCTTCTGGGCTTGGGAAGCCTTATAGATTGCTACCAAGTCGGGTTCCACCAATTCTAGCATGGAGGCGGGAACCCAGAAACGAAGCCCCTTGGCTGTGCGCCGGGGCGATTTGTGATTCATACTGGGACTTGCATCAGTACTGCTGAGAAGATTATCGTCTTCCATATCCTCTCTGTCTCCTCGGATGCCAGAGAGGGTCAAGGCAATGAGCTGCGCTGGATTAATTTCTACTCGATATTCCAGCATATAGTCCGTCGACGGGTGATCAGCGGTACTTCCAGTGATCCCTCTGATGAAATAATCGCTGCCCTTGGTGCCATGGTCCACAACGCGTGATCGCTGAGGCGAGGTCAGCGCCAGCTCAGAGAGGCAGGCCGCAACTACTTTAGATGGTGTTTCGACAGTGCTGTCGCCTCTGTGACCGCTGTCCCTTTTGGCCCCGGATTTGACGGGAGTTTTTGGAGTCTCTGGTTGGGATGTTTCAAATAATACCAAACGTCGTCCCGATTCCCTAACGCCATTATCAAGATCCAAGGCTGCTCGTCGAATGATGCGAATGAGGGCCCCTCCCCAGAGGAGGCTAGCGAAGCGCTTTTGAATCTGTGTTTTAGTTCCCCACTCGAATTTACTCTCACAGAAAGTCGCGAGTCGGGCAAGGCTGTGCTCACGGCACCATCGATCTGGCGCTGGGCGGCCATTTGAGGTAGATTCCGAGGTGACAGGTGAAGCGTATGCCGTCAAGACATCCAGGTTTGGGAATGTGTCTGGGATCTTGGTCGATAGAGCAGTCTTTTTAGTCTTAAGGAAGCCTTGAGAATTGGTACGAAGCTCCATGCGAAGATCCTCTCTCCAAGTGTCAAGAAATGCCTGGAATTTCACGGGTGTGAGGGATGCAAAGGCGTCCAAAAGAGAATCTCCAAATCCGCATTTTGCTAGGGCATGCGCCGTGTCAACGCCGCAGCCATCCACAGCTGATCCTTCCAAACGATCCTAAGATATTGATATGAGCTTCAATAAAAACGCTTTAATGATGGTAAGACCTGTTCATAATCTCCCCCGCTCCTTGATAAATACATGATCATTAAACAGGACACCGCTTGTGCAATGAATCAATGCTTACATGAGTCCAATAAGGACAAAGCCAGCTCTTGTTAATCGAAGATTTGGATCGTTCGCGAGAACATCCGCATTGAATATCCGTACATGGTGCCCATCGTCCTTCCCTTGAGAATTAAGAGCAGGATTGCTCAGATTGCCCGTGAGGCCTCTCCCGGGGCTGCGAATGGAAAAAAGGTAGACGAACGTTCTCTCACTGCTATATCTTACGCACGCGGGTAACGTACTTTCGGATCACGATCTTAGCCCCAAACAAAAAGTTGTCTACATCGTCCGACAAAACGGCGTCAATTTCTCCGATTTGATTGAGGTAGGCTAGTTCTGCTTCCGCTTCTCCAGGTGCCTGGCGCGGCATTGCGTCAGCGTCTACTCTCCTTGATTGGAGACTGCACTTCACAGTTCTTGTTGCCCAGCTCACGAACCTGTTTCCACTCAAATCCAAAAGCTAAAATCATATCTTTGACGCCTTGTACCATCCAGTGAGGCTTCCGGGATATCTCTTTGTTGCGCTTCCACGCGGGCCTGCGTCCCCCATCGAATACAAACAATGGTAGGATGGGCTGAGCCAGGAGTTTGGCAAGACGAAAGAACACCAGTCTGAGTTCTGGATTTTCTCCTTCTCGGCTATTCTTTGCATGAAAGAACCAGATACTGTGACGGGAAAAATTCATGGAAAAGCACCGCTATGGCTTTGAACCACTGGATAAGTACGATGACTGTGAAGACAACACAAACCTCGCGTCAATACCAATCCGGTACCCACGTTTCCCATTGATATTCTTTTCGAACCCATCCACCACAGCTAGATGCATTAAGGAACGCGTCTCAGCCGTATCCTTGATCAGCTATGGAGATGACTGCATTGAATTGTGTTCGAGTCTGCAGGAACGTGTGCCACGTACATCCCATAATTTTGGGACCCCCATAGCTTAGGCGGTCCAAGAAATATATATCACGGGGCACGACTAGATGCGTAGTAAAGACGCGGATAGCAAAATGGCGTGTTCAAACATGCGGGCATCCAAAAGTGACTCCCGGCAACTAGCGCATACTTAGTTTCATAACGTGAGTCATGTTGGGGAGAGGGAAGTACAAGTCCATATCACTACTACCACTGCCACTGATCCCCACCTCCGTTTATCTCTGAACAGCGGTCATTCACATTTAGCAACTGATCTGCCCACCGGCCCTCTGGCCCCTTGTCAGCAACCTTCCTTACCCGACTACTACGTCATCTGGCATCCTTCGCCCACTTTTTCAATGACTCCAGCCTCTATGACTTCGTAATATTAGCTAGAGGCTGGTGGAATTAATCCCAGCTTATTGCTCTCAGTTCCGAGGAAACTAAAAAGAGTGGCTCGACGCTTTGATAATTAATCTATCTCGGTTGACGTGGTGCTTTACGTGTAGACATAACCGATGCTTCGTGATGCACATTATGAACAAATCCAGACCATGACGAGCGATGAAAACGTGAAGGGGATCTTTGTGGAACTGAGCAATTACGAGTGGATGAAGGTACTAATTGGCTCAGAGAATCGTAAAAGGATCACCGCTTCGCGAAACGGAAGAGCTTGGACGCTACGAGGGTCTGAAATGGGGAGCACTTCAGTAAGAGTCAGCTTAGAGATGCGGTGACCAATCTACATACGAGAATGACATTGAAACCAACGAAACCTACGAAAATCCCTATATCCCTCCATCGATGCTCGAACGAAATGTTTAATGGGGTGTAGTACTCGTCGCCAACACTGTAGGGACAATATTCGCACCCGGAGGTGGCGTTGAGGTTGTTGATATAACCGCCAGCTGAATTCACGAATGCCTGTGCATAGGAACCACATTGCTCTCCAGCTGGTGGATTAAAGATGGAGAATTCGCGCTGATCACATCGAACTTTGAGGTTGTGCATTTCCGTGCTCATAAGCCCGGAAATAACGCGAGTGAAAGGATCCAGCTGTTGTGAAAGTCAGCGCTGGCGTAGCTCATAGGCAACGTGCACTCACTTGATACATCCAAGATCGCCAGAATTTTGGCATGTTCGGTTTTGTGATGGTGACACCACAGAAGAGACCGAACAGAACCAACAGGAAAGGGTTGAGTAGCGCGGCAACCTGAATGCTCGGTGTGATAGAAGCAACTGCTTGTCCCCTAAACGCCAAAATAAGCGACGGCAGGTCACTAATCGTTAGCTCTGAGCACTCACAAAGTCACAGAATAGATTTCCGCCACGAATACCATGAAGAAAGCATAGCCGGCACGGTCGGATGCGAATCGCATATGCGTGGGGTAGTAATAGAGGAGGAAATAAACTACAGCACAGAGGATGGAGTATGGCATTTCTGACATAAGTTGACCAATGGCGAATATGGGTTGTGTGTACATTTTAGACGACGCTTCGCGAATAAACGTTTGACGTCCCATGATGAACATCGGCTATTTCCAAGTTCAACGTAAAGATTTCCTATAATTCGAAACCACTCACCTCAACTTGGGATATAATGATGGCAGGTAAAATCTATGGAAATCTTTGTTAGAGTGGTGGGATGGTATATCTGGGAATTGGATTCTTACCGTGACGAAGAACATCACGAAGACACGATACTGCAAGGACGCGTAGTTATGGCTCAAGTTTATGAACGTCAATCCAACAAGAAGCGCAATGATCCCGTGCGAGAACAACCGTCTGGAAGGGATATCGTCAAATCCACGTACTCATGCTTATGGGGCGTACGCACGTGAAACCATAATCAGCTTGACGCCAGAACGAACGGAAAGTGCGCAGTGTGACAATCTTGAGTTGGTACAACCAAGGCGTAGCGTACTCCGTACGAGAAACCAATGGATCATCTTCCGACGGACTGGCAGTACTCTCAGCATTGATAGTAGCGACCATTCGCTTATTCTCCTCGAACTCAGGTGAATCGAGATAAATCTAAAAGGGTGATGAATTGGTAAGATAACGATGTTACACACGGAATGTTGACGTACTTCGGCCCAGTCACGAGGCCCAATCCGTTTCTGTGTTCCACTACCTATAGCGTCGAGCATAAATTCCGCCGCTATAGAAAAAGTTTCAGCACAATGACTACAAGGCACAACGGAAATCGCTTACGATTGACCCCAGGGGGACAAGTGGCACCATTGCGAGCAAAGTAGTCCACAAGGACCCGACTGTCTTTCCCAATTCCACCAAAGTAAACAGTTTCACCGCCTCGCTGCAACAGCAACAAGCGGTCGAAATGCTCGAACAAAACAGAATTCGGTTGATGAATAGTGCAGAGTATCGCTTGTCCTGCAGCGGCCAATTTGCGCAAGAAGCGCACAATGTTGAAAGCGGATTGTCCATCAAGACCAGAGGTTGGCTCGTCAAGGAAAAGTAACAACTGAGGCTTGGCGGCAAGCTCCACACCAATGGTAAGACGCTTCCTTGCTTCAACGTTCAATCCGAAGCCCGGAAAACCTATCATGGCATCCGCAAGGTCCTGCAATTCAAGGAGCTCGATTATCTCTTCCACATACGCGTCTTTGTCTTCCTGTGAGACGTCGTAAGGTTGCCGCAAGTACGCAGAGAAGCGGAGCGCTTCGCGGACGGTGGCAGTACTTTCATGAACTATTCATATGAAGCGACAACAGTCAGTAGATGATACCAAGCGCAGCACAAAAGACTCAGGACAAACCATCTAGTTGCTCGCAATAGGCCGTCCCCCGCTGAAACTCAATGCCAAGAGGCCGACCCGCAATGAGGAGATCGCCAGTGACGACTCCAATTGTTTTACGCATTGCCAGTACGTCTAGAAGTGTGGTTTTACCAGCCCCGCTAGCACCCATGAGGGCAGTGAGTGTGCCCGGCTGCCGACGATAAGCAAAGGCGTATCAATGAGTTCGGGCCAAGTTTGTGAGAATGTTTAGTACCCACCAAAACATATCCGTAGACCTCGTTCAAAAGTTTTTTCTGCCCGCCAGCAACAGGGACGCTGTAGCTCAACCTCTCCCATGTAAACGGTTTTCGGGTTCTAATTAGCCCCTTCAGGCCCTGCTCAAATTCCCCACGTTTTGCCGCCTCCTTTCTCTCTTGGAGACGTTCATTCAGCCTCTTTCGTTCAGCATTCTCGCGTTCAAACACAGTGATAGCGGGGATGGCCGCACTCTGAGTGGCCTCTTGTTCGTACATGTGGAAGAGCTGAAAGAAGATAAAAAAGACAATCAAGATGCCAAAGTCGCGCCAGAGTTCACCCGTCTTGATCTGAAAAGCTGTGGTCATCAGGATAAGCTTGGGTTTTTCAGTTAAAAAAAGAAAAAAAAATAGGCTTACCGCTGTTGATGTAGTCGGCGCCGGCTACGTACTGCTGGCCGGGTTTGGCTCCAGGTAGAGTGCACACTTGATACGCGCCAACGCTGGTACCATAGGAATTGTCGCCGGCCACATTGTGGGGAACAATGCTTTTGCCTTCACACAGAAGCTGAAGATCTTTGAATTCATTGATCAGAAGAGCGGAGAAACCGTAGTTGACTGGGTTGATGTAGTAAATCCAGAACAGCCAGCGCTTCATGGCGTAAACGGGGATAAGATAGCCAGAGTCTACAGGAAGGTCGAATGAATGATATGATGTTCATGGCCTGATTGAGGAGCACTCACAAACAATCATAGTGGTGATGAGGAAAGCGGCTAGACGAGCTGCAACGTTGTAATCCAGTGTTATCGTGCCCAACAGCCGGAAAAATGCACCCAGGGCCCAGAAGGAGAATAAGATTATGAGGTAAAATGTGAAGAAATGCCCGGCGTCTCGCACAAAGTGGCACATGCTGAAAGAGCATGATCAGCACAGAGAACATTCGTCAATGAGAACGGAGGATTTCAACATACAGGTAAATGATGGTACAGAACACTAGGATCTTGAATGCACCTAAGGGGAGATGTTTCAAAACTTGGAAATCACTAAGATAGGTACAATTCCTACCGAAAGGCATATCTGCAATCACGGTTCCGAGGCTGTAGGCCGAGGGTCTGAAGAGTGTGTATCCAACTTGCTTGTGAAGGATTGGTCGTCCCATCATTTGGGTAGGCAGTTCGGCGAAAGCATTGAATGAGTTAAACAGTAACCTAGCAATCTATGCGTGAGCCCTTGGCTTCGAGGATGAGGATGTGGACTAACGCAATGAAGAGGGCACCGCCACGTGAGAACGCTCCGGAAGACGTTTGCGGGAGGTTAAGGAAAAGCGATCCAGTGATGAGAGACACGCCAATTGCAGTACCCATGCCCGTGAACAGCGTGAACCGGTCTTGGATACTGTTGTTATGAGATGTCAGATTTAGCGGAATCTCGGGGGCGGCACTGGGATTAGCAAGGCTCACATCAATTGCACTTGCCGCACGGCAATGGCCCATATTTGGGCAAGGAAGCTGACGCTGTAAGCACTTTGAGCTCTTGCCCCTCTGCCCTTTGATTCTCTGACAGCCATTCGAAATTCTTCAACGGGATTTTCGCGCTCGACTCGTTCCTTCCACTGGGCAACATCCTTAAGGACATCTTGGTAAGTTTGACTCTGAAGGTAGTACTCTGCCATAGCATCCGCGGTGCTTGGCACATTCTCGGCGCTACGACCTTGGCCGTACTTTCTTTCATTGGGATCGGTGCTAGATAGGAAAAGGTACTATGGGATCACACCGAGTAACACAAAGGCAGCAAAAACGCACCATCCGGTGAGGTAATCGGCTGTTGTCTGTCGTGGATAATCTTGCCAACCCATATTAACGAAGTACTCGCGAGCCTCTGTTGTAGGTCCGAAATAAACTTGGCGACCCTCGTCAATAACCAAAACTTTGTCGAACTGGTGGTATATGCCTTCTCCAGCTTGGTATAAGGACACAAAAGTGGTCATCTCGAATATGTCGGTCATGATGCGTAAAGATTTTGCGTAGTCAAGGGCCGTGGAGGCGTCGAGACCGCGAGTTGAATTATCGTAAGAGACAATACCTGGAAGTGGATCTCAGTTGCATGCTGGGTTGGGGTACTTGTATGAAGAATTCGCTCACAAGCGCCGGTGGCCATCATCTCGGCAATACTGACACGCTTTCGCTCACCACCACTTACGCCTCGAACAAACTCATTGCCAACGAGAGTATTCTTTGTGTGAGAGATGTTAAGCATGCGAAGGAGAAGATCCTCGACCTGATTGACAAATCCGCTTTTGGAAACGTCAGGTAGTCGCTTGCCAGGTGTTTTGGTGGACAGGGCGAAGCGGATGGTCTGGCCAACTGTCAATGTAGCATAATGAATATCATCTGGAGATAATGATTCGATCAGAATACAATGACCCAGGTTAGGCAGCGATTAGCGTTACCTTCGGGATTGTATACGGTCTCCCCTTTATAGTGCCTGAGAAAGTGGTTGGCCTCCATCCCAGAGTAATTGACATCGCCTTGAATCTCCAAATACTCTTTTCGATTGCCAGCAATGGTCTTGAGGAAGGTTGAGCACCCGCTTCCTGGTCGGCCAAGGACGAGGATCATCTCGCCGGGTTTGGCAATCCCATTGAAATCCTTCAAAATGGGCTTGGGGGCAGGCATGAACGGATTGAAGCGATGAGGCAGGTAGTTGAGAGTGAGCATGAGAGGAAACATGAAAAATTCCATGACGGCGTCTGGGAAGCGGCGAATGTGAAGGCGAATACCTCCTGAGCCAATGACGGTGAGATCGGACCACTGGACTCCGACGTGTTTTCCTTTAATGCCTGCCGCCTGGGATTTGGCTGAGGTCGTGCGCTGAAAAATGGTGCCCATGAGACAAAGGGAATAATGGGAGGTGTTAAAACATACAAGAAACTGCCTGAGGTCGAAATCGTCTTCATCTGCGGCCTCTACATCCTTTTGGCCACTCTGGACTCGGTGAAGGGAGCTGATAAAATAAATCAGTGACATGGGTTATTCAAACCGAGGGAGGGGACGACGATCGGTCGGCACGATGCTGTTGGCAGAAGATGCGGGGCTAGATGAAGTGTTGAAATTGAGTGCTCACCTAGCTCTGGACAAAGAACGACGAAGAGCTGCGAACTCGGCCTTTGCGGACTCGACATCAACCTGGCGGGGGGTATGGATGGGAGAAGGAGTATTGGCAGCGGTCTTGTCTTCGTTGGGAGAATCGAATATTGGGGAATCCTTTTCGTCGATGTCTGCCATGAGTATATGGAGTGAAGGGAAGGGTGAAGAGAGGAAAGTCCGGGAAGAGAAGAAGCTTTATAGGAGGAAGAAGGGGCCCGAGCTGGGAAATGTAAACTGGAGGTTGTAGTTATGCAAACATGCCGTGGAGTGATAACAAGCCACGCAATGCAAAGCCAGGAACGGCAAAGGGCGGGCGATATCTATGCCGATGATTTCAATTTCATCGAGAAATGAACCCAATTGGTTCCGCGGCCGCCGTGGACAAATTTGTCAGCACAGTTGCTTTAAGTAATCGGAGTCCAGTTGTACGGTTTGCCTCATTCCGCACGAGTCATCATATCATCAGGCACATTCATTCGGCCGACTCCGTAATACATACGTAGAAAAGCTCATTCACCACCATCTAGATATTCGCTAATTAGAGCCCTGACGCCTTCATCGTCAATTAGACTGAGATCTGGGCGAAGACCCTCTTCAATAAGCAAATCCACGTCATCTTCTTCGATGTTTTCAAACGGTAAATGCCCGGTATAAATGTGCCAAATCGTCATACCAGCTGCATACAGGTCGTCTGCACGGGTTAAGGGAGAACGAGTTTTCAGGGAAGAAGGCGAGACGTAGCGTGTTGTTGAGGCGTGTCTGCACGGGGGCTCAGACTCGAGCACGGCCTCGGCAAAATCGATGAATCGTAGGTTGTCTGCCGCATCAAAGACGAGGTTAGATGGCTTCACGTCTCCGTGAATGATACCCTTGGAATGTAGCCTGTCCAGCAGGGCACAAAACTGTTGAATCACTGAGAGGCGATGGTCATGGTACTCTGGGCGAATGTCGTCTCTTGGTCCTTGCGTGATGCACTTCCCGAACCGTGTGATAAATCCCATTATCATCCCATGACTGAAGTAGCGGCCGATGATCGGAATGGCACAACCAGGATTGCCAGCGAGAAGCGTCATATCAACTTCACGCCCGAGTCTTTCATTATCAACGTCGACCGAGTTTGGTTTCAATAAGTTCTTGATGACGAATTCCTCGTTGTAAACAATTATGTACGAGTTGGGAGAAGCGGAAAATGTGCTGCATTCGAGTGATATGTCTTGAACGTCTGATGGCCAAGAGCCCAGTGGATCAGTGAAGAAAGCTTGCGACATTGTGTAAGACACTTTGGAATGCTCCGGCAGCCAGGGCGTGACCGTACTGGAGAAAACCTACAAAATGGGGGTCGGCAACAAGGCTGTGACCTTGTGACGCTTACATAAGCGAAACATGGCTCGATCGTGGCCGCGCCGTCCCCCCCTCTCCCAAGACCTCATCTTTAGGTTGCAAGCTACGTTAAAACTCAGGGAACAATAATACAACATCGATCGGTGGTTATCTACACGCGAAAATGAATACATAAATGATTTTTTGAGCCATGTGTGATCTAAGCACAATCTCCATCCGATGAGCAGCCTTTGTCAGGTTTGTTTTGTCTTTCCGCAAGCGATTAATTGTCCCCCCCCCCAAAGAATTGGAAAGGTAAATATGCTTTGTCTGTGTAGGTGCTGGGAGGGACATTTGGGTTGGATGGTGATAGCAGCTCAGCAGTGGGAGTGATGGATTCAAGAATTTCATGCCTTTGAACTGGGGCACATTTTTGCTCACATTTTCCTCTGCTGGTTCCCCTGATTGTTTCCCAGCTAGTCTAGCCCCATGAGACTGCACGCTAACAAGCGGTGACAGAGATAGTGGCCAGACAGTCACGGAATAGGTCCAAAGGTTGGGCGACTTCAAGTTGATAGTCCTGGCAATGCATTCTCATTTAATATGTAATCTGTTTGTCATTTAGCCAAACTAGTCCTCTGAGCTTTGTTGATCTGTCAGGTTTTGGGAGAAGAAACCTTTTTTTTTGGAATACTTCCAAGCAGCTCTATCCCTTGGCATTTGGGGGACTAGGAAGGGGATATGGGAAGGTTGAGTCTTGAGCCCAATGTAAGCCTAGCCAAAGCAGCAAGAGACCTAGATGTCAAAGTCAAGTTGGGCAAGTGCGCATCGGTGAAGCCTGACATGTGATCCATTTTTGCACCTATCCAGGCATTCTGGGAAAGGTGAGTTTCAAATGTACCTTCAACCCCCTCCATTTTGCTCGAATTTTGGCATGTTGGTAGATGTGTTATCTGCCTAACTTTTGGTCACTCAGATTTTTGAAATTCTACTTGGTTCAAAAGTTATTCCCGGTGCATGAGGCTGTATTTTGTTGCATCCCCCCATAACTTGGTGATTACAGCATGCGAAGGCCCAAAACTTTCAAGGGGTATTATAGTGGCATTGGAATATTTTTCGGTGCAGTCTTTATATCAGTACAGACATATGTTGCGCAGAGTTAGGGCCCACATCCATCTCAGCTTCAGAGCAGTGGAATGTACCTGAAAGGTTGCTTACTTATTTGGGGATGGTAACGTTCCATTCCCCCGTTCGCCTCAGGCCTCAGTTAGTCCGTCTAAATATAAGCTTAAATGTGCTCTATATTCAACAGGGTAGAGGTAAAAGGCTACCGGGCCTTTACAACTACTCCGAGGTATATATATGTAAATTACATATCTTGGCGCAAATAAATAAAGAAATAATAGCATCACTATAATGGGAATTATAGCGATGCAACATAATGATATCACTATAATCGGAATTATAGTGAAGTAAGGTTAATCCCTTACAGTACCTTTCTGTCATATCTGTACATACTCGATCCCGAACTGACTCCCGGACCTCCATCTTCACCACCTCTGGAGTCCTACCCTACCACTGTCCATTCCGATATTCACCTTCGGTCCTGACACCACACCTGACACCACACCTCCCCTCACCCCTCATGCCACCTCCACCCTCCTGTCCTTCTCCTACCCTATCTCCATTCGCTCTGATACTCATCTCGGACTGAACATCACTCCTCTCACTCCTCCTCCTACTCCTCCTCACGACACCTCCACCCTTCCGTCACTCTCCTACCCTTCTCCTGTCCGCTCCGACACTCACCTTCGGACCTGACACCTTTCCTCTCCTCCACTCCCCACCCCTTTCCTCTCTCCTCTCTCTTCCCTCTGACCCTCTTCTGCTGACCCTCCACCAAGTTACGACCTTTCACCGCTGTCCCATACCCCGTACTCGGACACCACTTGTACCTTCGCTCTGAGACTCCGTCATAGTTCCTACCTTGGACTTTGACTCCACCTCGGCTTTAGTCCATTGCATTGGTGACCTCACACTACGTAAACACCATTGCCAATATTCCTCGGACTTTCAACCCTGCCTCCATAAACTCCAGAAGCTCCACAACCTCCGAGCTCCACAGATCATCTTTGGCACTTTCACTGCTTGTAATGTATCTTTCGCATTTTCCCCTCATCCCTATTTGGACTGCTGCTTCTTCCCATTCTAGCCAGTTAGTCATCATCCCCACTTCCCCTCATCCTCCTGCCCCTCTGGGCTTCACCCTCCTTACCTCCTTTCGGATGTACCACAGGTTCTGCCCTATGACCTTCAGTACCGCTCCGCTTCTGTCATCCCTTTGTTCCGATTTGGACGCCTTCGTTCCGATTTGGACCCCCTTTGTTTCCTTGTGCTTTCACCCTCTCCATTATATATATCGGCGCTTGTACATACTCATTTTAGGCCTTTAGTCTAAAATCAACCTGAAATGCCCCCTAGAGACTTCCTGCTCACTGCCTATGAAATTAAGGACCAAATGGACAAACAGCAATGGCACAGCGCTCTGCTTGAGTTGCTGAGGCCAAGGTCCCTCCTTGCTAAGTCTCTGGTTCCCCTCCGGAATCGCCACCCTCGCCCAGTTCTAACACTTTCCACTACTTCAACTCGCTTCAAAATTGGCACAATTGCTCTATGGGTGTGAACGCAGGTTTTGGTCACTCAGATTTCTGAGAATCTCCCTGATGCATGAGAAAAGTGCGTGCATTTCCAACATACTGTAGTTATGTATAAACCTGTTTCGAAGTGAGTTCCCATACCACATATGCATTTTAATATTATTATCAGGCAATAATTATACAACACTTAATAGAAGTTGTGTGGTTAAATGGAGTGGCTTTGAGGTGAGTGCCATGGCCATATTTTGGGAATCATGTGACATTTTATTTTCTCAGACCTCTTCCCTCATTTGCCAACCCCATACAAAACCCCTCTGAGATGAGTGCAAAAGGAAATATACACGTGATCATGGCCGAACAAAAAAAATGATGGGAATTGATTTAGAAACCAGCCAACGACCATTGCCTACATGTGACGTTATTATGTAATAAATATTCATTGTGTGCGGTCTCATTGTCCCCTCCCTGTTATTCCCCAACCCAATTACCAAACTAAAATTATTAATTACCATTACAGTGCTTGTGTATGTCAGAGTCGGAAATACTGTCAGAGTTGGACATACTGTCAGAAGATGGACTGAAGATGGATGGGTTTCTGTCTGAGTCGAGGTCAGAGGTTGTGGCAGAGGTCTGTTGGAGCACACACACACTGTTACAGGAATGGGTTCCGGGGAACCCAACCTGAACCGTTCGGCTCACTAATGGAGGTGGCTGCGTAGCCATCGGAGGGAGAGCGGAATGGGATGAGTGTCTGGCAGTGTAACCTGTGGGTTGGCCAACGGTAACTTGGCGCTCCTGGGAGCGTACCGGTAGTGAGTATGACATGGGCTCCTTGAGGGAGCCACCTGGCTGTCTGCTAACGGGGACTTGGCGCTCCTGGGAGCATGCCAGTAGCGGGTGTGCTGGGAGCGGTTGGCTAGCGGTGACTTGGCGCTCAATGGAGCGTACCGGTAGCGTGGGATACTGGGACTCCCAAAGGGAGTCACCCAGTTGGTGGCTATCGGTGACTTGGCGCTCACGGGAGCGTACCGGTAGTGGGAGTTGTTGGGGAAAGCGGGCTGGTGGACCAGTGCACGGTAGTGAGTGACTGTGGGAAGTGGGACCTGCGGGTGCGTGGCCAGACATTCTGGAGCTGCCTGGACTATATCCCTCTCCTAAGGAGGTGGGATAGGCTACAGTTCCTGATAGGGAACTTCTGGTTGGATGGGAGTGACCGCTCAACCACCCAGTGGACTGGTGGGAGCAGGCAGCAGGAGGTTGGGTGTGGGAATGCCCTCCTCGCTGCGGTTTTGTCATGGAGAGGATGAATAGGGAGGTGGACATGGTTCCGAGGTTACAGGTTGAGTTTACAGTGGTGGCACAAAGGTGAGGATGTTACAATTGCGGTACAAGGTTTGTGGGTTATGTATTCGATAATGCAGAAAGACATTTTTCGGCATCTGCCTTACACATCATATGACTTCTAACTATCTAATATAAAAGTCACAATGGTCAAGGGAAGTCCCTTGAAACTCAACAAATTCCCCAGCCAGCACCAAAACCCAGTGGGAAAGCTTGGCATGGGGTTTGACAGTGAAATAAAGGTGAAGGGACCAAAGGCTTGATTGTTCATAGTCACGGACCATAAGATTCTAGGTCCATTCCTATAACACACACGGATGTGCAGGTGGAAATATGCGGCACGTCTGGAAGCGCTGCTCAAGGTTAGCAGAGTGGGATCGCAGCCTCAGCAACTCAAGTGGAGCGCTGTGCCCTGAGCTTGATGTCTGGGGGAGATCCCTCATTTACGGACTGACACTCACAGTGAACTTCAAACAAGACTTGCAGGTGGAGTGGACCTGTAGGAGGAGCGCCAACTCTGCAAGCACAGACTCAGTGGGGGGGAAGCCCCCTTTGCAGAAGGAGGGACTCAGACCAGAACAGGGGGGTACTCTAGTTGATTTCAGACTGAGGTCCCCGAAAGTATTTACAGGATATAAATAGGCAGGAGGGAAACACAGAAGGGCTGGTCATGTCAAAAACCCGTCGGTTATGGAAGAAGGGGTGAATGCGTGAGTCCGAATGCAGGCGGGGGCTCAACTAGAGGGGGTCCAAGGGCTCCGGTGATGAACCAAAGCTTCTCAGGGAGCCCAGTTCTGCTGGATGGTACAAGAGGCTCTAAGAAGGACGCGGCCTCAGCGACTCGGGGGGAGCGCTGTGCCTCCGTTACGTCTCTGTTAGTCCTTGTATTTCTTATGTCTGAGGTGTCTTGTAGAACAGAGACAGGAATCACTCAGAGGGACTTGGGGTGGCATTTTAGTCGAGATTAGAACTGAGGAACTACAGGTTCTAATCTACGTGTATTTATAAAAGTGGATGGG